GACATTCAGATAGACATCTTTTTCTTTAGCACACGACATAGTTACGAACAATGATCAGATCAGGTCAGAACCACTCGGTCGCCCTGTTTAGGGACCCCGACTTCCGGTTTCTTAGTACACTACTCTGTCCCTGCGGGCAGTGCCTGAGAAATTGCGTAATGTAATAGGCCTTTGAGACATTCTCTACAAACAGCTGTACCCACACATCTTCGTTGGACCCACACGCAAGTGTGTGTGGGTGTGAGTAAAGAACGGTTTTCATCTCGCATGGCAATGTCACGGGCGAGGATAGAATTACAGCAGAGCTTCTGAAAGTGGTGGAAAATCGATACTTAAAGTCTTTCACAAGCTCTACAATTCCGTCCCCTGCGGTGGCATTCATTATTATCATTACAGCCCTTCAGAAGTCCACCGCAGAACATAGGCCTCCCCCAAGGAATGCCACACAGCACAGTCCTGAGCCACCTGCATCCATCGACTTCCTGTATGTCTTACCAGGTCGTCACTCCATCTAGTGGGGGAACGCCCTACACTTCACCTGCCGGTACGAGGCTGCCACTCGAAAACCTTTCTTCCCCATGGGTTGTCGATTCTTCGAGCTATATGGCCGGCCCGTTGCCACTTCAGCTTACTAATCCGTTGGACTATGTCGGTTACTCTGGTTCTACTGCGGATATACTCATTTCTAAGTTTATCACGCATAGACACCTCGAGCATAGCCTCTTCATAGCTCGCTGAGCGACCTTGAGCTTCCTCATTCGGCCAGCAGTGAAGGACCACGTCTCAGTTCCATAGGTCATCACTGGCAACACGCACTGATTGTACAGTCTCGTTATCAAGTATACCTCATACCTGACGAGAAGATGTGCCGTAATTTCCCGAACGCTGCCCAACCGAGTTGAATCCGTCAATTGACCTCTCGGTCGAAGTTGGACTCACCTAGTCGGACTATTTGTCCCAGGTAAACATACTCGTCAACAACTTCGAGCTTAGTGCTCCCAACAACTATCGGCATAGGTGTGACATGGACATTAAACATGATCGTTGTTTTGTCCATGTTCATCTTTAGACCTATCCGTTGGGATACACTATTGAGGTCATTAAGCATAGTGTTTAGGTCCTCCAGCGATTCTGCTATAAGGACTATATCGTCGGCAAATTGAAGGTGAGTGATGTACTCACCATTGATGACCGTTTCCTTTCCCGTCCAGTAGCTTGAAAACGTCTTCCAATGCAGCGGTGAAGAGTTTCGGGGATATAACATCACCCTGTCTTACACCTCCCTGCAGTTGGATAGGTTTTGTACTCTGATTCTGTACTCGGATAGCCAGGGCTACGAAGCCCTACTGTACAAACACTTCAGCACTTCGATATACCGACAGTCAACTTGGCACCGCTGAAGGGATTGTGGCACCGCCCAAATTTCGGCGGAATCAAAGGCTTTCTTCACATACGCAAGATATAGTGGCGGATTGTACTCCTCGGACTTCTGTACAATTTGCCGAGGGGTATGTATGTCTATGGTGCTAAAACCTTTGCGGAAACCGGCTTGTTAGGGAGGCTGGAAGTCGTCAAGTCTGCGCGCGAGACGATTCGTAATGACTCTCGAAAACAGCACGTAGACGCGGTTCAGAAGGGAAATTGGTTTGTAGTTCTTCAAGAGAGCGTTATCGCCTTTCTGAAAGAACAAGACCACCGCACTTCTGCTCCACGCCTCCGGAGTAGTGCCACCATGGAGGACGGAATTAAAGAGCTTCTGAAGGACTTCAAGTACCGGTTTTCCACACAGTTTCAAAAGCTCCGCTGTAATTCCATCCTCACCTGGGGCCTTGCCGTTTTTAAGGTGCTGGAGAGCCATTCTAATCTCGCTCAGACTGACGTCCGGGATATTTTCGGAATATTGTCGGATAAGACTCGCTCTTGGATCCTTACTCACACTTGCATGTGGCTCCTACGATGACGTGTATAGCTGCCCATAGAACCTCTCAATCTCACTCAAAATCTCAGATATCCCGGAAACGATGCTGCCAAACTCGGTCTTCAGCTTTGACAGTTGGCTCTTTCTGGCAGACAGATCTCTGGCAAAGACTTTGGAGCCTTGATTTTGCTCGATCGCTTCTTCAATGCAAGCTGTATTGAAGTTGCGTAAGTCCCGCCGCATGCATTTGGAAATCTGTCTGTTCAGTTGCCTGTATGTTGTCAAATCTGTTGGAGACTGTAGCTTCATTTCCCGTCTAATATTTTTTTTTTTATAGGACAAGGGTGACAAACGAGCACACAGTCCACCTGATGGTAAGTGGTTTCTGCGGCCCATAGACATCTACATACATCCTCTCTTACAAGTCAAAATGTAGATGCGTTGTCACCCGTGAGGACTAAGATGGAATGCCTCATTTCCAGTAAAAAGGGCCTCCGGCCACCTGCACTCACCAAGCGAAACGCAGAGGTAAACCTCTACTTCACGCTGGTTTTCTGTGAGGTCGTGGTACCACCCCGGTTCGAGCCGGCCCATCCGTGCGACAGCAAAAGCTGCCGCGTGGCTCTACCACTGTTAAAATAATAATAAATAATAGCCATGAAATTACGAGTGTGATCGGAGAGTTTTTGTGTTCTGCTGCGGCGGGTCCTGCAGAATTTAGTTCCAACCGCATGGACAGTTTCCACGAGCTTATCATTCACATCGTCCACTTCATTGCAGTCTTCTAGGCACTGAAAACGGTTTTGTAACTCGAGCTGAAAGGTTTCGGGACTTTGTACTAGAGCACGGGGGGGACGGAGCATTGACTTCTTTAGACGATACCTTTAATATTTGCACACCACTAAGGTAAAATATTTAAAAAAAAAAATACTAGTAATGTTATTAAACATTACTAATATTCCCTTTAACTTTAACTAATATGTAGAACGAATTATACTCAAACACCATTGTACAACTATATTCTTGCAAATAAAGATTATTATTATTATTATTATTATTACCTCTCCAACTTAACATTTAGGTTCAGTGTGCCCCTAACCTTTAGGTGATCGCTACCAGTTTTCACAGTTGTCATCTGGCCGTCATAATGAAGTCAATCTCATTTTTTCTCAAATCGTCGGAGCTCGACCAGGTCCACTTTCTGTGGGGCCGCTTCTGGAAGAAAGAGTTCATCATAAAGAGTCCCTCTTTCTCCATGAAGTCAGCCAGCTGCTGGCCCCTTGGGTTCCGTTGCCCTATTCCGAATTTTCCTACTTTCAGTTCTCTCTTGTGCGTAGTTTTGCGTTGAAGTTTCCCATTAACACCGTATAGTGGATTTTGGAGGAATGCATGGCTCTAGAGATATCCTCATACATTTCCTAGAGTAAATGTATTTTTTTATAGGATCGGGTGACAAACGAGCACACAGTCCACCTGATGGTAAGTGGTTACTGTGACCCATAGACATCTACATCTATCCTCAATAAAGACTCAAGATGCAGATGCGTTGTCACCCGTGAGGACTAAGATGGAATGCCTCTTTGCCAGTAAAAAGGGTCTCCGGTTCTCTACACTCACCATACGAAACACAGCAGCGTTAAGCTGCTATTTTACGCTGGTTTTCTGTGAGAGCGTGGTCCTTCCCCGTTCGAGCCGACCCATTCGTGCTACAACCATAATATAGCTGCAGCATGGCTCTACCACGTAGAAAATGAGGTAGAACCTCCTCATCGGGGTATGCCAAGGTTGGTACGTAAACCTGTATGACCTTCAGCGAAAACCGTTTGGTGATTCTGAGTATAAGGTACACACTCCCAATCTTTACAACGTTGTTAACGAGAGACTTGTGAACGATAAATCCGACACCTCCTTGGGACAGATAGTCGCCCTCCCGGTGATAGAACAAGTTGCCGGATTCGAGGATTACCGTGTCCTCCCCCTCTCTTCGCACCTCGGATAATCCTATAATATTGCAATGCAGCTTGCCTATCTCTTCTTCCAACTCGAATAAAAAAATAACGAAAATAGACATATAAAAATGCTTGTAAAAAAAAATAACAGTCAGTAAAATAATAGTCGAAAAAAAATAACGAAAATAGACATATAAGAATGCTTGTAGTTATAGAAAATGTTATTACGTAAAATGTGTATTTATTTTTTTATTATTGGATATTGGATTAATATGTGATATAAATAAACTTCTTTTTGGTTTAATATAATACATATTAGAATTTTTTGCTCCCTTTAAGTCTAGAATATTATTATTTTCTTTATAAATATATTTTTGTCGATAAAACAATAATACTAAATCATATAAGTACTGTTGAATCTTAATTAGGTCTTAGGTTAGGTAGGTAGTAGTTAAAGATTTTATTAAAAGAGCATTCAATGTTATGTTATCTGTATCGCACGAAGTGCGGATTTTTTTATAGGATAGGGGGACAAACGAGCACACAGTCCACCTGATGGTAAGTGGTTGCTGTGGCCCATAGACATCTATATCTTGATAGAAGATTCGTTTGTGAGAGAGAACGACGATTCGTTTGCGAATCAAAATGCAGATGCGTTGTCACCCGTGAGGACTAAGATGGAATGCCTCTTTTCCAGTAAAAAGGGTCTCCGGTTCTCTACACTTACCATACGAAACAGCAGTGTCAAGCTGCCATTTTACGCTGGTATTCTGTGAGAGCGTGGTCAACTATACTACTGATATAGCTGCGGCATGGTTCTACCACATTAAAAATGATGATGACATTACACGTTTATTCGTCTACTTGGTTTGGTTCAACCAAACTTTTTTGAAATCTATTTACATCCATAACGTTATATTTAATAACTGCGCATTAACTGGTATATCATAAATATTATACATTGTAATAAAGTAAAATACTTTGGAAAAAGAAGTTTTATACAATATCCATGAACCAAACATTATAGTTCATATATCAGACAAATACTTAGGAATAGTATTTTAAATTTTAGGTACCAACTTATTTCTTTGGTAAATTGATGCGAAAACTGAAAATAATTTCAGAATACCACAATGCATGGAAGAAAGACAAAAAGAACTAAGGAGCTACCAAAAGCTTCTTCTTCGGATGTGAAATTACCTAAAATACCTAAAATAACAATGCCTGAAGATTTTAATATAAGAACACGTCCTTTATTTTCCCTCCCAGAAGAAATACTCAAATTGCCTCCACCGACTACTAAGACTTCTAAACATCGATCAACTAATGCACCGCCTAGAAAAAGATCCAGTGGTAAAGAATATATTCTTCATAATTATCATGATATATGATATTTCCCATATTATTTTATATTCAAGATATATACATAACGACGCTTGAAGGGCAATAATTACTAAGCGACATATTGGTAACTTTATACTAGAGCATTTTAAAGTTTTATTTTTTGGGAAAAAATCGTAAAAAATAACCCGCCTATTTGTCATAACTACTCGATTCCAACGAATTTTATATGCAGATTAAAGGCTTAGTAAAGTGTTATAATTTTTTCAATATTTTATGAAATAGTATCGGTTAGTAATAATTTCATGAAAATCACAAACAGGTAAAAGTTACTTACCGACATCAAAATGTTATTATATTATAAAACAAGTAAAATTAACTAAACCTCAATATTTTATAATTGTATTTGAAGAAAAATTACGCATTCAGAAGTAACATAGTTAACATATAGGATATAGGTATAATTCAAAATTAAAAATTTTGTACAGCCGACTTCAATATAAGTTATTAAGAATAACTCAATAACAATTGGTCTGACCTTGATCAAATTCATATGTGACAACACGAGAAGTATCCGCTTTCAAATAAAAAACGAAATCGGTTCACCCAGTAAAAAGTTATGTGGTAACACACATAAAAAAACACAGTCGAATTGAGTACCGACTCCTTTTTGGAAATCGGCAGAAAATAATCGAAATAGAAATCAAAAAACTTTTCTGCCAGCCAATTTTAATCATGGTACAAATTAAAGTAGGCTAGTGTAGGATTTTTTTGAACAATTAACAATGAATTAAGTTTTAAGTACACAAAATCAAGGACTTTCGGGCAAAGGTTTTCGATGGACGTCGTCATCGTCATTATCATTACGATTTAAGAGCCTATGTGTGCGTCCAGTACTATAAACTTTTACGGGCTGACAAAGAAAAAGGCAGAAAGATGCGTGCTCACTTGAAATGTACGCAGTGTTCCGTCTAACTTTCTTAGTTGGTATGAGATTGTATAGGTACATATACACGATATATATAAGTGGTCGTTGAGTGTGGAATCTACCTACAATAAATTTCCTTAATTATGAAAAAAGTTGAATGTTCAGCAGTGGATTAATTGAGGTTGATGATGACGATGAAGACGATAATTGGTTTGGAGGCTCGTTTTAATAATAAGAAACAGGACCATTGAGCAAGATGGGTTGGTGATAAACTATCGGGTGCAATACCGATACGATCAACCATCAACAGCTTGTGCTATTTGGGTCCGGTCTTATTGTAATGAATTTTCATTGTAGTCTTATTGGATTTTGTACTGTGCATCGTTTGTCAATTATCAGGGTGCATTTTGTGCTGGAGAGATTTGGCACTTGACGAAAAAGAAGAAATAATCTACAATTAAGACTTATATTCAGTTCAGTTGTATTTTCACATCTTCTTTACATATTAAAAAGGCATATTCTTTATTTATTTTATTTATTTTCAAATGTCCTACACATAATTGTTTCTACTTTGATTGTTCGTTTTTGTGTAATTTATGTATGTAAACTGACTCCATAAACAGGAGAAGGTACTAGCGTTAAAAAAAAAAAAATTAAAATAAACTTGACTTTTTTTTTCGTATATTTTAGTTATGCAAAGCTTTACAGCTATGAGAAAGGCTAGAGAAGAATTTCGAGCGAAATTGATGAAGCTCATTTGTCAGTCTGCCCCCGGTGAGGATAAGGATTCCATTCCTTCCGGAGACGAGAGGAATATGCTGCGTTATTATTATTATATACGATACGGGATAGATACAATCCACGTTGCTCCATTAGATAATAAAATAATATTACGGTAAGAACTCGAAATTTGGTTAAATATTCTGTGACATTGCAAGTTTGTTTTATACTCGTAGATGTAATGTTATGTCGGTACTATATCGTTGCTTTCAGAGTACATAGCTTGATACCTTTGAAGCTTAAGAAGTGGAAGGAAAGTTTGTTCACTTGTACAGACGAAATGCGCGAAGACTTTATGATGAGTATGAAAAAGGCGATTGTGGATTTTGTTTTAAAAGATCCAAATACGGTAATATTTGATAACTATGAGATTAACAACGAACGACAGTAGCCTAATGGCTCACCGCGAACACAAACAGTCGTGGGTTTAAATCCGCAATTCGACTACTGTTGTGAAGCATTTAAGGCTTACCTAGATTAGTAAATAGCATTACATTACTTTTAAATTACATTGCAGCACTTATGTTACTAGTATTTTATTTATAAAACAATGATTTTTCGAAAATATTTTATAGTAGTATAAAAATTTAGATTTACAAGTATAGCGAAAGCGAACATACCTCATCATATTTAAGTGCCATTTTGTGTTTGTTTTCTACTCCTTGTATAATAATAGTTTTTCCTAGTTGAATACAATATATTGTTAAAATATTACATATTTACATTATGAATAGGCTACACTGTACAGTAAACTAATGTTTATTGCATTTTCTACTATTAAAATTTTTCTGCTTTCGGTTAATAATTTAAAGCGAGATGCTGTGTAATGGCGGTGTAACGGAATCTACTACACCATATTATCATTACGTGGGTGTCGTAAGAGGCGCCAAAGAGAAACTGAACCAGGAGATGGACATTAGTACAACTGAATAATAATTCAAAATTAAAAAATTTGTACAGCCGACTTCAATATAAATTATTGAGAATAACTCAAAAACTATTGGCCTGACCTTGATCAAATTCATATGGGACTACACGAGAAGTACCAGCTTTCAAATAAAAAAAGAATCATCGAAATCGGTTCACCCAGTAAAATGTTATGAGGTAACACACAAAAAAAAACATACAGTCGAATTGAGTACCGTCTCCTTTTTGGAACTCGGCAGAAAAAAAACCACTGTGATTGCAAACCCGCATGGCGAACCCCAATCGTGACGCCCTGTGGCAAATATCCTTACTAATGAAACAATCTATAGGGGAGACCTTCAGTAGTTCAGCAGTGGACTTTTGATGCGCTGTAATGGATGGGTGGATGGATGAAAGCGTTTTGAGGTGTTATTTCATATACGGTATAGGTATATATGAAGAGATAAAAATACACTAAAATAGTAAATTTTAATTTAAGGAAGAATCTCTCGAAGAGGAAGATACTTCACTGAAACAAGAATTAGCTATGAATAAGGATGACGCATGGAGAAACAGATATGTTATATCTACAAAGTACATAAAGAAAAACTTACACACCATTAACCCGTGTATTGCGCAAGTTCTACAAATATGGTGGAAACAATTCAAGTAAGTAAAAAATTGGTAGTACAAAACATACTTAAAGGTAATAATCATAGTTTAAAATATACAAATAATGTGAAAAACGCAGTTATATATTTAAATAAATTTCATATTAATACTCAATTAATTCATTTATTACAGATAATCAACGCAATTGACACTGTCATACCTAGACTACTACATTTATTTCATTAAAAATCAATATGTAGATGCGTTTGTCACCCTTGAGGACAAAGATGGAATGCCTTGTTACCAGTAAACGTGGTAGAGCCATGCTGCAGCTGTATTATTGTTGTAGCACGAATGGGTAGGCTCGATAGGGAAAGGACAGTCACAGAATACCAGCGTAAAATAGTGCCCTTATGCTGCTGTGTTCGTTTTGGTGAGTGTAGAGAACCGAAGACCTTTTTTACTGGAGATACGGAATTCCATCTAAGTCCTCACGTCCTCAACGGTCTGTATTTTGATTTTTAAAATTAAATTAAAATGTTTATGGGCCACTGTATCCACTTACCGTCAGGTGGACTGTGAGCTCGTTTGTCACCCTTCTCCAATAAAAAAAAAACAGGCAACTCTTGTTTTCTACATTCACCATACGAAACAGCCGCATAAAGCTAGGTATTCTGTGAGAGCGTTGTCCTTCCTTAGTTGAGCTGACCCATTCGTGCTGCAATTTTCTGCCGACTTCCAAAAAGGAGACGGTACTCAATTCGACTGTATGTTTTTTTATGTGTGTTACCTCATAACTTTTTACTGGGTGAACCGATTTGGATGATTTTTTTTATTTGAATGCTGTGGTACTTCTCGTGTGTTCCCATATGAATTTGATAAACGTCAGACCAATAGTTTTTGAGTTATTCTTAATAACTCAAATTGAAGTCGGCTGTACAAAATTTTTAATTTTAAGTTATAGTATAAAAGGTACAGCGTGGCTCCACCACGTAAAATTTGTTCCACTCGTTCTTATTTACTTGAATCTGTTACACATCCGATTTCGTATTTGGACGCAACAATGGTGCACAAGGACTGTGCTTCCATCCAGCCGTCAATTATAGCCCATAAAAGTCCACTGCTGAACAGTGGTCCTCTTTCATAGATTGCCCCATAGAGAGGATTTAGCCGTTGTTGCTACGCTTGGCAGGCGATTGGCAACCTCAGTTTTTATTGTTTTGAGGAATTTCATGAAGATGCCGGTGTCCATCTTTTGTTTTAGTATCTCTCTGTCGCCTCTTACAACATTTACGGGACGCTATGGCAGATAAATAGGTAGTAATTCGTTCTGTTTTACACGAACATTGTTCTGGCAATTCAAATCTTATGTTTAATGTCTTAAATCTTATACTTAATCTCAGGAGGCAAGTAGCAACGGTGTCACTGGTATTGCATTTAAGGTTGCAATAATCTATTGTAATGTTTATTTTTTCATTTTTCTTGCATCGTGCAATAACTTAGGAATGATATGTGGCATCTCTACATTCTTCAACGTTAGCCACCATATCACTCGACTGTTTGGAATCTATGAGGTTTAGTAAAATTTAGTATTTGATTATTGAATATTTCTATTGAGATTACTTCTTTTTAAATAAATCCTGTTTTATTATCGGATTATTTATCTACTACTGGTTAAAGATCTTTTAGCCTGCAGCAACTGGCATGCAAACTTGAAAGATATTTACGTACTCACCACGCTAATCATGCGGACTGGTTGACACAGTGCCAATAAAATTGTAACATTAATCTTTTGAACTTTAGTGAAAGTTAATATGTTGAATCTTTTAGCGAGCTAAGACTTATCAGTATGAAGGACATTATGATGACCAACGAGGCGTACGAGTTACAGGACTTTAGATTCGTGTGCAAAAGGCACATAGATGCGGCCGGTAATGTTCTTACGCTCCAGTGGATACCGACAATACAGGCCGTGTTCCTTCAGGTATAACGTACTAACAATGTTATAGGCTATGCTCTTTATGTCAAACCTAAATAACAATAGTTTCAAAGCAAATTACTTTCACATGTGTACCTATTTTATTTATACAAGACAGAACAAACGAGTAACGAGCATGAGGCTCACCTGATAGTAAGTGTCGACCAATGTCCACGAACAACTGTATCAGCAAGCGAATGGTAGGTGTGTTGCCGGCCTTTTTAAAACAAGTAACCTTGTTTTTCGAAGGTCCCTAAGTCATATCGATCTGGAAAAATTGCCAATGTAAGAAGAATCCAAAAAGAAGTCGTGCCATGATCGTGCCAAACATCTAGATGGCGTGGTATCATGAGTTTTATCGCGATTGTGGAATTTGCCGAATAAATTCAAACGATTCATCTGAGAGCACTCCCCGTTGGGAATTAGATAGAAAATGTGAAGGGATGCGAAATCACGACGCCAGTAAATCGAGCCAACCAGAAAGAAGCCGGTTGTCGATGATTTGTAAATTGACAAACGAAACGAGTGCTCTGAAATTGAAAAGATTCGACAAGGGGTTCTTTTTAGCTCTAAACACGCAAACCTGTGCCTTCTGAGAATTCGACTAGTCGAGGTCGAGGTCTAGACTTTGTTTGACAAAAACTCGACTTTAACACAAGTTTGTTTCGGTACACGAGAACTATTTGCAAGGCCGGTGTTAAAAGCATCACCAATGCTGTCGTCTCATCATCGTCAAACACAGCAAAGAATGTAATTGTTTTGTAATATATCATTGTACAGTCTTCTGAAACACCGTTATGCCCAAACTATCAACCAAGACCTCTTCTTTGTACTCTACTGTCTCCACCACTCTATGAGTCAGGTAAAATAGAAGATCACCAGCTGAGGGACCCCGACGGAAATCGTAAATTATTTTAACACTTTCACTGTCCGGTTTGCAGACACAATAGTAAGACAATAGCAATGACCTATATGTAGTGCATGGGACAGCGAAAGGGTTAATAATACTAGATTATCTTTAATTACTAGTAACATGACTTTTGACAAATTTTAAATTGCATAATATTTTAGTAGATTAAGAGGTTCTGGCCGAATTGCTCACAATTTCACAAAAATATGCTGTAATAAATAATGATGATGCTAATTTTTATACTAGAATTTATTTTAGGGAAGTAAAAAGAAACAGATACCGGATCCGAAGCAGGCGTTGAAGATGAAACGTTTTTACAATTGTCTCGCCTGCATCATGACGTATAACTTACAAACACTCTGCTTGAAATCTATGAAAGAATACACTGACTATATTATGGATGTTGGGGTAAACCATATCTTAATGATTATAGTTACACACATAATACATACATAAACACTCACGCCTGCTACTCAGAGGGGTAGTCAGAGACTACGGACTTCCATATGGTACGATCCTAACACACCTCTCTCGCCTCCTCCACATCTATATACCTACGCATACACGCTCGTTGGTTAAGAGTACTCTTAATTTGGCCCATTTTCAATATATCGCTAATTTGGTCGATAAACTTTCATTCTTTCCTCATTCATTTTTTCTACATGGTCAAACGACCGAAGCATTTCTTTCTTAATCTGGTCCTAACATCATCTTGCACACCACACTCTTCTCTTATCACACAATTTCTCACCCTGTCATTCAGATTCAGTCCTAACATACTCCTTAACGACCGCTGATCACAATCACACACACGTGGTTATAGTTATTTCAATGAATTTTTATTAATCTTGATTAATACTATTTTAGGGTATGAATCAAGGTTTTATTATAAATCTGACTTTCCAAAACGAAGCAATTGAGTTCGAGCCCTCGTTTAAGCAGTTTCGAGATCAACTCTGTCTGATGTATGATTTTTTAATAGATGCCTGTAGACAGTCGCCACGTTTGGAAACAATATTGTATCAGGATTTTGATGTAACTGCTCGTAAAACTCTTAAGGTAATTAAAAAAGTAATATTGGTAAACTTTGAAATGTGCCTTAAGTAACCTCCGATAAAGTTTCCCTCCTTCCCTCCTTCCTTATCAGTCAGCAGTCATGCTACTCAGCGCGGATGTGCTGCCTCGCTATATTTTATTTATTTTTAGACATGCTTTTCCCTTCACCAATGGATCTTAAAATGTTAATGAACATTTTCTGTACTGATGGCACCGGAAATTGAATTCTGGTTGCAAACTAAGATATTTAAAGCTCTCTCGCTCGGAGAGCTGACTTTAAATGGGAATGAATTTGTTATTAGAGAAATAATTTTCAGAGGTTTTTTTTCGAACCAGTGGTAATCATACAAAAGAGTGACTTTCGTATAATCTTTGTGAATAAGTATTATTTATAATCTATATTGAATAAAAAAAATCCAGAAAAGGAAACAGGCTTATTTAGTAGTAAAATATTACTTGCTGTTATCAACGCTATTACTACTGCCAAGACATGACTAAAATAATTTGTTATAGATGAAACAATCTTATAAGCCGTATGCATAGTTAAGTAATGGAAACTTCTTGTGTATCTTTTTTTTTTTAATTTACAATGCGTATTTATAATTGTACTTAACGTTTTTTGTGTCAATGGTTAAAACTGTGCCGTTGCTATACGTTTATTTTAAATAGGAAAATGCTAATGAAATGCGTATTTAACGTTGTAAATATTGAAAGGCTTACTATACTACTAGTGTTTTATTCATAGCGCTAAATGTCGCAGTTTTAAATTTTAAGCCAATAATAGACAACGATTTGATCGAAGACTATAAAGCAAAAATCGCAGATTTGATTGATGAGCAGAGGATTGGACCAGAACTGAGAGTACAAGATTTCGACGACTACGTTTGTTTACTTAATGGAGAGGTGAGTGTAGTACGTGAGGGTAATATGGTCGTTCGGTTAATATGGTCACTTTCTTATAACTGAAAAACTACAACCTTGTTTGCATAGATGGCTCTGTGATACGATAGTTCTTCATCAATCAATCAAATACTAAAGGGTCAAAAGAGCGCTGCTTTATTGACGCCATTTTGACAGTTGAGAATATAGAAAATATTTTAGTTGATTTTGGTATTGTGTAGTGTAGTTAGTTTTCAATAAGATGATTTTTCGAAGTGTTCCTAATTATTTCTAAAGCTTGTCTGCTATTTTTTCTTAATATATTAGTTATAGTATACTGACTTTGTGTTTTTGTTTCTGTCCTAGTTTTGGTTATATAGGGCGGCAAAGCGTAAGATGACCATATTACGTCGCGTACCTTATAATTAAAATTTCGGCAATCCTTCTCTAACTATTCTCTGACTTGTTTATTCTTATTAAATAAGACTAACTTGTTCAATAGTTGTGCATTAGGGCCGATTTACACTTCGACAAGTACAGTAGCGAGTTTAGTTACAGAGCAGTTAACAGGAAACGGATAAGTAGGCAGTAGCGCTCAAATGTCTTCGTGGCGAGTTTAGTTAAAAAAAGTACAATTTTATATTTTAAGGGCACGCGAACACGTTGGCGTCCTGGCAACTTATGGACTGAACTAAATTCGCTCGTTCACACTAGCGGCCAGTTTAGATAGGAGGTGGCGGGAAACGAACGGGAGGTCAGCAATCCGAACTTGACACGCCGAAAATAGACCGCCCGGCTATCCCGTTCAAATTAATTTTTAATCTGCTACTTAACTTACTGATTGCCGTTCAAACGAGATTTTCTACTTAACTTGTCAGGTTAGCAAGTTAACTCGCTAGTGTACTTGTCGAAGTGTTAATCGGCCTGTATGCATAGTAATAGAACGTGATTTGAAGGAAGAAAAATAACTTATTTTTCGCATACACACACACACACACACACACACACTCACTGAGCTAGTTTTCTACTAGAAATTCTTGAATACGCAATTTATAATTACTAAGTTAATTAGATCTTCTTCTTATCGTTACCGTGACAGCCTATTAAAGTCCATTGCTGAACATCGGCCTCCCCAAAGATTGCCACGGTGGGGGGGGGGGGGAGGGGGGGTTATTCGCTATAGTTGCCACACTTGGCAAGCGGGTTGGCAACAGCAGTTTTTTATTCTTAGTCGTTATTAGAAATACGCTTCTGCCCATCTCCTGATTTTGATTGATTGCCTCATACGACACCCACGGGATGATATCATCATCATTATCATCATCATTATCATCATCATTACAGCCCATCACATGTCCACTGCTGAACATAGGCCTCTCCCAAGGAATGCCACAAAGCATGGTTCTGAGCCACCTGCATCCATGTGTTTTACCTCAGGACTGTTTTTCTAGGTAAACTGGTTTTTATAATTCTTTTTTTATTTCATAGCTGGTGCTTCTCATGTGGTCCCGTATAAATTTGATCAAGATGTAGTTTATGAGTTATCCTTAATTTTTATTTGATTGACTTCGACTACATTGATTATGTTCTAATTTTATTTATATTGAAGACGGTTGTACAAAATTTTTAATTTTATCACTTGTTCAGTTATCGCACAAGTAATCTTCGTAGGCTCATGTTAATTACCAATATGGCTATCCAATAATCAAAAATAAACATCGTTCCTGCTGTAGGAGAGGTTGCTTATAAAGAACAAGATAATAAAGCACAAAATATGACGAAATAAAATTGATTTTTTTATTTAAACAGTCCCTTGCTCAAGTTGAAGATTTTATCAATTCTCGCCCAGAAAAGACATTCGAAGAGTTCTGTCAAGAGTCAGTTAAATATGTAGAGCTAGCCCGAGAGATACCCTCAAAACTGGAAGGGACAATAGTTATAGGAATGTACAGGATGCAGAGGAATGACTTGATTAACGCGTTGCGTGGAGCCGCTACAAGACTTGCTAATACACTTCTAAGAAAAATGACTGAGGATTATCAAAACATGGTCAAAACGTACGTATGATTTTTAATTTTTTTAAAGTTAATTTACTTTATTGCGAGAAACATTAATTTATGGAGAAATTTGGGTGACCATTCTGGTATTTTAGTGTATTCTATAATTTTTCATCCTCGACGGCCTGTAAACACTCTACTGCAGTACTGCTGGACCTAGGTCACTCTAATAGGTAGGAGGACTTGCTGTAATTGTCAATATTACGTATTTGTTAGACTAGTCATTAGTATTAGCATCTTTCATCTACGATACAAGGCCACGGTTATATCATCGAGGGACGACCTATCGAAGGCCAGGAATCTTCCTGAATTTCTCAGTCGGTTCCTATGACAGTCACAGGGTGAAATGTAGTTGATGTAAACACTTTTATAAAACCTATAACGGAATAAATCTATGCATATATTTTTTCTGCTTTCTTCACCATCAGTCCTTAAAAGTTTTTTTTTATAGAATAAGGATGACAAATGAGCATACAGTCCACCTGATGGTAGATAGATGCTATGGCCCATAGACATCTACATTTATGCTCAATTAAGAATCAAAATGCAGATGCGTTGTCCCACCTGAGGACTGAGATGGAAGAAATTTCCAGTAAAGAAAGGGTCACCGGTCAGGAAGGATTTCTTAATCGTAGCGTTTGGAAGGCGATTTGACAATTTCCATTGGCCATTGCGGGTCTGAGTATTTTACGTGTGGCGTAAACAATATAATTACTAAACCATATCGTCCCGTGGATGTCGTAAGAGCCAACAGAGGGAATCAAATCAGGAGATGGGCAACAGCGTCTAGTGAGACGATTAGTGAATAACGACTAAAAATAAAAAATAAACCTTTCCAACCCGCTTGCCAAATGTGGTAACTGTGCCGGTTAATGGTAACGGTGTCTAAAGATGTCTGAATGTTATATGTATATATACAGAATTTTATATATATATATATATATTTATATTAAAAAATTTATTAACAAATCACAAACAGGATATATGATGAATATTCCGCCATCGCAAACACTCTTCTCACACCACCTCCGGATACTGCAGCGTTGATGGAGCTAATTGCATACTGCAAGAAGGTAGAAGATACAGTCCTCGAAGAAATGGAGGACAAATTGCGCTACGTAATGGGATATATCACTTTTCTCGGCGATTACACGAGTTTCACTCCGCTCGAGATGAAGGCGAACAATCAAACGTTCCATTGGTGGGTATTGATGTTTATTAAATAATCAATCAAAAATATTCAATGAGTTGCACATTGTCATAGAAAATATTGCCGTCTTCATAATGGTAAGAGCGTTTTGGAAATTATGTCGCTACGGGGTCTCCGATATCGGGGCACTGAAATATACAGGGTTATTTTGCAATAACCGGCCAAATTTGCAGAGAAGGTTCAGAATAAGTAATATTGGCAAATAGTTAAGAAAACGTAATTAAAAAAAAACTTAAACATTCTGTATGTAATTATACTAAGTTTCTTTAGCTTCAAACCAAAACCCAAATGAGCGCACTGCAGATTTGCTGCAGAATCCCAATTGTGTTTGGCACTGTCCATTGTCTTATTAAAATTAATTAAACTTATAATTTTGACAAGTATAATAAACTTCTAGGTATGCACGCATGCCTGGCGTTGTAGACGAATGCAAAACAATTTGTGATCAGAAGAAAACTGAATATCAGGAACTGTTAAAGGTAATATTTCACAGTTGCGTCTCGCCAGCAACGCACAGTCAGATATTTGCATTTAGAAAAAGCCAAAATTAGGGACTTTTTAGGTGTTAATTAGGTGCCAAGTTCAAAAATTAGGTGCTCTAAAATTTTCACCACAAGGAACTGTTAAAATTTGCGTTTCTGGTAAAACGTATCGCCAGTAACGCAGTGACGATTATAGATATACATACGATAAATATTAATAGCAAGTAATTAAGTGCTGCATGTATAGGCAATGGCACAGCTATATTTCACAGTAAAAGAAGCATTTCACCTAACTGTATATTAAAGTTTAGTAATGTGATGTTTTAAAGGAAATGTAATATGGTTGAATAAACACATTGAAAAATGTGCTATGGCTTAACTTGGAATTCTACATTCATATAAATTTTATGTTTAAGGCATGTTATTCCTTTTTTAATATTAATCATTTGGTTTCTTTTTCTGCAATATCGCTATATTTATAACATACAGCGAAATTGCAGATTGCGAGATGATGATTTGTTGATGAATTTTTCATAGCTATAATCAGTCCGAGCTGCAACTGTTAATCTCGGTGGTCTGGCTCGGTGGTGCGAGCACAGTGCAATAGCAATAGATCGCCAAAAACCTATTGCACGCCTCACTACGTGAGGGAGTGCTCTACTCTCGATATGTGGCCTTACGTCAATTTCGCTGCATAAAATCGTTCTTAAACTTTTAGCTAGACATCAAATCCATATTTGAGACACAAAAATTAAACATTAACGTTACAATAACTACAGACATTTATTTTAATTATAAGATTAGTTTATTTTTTCATTGATTCACTTTAGATTACATAACAAAAAAATGTATTTGAAAAAATATGTTGACTACTGTTCGTTGGTCTGTGCGTCGGTGAGTCTTCTCGCTCGATAAAAATATAAGCAATAGATTGAGATAAATATAGTATTAAATAAGATTCCATATATGCTAAGGAGGATCTCCATTGATTTTTGTTATTGAAATCAACACTGTTTAAAAGTTGTTAATGAAAGTCGATCAGATTTTCTGTCTTTTTTCTTTTAAAAATTAGCGTCACCATTTTTATTTTTTTCATCAATATTGAATGAAACGCTCATAAGGCGTGCACTTTTGGGTTTTCCAAATTATTCTTTAAATTTCTTGCACCCTAGATACACTCTAAAAATCACACGGCTTTCAACTGATGACAGCATTGCTGTATCGATATTCTTGTCATTTTTCTTCATCAATAATTCCAATCCACTGCTGGATTTGGGATTTTTAAAGAATGAATCTTGATTCTCTCTTGAATCTTGATTCAAGACGAAAGGGTTTTGAGTGGCACGGCTGCCTAGCAGCGGTAAGCTGAGTAGCCCTCCACTAGATGGAGTGAACAGGTCGTCACTCCAAGTAAGACATGCAGGAGTTCAGAGCCGTGTTTTGTGTAACGTTGATGACTTTACAAGATTGAAAATAGTGTGGTTTGGTAAGGGCGTCATGAGTCTGAAATTTGGGATCGGTCATTTTTTAAAGGATTCAGCACCAAAGACAGTAATGATGATGATTTAAATAATTGTTACTGCATCTGCCGTGTATAAAATAATTACCATAGCGATAATTGACCTCTTGACTAACGAAGAAATAAAAGTATTAGGGTGACAAACGAGCAAACACTCCTCCTGATGGTAATTGGATGGTGTGACTCATAGACATCTACTCGTACATCCAATCATCTTAAGAATCAAAATGCATATGCGTCGTCACCAATGAGGACTAAGATAATGTCTGTCCCTTTTTACGGATAACGAGGTTATCAGTAAAAAGGGAGACCCGGAGTTCTCTACACTTTTTATAAAAAACACAACAGCATGAAATAAATAATAAATAAATAAAAAGTATTTATTTCCCACAAAACAATACAATGTTAAAATTGAAATATACAGCTTAATAATTAATTGCGACAAAACGGCCTGTGACTCAGGTGTTACGGCAAACCAATTACTCCTACTATTCAGCCACAGCCTTTGCGCATTATCCACATAGGGTCTTTAGGCTGTCTTTAAGCTGCATCACTCCTGCTATTCTGCCACAGCCTTTGCGCAGTATCCATACAGGGTCTTTAAGCTACTATTTCACGTGGTTCTCCCCCATTCGAATCGATCTATTCGTACTGTAGCTATGTATAGCTGGCATATTTGCAGCGTGGCTGTAACATGTATAAACACATACATAGAGTTATGTAATTAAATCGTTTTACAGGTTCGAATCGCCAAGTTTATTGAAGATCTTGACATGTACGAGCTACAGTGTAACGAGCTTCAGTATTGGGGCGATATTAACGAGTTGCCCAAATACGTTACACGCGCTCGTAATCTTGATGAAAAGTAAGCAATTGAAATATTATGACTTTTAGAAGAAATAGAAAGAAGCGATGTTGTCAAAGAAACTATCAAACCGATGTAACTCGTGGGTGTCACAAGAAGCGACTATGGGAAAATCTGAGAGGTCCTATGGCTTCTGATATTTATTTTTATTTATATATTTTTTATTTATATGATAGGAGGCAGTATAACCATTTAACGTATGAAAAATATTCAGTTTGACGACGGAAAGCAGCCATTATGACAAAATCTTTAATGTGTTTATGAATTATCATAGATTATCTGGCCAATTAATTAAGTGATTTTTTTATAGGATAGGGTGACAAACGAGCACACAGTCCTACTGATGGTAAGTGGTTGCTGTGACCCATAGACATCTACATTTATCCTCAATAAAGAATCAAAATGGAGATGCATTGCCACCCGTAAGGACTAAGATGGAATGCCTCTTTTCCAGTAAAAAGGGTCTCCGGTTCTCTACGCTCATCATACAAAACAGCAGTGTTAAGCTGCTATTTTATGCTGGTATTCTGTGAGAGCGTGGTCCTTCTCCGGTCGAGCCGACCCATTCGTGCTACACTATACTACTAATATAGCTGCAGCATGGCTCTACCACGTATAGCCTTGCTGTAGTTATATTAGTAATATAAATGATGTAGAGAACCGATTTGATTTGAAAGGCAAAATTTGTAAAAAAATGTAAAGAGAAAGTGAATATCTGGGATATCGCCTCTTTGCTGTCGGCGAGGCTTATATACGAGTAGTTATCAATCGCCTTAAGTCGGCGAATAGTCTTCAAATAGAACACTTCTCTGGCTTAATGCTCAAAGCTAGCATGGGAGGATTTCGTGTAATGGTATCGCGTTAGATAAAATGGCTACTTTACGCGGACATAAATGAAGGAAATAATATGGAGCTAGATTTTGTGTGTCAAATAAAATGTAAGGAGATTTTTAAATTTACATTCCATATTGAACGGTGAAATAGAATAAATAAATAATGTTATATATTTTATTTAAATTTAGGTTGTCTAACGCTTTAGTGAAGATTGATCAATTTAATGAGGAAGAAGCATCTTTCGGGTGGGAGCTTTCGCAGTACCCAAAAAGAAAAATGGTTTTTGATCGGCTTGTCCCTTTCAAGAAACTCTACGATGCGGGCTACGATTTCTTGGAAAAACATAATAACTGGATGAAGTCTAAGGTAAGATTTAGCATTATACGAATCACAACAATGTCATTCCTGGTTGTTTAAATTGGTGATTTTCAAAAAAAAATGTTTACTGGTAGGAGATATATTTACAAAATACATTTTGGGTCAGGAAATCGACGATCGATTAAAAAAAATTATTTAAAGTAATATTGATTTGTAAGAAGTTGTATAATTTACTATCGACTTTACACATCGATTACACACGGCAATAACATATTTTAAAGGGGCGTTTATTCAATGTATATTTTTGTTATATTTTGTCAACAATTTTTTCATACTATTATTTTTCAATCCAAAACAAAATTAAATTTTATACTATAGATTTTTAATACATACTCTTTATTGATGCTAAAATATTTTTAATTAGGTCGGTAGCTTTGATCCTGAGGAAATAGAAGGAGATGTAAGCTATTATTACAAAATTGTATATAAACTGGAAAAGTCATTCCAAGACGTTCCTGATACCCACCAGCTTGCTGTTTCAGTCAGGTGATAATGAATAGTTCCGTAACAAGCTGTGTAAGCTTTTATAATTAAAAGAAAACATTTATTAAAAATATTGGTATTATAGGGAGAAAATTGATGAATTTAAAACGCATCTGCCAATCATTCAAACATTAGGAAATCCAGGCATGAAACCTCGCCATTGGGAGAAAGTTTCCGAAATTGTTGGTTTTCCTATAGTCGTCGATGATGAATTGTCGTTGGAAAAAGTGATAGATTTCAATTTGGTGGATTACATTGAGAAGTTCGAGGGTATCTCGGAGGCTGCAACTAAAGAAAACAATCTTGAGAAAGCGTTGGATAAGATGATGAAGGAATGGGCCGATCTTAAATTTGAAATCCTGTCGTACAAGTTAGTACCAAACGCCTATTAATGTTTTGCTTATTTAAATAATCGTTACGTTTTAGGTACGAATGATGGGAAGTGGTTACTGCAGCCCGTGGACACCTGCAACCAACTACAAACAAAGAAGCCTACAGACGCGTTGTCGTCTCTTGGCACTAAGATGGAATGCCTTGCAGCCTGTAATTAAATTATACTGGTTTTATATACATACATACGGAACAGTAGTGCAGGCACTGTTATCTGGTGGCACAAATAGATAAGAGAGTGGTACCTACCCTGTTGAACTCTAGGTAAAAAAGGACTTCTACCACCTAGTGTATGAAACTATAAATATATATAGATAGATATACTAGCTGTGCCCCGCGACTTCTCCCGCGTCGAATTTCTACGATTTCATGAGTTTTAATATTTTTGCGCGGAACCCTAATTCTTTTTCTAAAATAAAAGTATCCTAAGTTACTCCTTATAATATCAGCTATATACCAATGATGTCAAAATCGGTCCAGCCGTTTCGGAGATTAGCCGGAACAAACAGACAGACAGACAGACAAACATTTTAAAAATTGTTTTTTTTTTGTTATAACTCCGTATATACTTTCATATGCATTTAGTAAAAAGCTGTTATTTTAACATTACAAACAGACACTTCAATTTTATTTATTTGTATAGATATAGATTTTTTTTATAGAATAAGGGTAACGCACAGTTCAGCTGATTGTAAGTGGATGCTGTGGCCCTTAGACATCTAAATTATTCCTCAATTAAGAATCAAAAAGCAGATGCGTTGTCACCACTGAGGACTGAGATAGAATGCCTCGTTTCCAAAGGGTCTCCGGTTCTCTACAATCACCATAGGAAAAACAGCCGCATTAAGCTGCTATTTTACTCTGGTATTCTGTGATAGTGTGATCCTACCTCGGTCGAGCCGACCCATTCGTGCCATACAACCATAATATAGTTGCAGTGTGGCTCTATCATGTAAAACTTAACATACTTCAGTAATTACGGGTTGATAAAAAAAGATAAAAGAAAAATGTATCTCTGTTTATAATTTTAGGGACACTGGAACTTATATTTTATCGAGTGTGGATGAAATACAATTGCTGTTGGACGACCATATAGTTAAAACTCAAACTATGAAGAATTCACCTTATATTAAACCATTTGAAGAAGTTATAGTGTAAGTTTAGCCTATATTTTTGATTCTAAATAATAATTTCATTTAAGAGATAATAATTTAAAATTTCTAATTTGATTTCGTCTCGTTTCATGTTATTCCGTTAACAAAGCTTAATCATAATTAATAGAATCAGGCTTTACTATGCGGAAATCCATTATATAAAAGCTTTTAAAAAAATTACTTCGCAAACATACGCGCTTTAAAATAAAATGATGTGTCTTACTTAGTATGAAGAGCACCTCCCGCCCGCCCTCAATTGCATGCACTATCACCACTAATCCCAGCACCGCTACTCCCAACACCACTACACTAGGCAAGACACACCACTGACGACAATACGACACGTGTTTCGCCTCTACACGAGGCATCCTCAGGTGATGTAGACTCTACGGTGGTTCACCGCATCCTGATGTCATAACATTATAGCGCGGATGTTTGCGAAGTAAATTTTTTAAAAGCTTTTATAAAGCTTAATCATGCATAAATTCACATTTTCTTTATCGAATTTGTAAAATTCAACAGTGACTGGGAGGGCAAGCTTATATTGCTACAGGAAATACTTGACGAATGGCTAAAAGTCCAAGCAACATGGATGTACTTGGAACCCATCTTTTCCTCGCCTGACATTCAACAGCAAATACCAGAGGAAGGTCGAAGATTTAGCGCTGTTGACAAGGTATTTAAATTCACTTGGATAAATTAATATTTTTTAGAAGTAAGGGAAATAACGCCTGTGAGTAAGTGAAAGCTATTATCGATGAAAAATCAAAATGCAGAGGCGTTGTCACCCTGAATACTAAGATGTAATGCTTCGTTTTCACTAAAAAGAGATTTAGAAGTACGACAAATCCCGTCTTAGACGTATGTACATGTGTTCGAAGCTTAGGCTAAAAGCTTATTATATGTATTTATATATATTATAGAAAAAAGAGCTAAGATACAATTATATGGTAAATGGCTTCTACGGCACACAGACAATTGCAAATGTTTTGTCTCTAAGAACTGACATGGAACATCTCAAAACGCCGGCGAAGAAAAAGAAAATAAACCTAGCAAGCTAACAGCATAGCAAAGTGGCGAAGCAATCAGCTTTGTAGCGGTTTCTAACGGTTGCCGTTGAGCAATCAGTTTCAAAATAGGAGGTTCAGATGCCTGGGTGATCAGTAACCGATTGCTGAAAACAGAATTTGAAAATTCGAAACCGCTCTCGAGATAATCGTGGGACAGACGGACAGACGGACAGACGGACAGACGGACAGACGGACAGACATCGTGAAATCAATAAGTGACTTCGCAAGCTTCGCCACTTAATAACTAAGTATATGTATTGTAAAGTAAATTATTGTTAAAAACATAGTCTCGGTTTTAGTCAGGTTTCTTGTTGGTCCTCCCCAGGACAGAGGTGTTTTTCGGACTTGTGGCGAAAGCATAAATGACTTTCAATAAGAATTATTGTAATCTATATTGAATAAAAATTGTTCTATTCCACACTATTCATATTTTATGCATAGGACAATCACACAATTTATTTGACAGATGTGGCGGGAAATAATGAAAGCCGCATACGCCGAGCCCCGGGTGCTCGATGTGATCACAATTGAAAAGATGTTAGATAGGCTACGTAAATCGAACAATTTACTAGAACTGGTGCAGAGGGGTTTGAATGCTTACCTCGAGAAAAAGCGTCTTTTCTTCCCCCGATTTTTCTTTTTGTCCAATGACGAGCTACTGGAAATTCTATCTGAAACAAAAGATCCTTTACGGTGAGTATGCTTAATGTAACGAAAATAAATCTTTAATAATTAAAGCACTTTAATATTAAGTTAAAATGAATCGATTGTTCTAAAATGTATTTTATGTAAGAGGAAGTTTGTTTTAAAGCTAGTTATAAAAAGTGATAAATAATTGGTCGGGGAAAAGTTTCTTCGTATTTTATATATAAATTCAAAACATTTTTTCATAGTTTAATTACATTCAATTAGAACATATTGTATGTGCTTTGTGGGTAGTGACATAATCCCTTATTATAATAAATTTCTTCCTTGAGTCTGATTAGTTGGCAGTAGATATCCGAATCGATGGTTTTGCCCGGCGGTAAAAGTTCATAAACGATGCCTTCCAATCTCACCATTTTTTTATAGGATAGGGTGACAACGAGCACACAGTCCACCTGATGGTAAGTAGTTGCTGTGTCCTATAGATATCTACATTTATCTTCGATTGCGAATCAAAATGCAGATGCGTTGTCACCCGTGAGGACTAAGATGGAATGCCTCGTTTCCAGTAAAAAGGGTCTCCGGTTCTCTACACTCAACATACGAAACACAGCAGCGTTAAGCTGCTATTTTACGCTGGTATTCTGTGAGAGCGTGGTCCTTCTCCGGTCGAGCCAACCCATTCATGCTACAACCATAATATAGCTGCAGCATACGAGTAGCTCTACCACGTACAAACTATACACACAGCATTATTTTATTGCGTCGCTTGAAGTAACTTAGTGATACTCTTACTGACACTGTGTTATGTCCATAAATGCCATGCCATTTCGCGGCATGAGTGAGGCTTGAGAAAATATAAATATATAAATGGATCTATTTTTAAGGGAATCTATGGTGGAGGTATATGTTCAGCAATAGGCTTTTCGTAGGCTGTAACGATAACGGAGTGTAAAGCAGCACATGGTTTTTAAAACTATTTTCATTCATGTGTACTAAATATTAGTGTAAATTTAAATCAACATTATTATATTCAGCGTGCAGCCGCATCTAAAGAAGTGTTTCGAGGGCATTGCAAGACTGACGTTTACTGAGGATATGGTAGTAACGCACATGAAGTCTTCGGAGGGCGAGATCGTTTTGCTGACAATGACCATAAATACAGCAGCGGCTAGGGGTCAAGTACGTATAAAACTTTTAAATATGTCGATGCACAAATTTCTAAGGACAATTTTCATAATCCTACTAGTACTAAATTTACACTTCATGTGTACAATAAAGATTGAATATATATGAATTTTATTTTTGTTCAATTTATAGGTGGAAAAATGGCTTTTGGAGCTGGAGAAATCGATGAAAGATTCGGTACATAACGTTGTGCACCTATCCTACCATAACTACACACAGCGGCCTAGAGAGGATTGGGTACTCGTTTGGCCCGGACAGGCGGTTAGAATTATTACAAATCTTTACATAATTTATTAGTGTATATTGTAGAAAGCACTAACCTCTATATAATATGGACTTGGACTGGCTATACACCGTAACATAATGTCATCTTTATTAATTATTAATTGACAATGAGGGCGCTTCAAATCAGCATAAGCATTTTGTATGGCGTAGCCAGTCCAGCGTATTTGTATATATAGAGGTCAGTGGTAGAAAGTTATATAGGTAACTTAAACATTTTACTAATCCCAAACTAAGTAAAGTAAGCCATGATAGCTCAGAGGCTGAGCGCTCGCTTGTAAATTTCACAGTACGCGAAGCAAAAATGTAATTGTTAATTGCAATTTTAAGTGCTGATTTACCACGTGCTCGGCTGTGGAGGAAAATATTGTAAGGAAACCTGCATGTCTGAGAAATAAGAAAAAAAATCGAGAACATGTGAAGATCGCCAACACGCATTGGGGTAGCGCGGCGGACTTTTCCGTGCCCTAAAACACTCAGAAATATGAGGATGCCTGTGCTCAGCAGTGGAACGTATATTTAGTCTGCAACTTTAACTTTTTTAATTTTTAAACTAAGTAGTGTCTTGGGATGAGATTTCACTTTGTTCTTTATATTGACTACTAAGTGACTTAACCGTCTCCTTCTTCTTCTTCATCAGCCTGCAAGTCCATTACTGGGCCGAAGCCTCTCCAGTTGAAGGGTGGGTTTGCCTTAATTGCTCACTTTTGTAGGCCAATCGATCATCGCACTATTAGACGTCTCGTACTCTTGGTACTGCTTTCCGCCACCGCTCTGGGTATTTCGTACAGGGATGGTTATACTGCAATCTATCGGAATCCACAAGATCTTTCAGGCATATCCCATAGTAGTCTATTACAAAATCCAAGACAGTAAATGGGTTATTGGAATGTCTTACAACGCCACCACATAGTGGGGTTAAACCATAGAAAAAATTAAACCCTCATCTACCGATTTTAAAAAGGAGGAAGTACTCAATTTGACTGTATGTTTTTTAATGTTTGTTACCTAATAACTTTTTTCTGGATGAACTGATTGTGATGATTCTTTTTTTTATTTGAAAACTGGTGCTTCTCATGTGGTCCCATATAAATTTGATTAAGGTTTGACAAATAATTTATGAGATATAACTAATAACTTATATTGAAGTCGGTTGTACAAAATTTTTAATTATTCTACGAGTCTTTGGTGACATAAGTTTTCAGATCTATCGGCGTTAATTATTTTTTTAAATAAAAATGTATAACTACTATAGGTAGGCCAATCAAAAGTACTAATGTTATTTGTGTTTATGTTATAACTGTTAATATTTTAACTTTTCACTTATGAAGGTGCAATGTATAGCAATGACTTATTGGACGTCGGAAGTAACGGAGGCTATTCATATCAGCGTTAAAGCAATGAGGTCTTATTGGGAAAAGTGTAACTATCAGATATCGAAAATTGTGGATTTGGTTCGAGGCGAACTTAGTCTGCAAAATCGCATCACGTTAGGTAAATAAATATTTAAAATAGCTTTACTACAAAACGATGCATGAAAAACTAATATCATATATTAATTTTTTTTTAGGATCGGGTGACAAACGAGTACACAGTCCACCTGATGGTAAGTGGTTACTGTGACCCATAGACATCTACATCTATCCTCAATAAAGACTCAAGATGCAGATGCGTTGTCACCCGTGAGGACTAAGATGGAATGCCTCTTTGCCAGTAAAAAGGGTCTCCGGTTCTCTACACTCACCATACGAAACACATAATTATAACTAGTATATCATATACAGAACTTATAAACTACATTAGTTGTTTTTATATCTTGTAATAATAATCTACACATCTTACATACATTTAAGTAAAATTGTAGGGTCTGTCTGTAATATTAAATTTTTTTAGCCTTTTATTTAGCTGAGGGTGTTATTTTTACTATGCCACTAAGATATAACTATTTTTAAAATGTTTGTTTCTCCGGGAAAAGCTTTGGAATGGCTGAACCGATTGTAAGAAATCTTGATAAACAGATAGAGAGCAATACGAAGACTGATCGAGGCTGTATTTTATCCGAAAACTCGGATTTTTGCTGAAATCGAAAGAGTGATAATATTAAAAGCATTAAAATCTATAATATAAAAATGAATCGCTGAATGTGTTTTTAAGTGCAAATCTCGAGAGCAGCTGAACCGATTTCGCGAATTCCTTTTTTATAATATTACTTGAAGTACGAAGATGGTACTTACGGAGAGAAAAATTTAAAAAAATTCCTGAAAAAGTCTAAAAAAGGAAACACTTTATTATATTCCCATACAAAAGATTCGTAATAATACTTAAAAGTCAATTTGAACTTTAATACCATACCATAAAGTTTAAGTGGAGGGGTTCCGGGAAGGCAAAACAATTGTGTGAAGTTAGTATAGTCGCGGGGCACAGCTAGTTGCAGTATATATTTCAATCTCGTTGGATAAAATAAATGGTCTTTGATGATTGTTATAAATATAAATAACGCCACATTAGTAGATCCAACCCAGGCGAAGCCGAGGTAGGTCACTAGTACAAAATATAATGAGGGTACAATCTTACGTGAGTAGGTTTACGTTAGAAGTTTCAAGGTTAACGGTATTTCAGTGATAGCATGGCAAATTTGAGCTCGTTAGATCGTTTTACTTCCTCCCTCCGCTACAAATTGGCTGTCTTCATTTATTACAACGAGTATATTCCTCCACTTATATATCTCTACCTCTCAGCGTGATATGTGATAATATCTTTAATCGTACTAGTTTGAATTTGTGCCATAAGTATTTCTTACAAATGGCGGCATAAGATTGATACATAATAAAATTTATCTTTAATAAATAGAGAGTTTATCTTCTGATGAAAATTCTAATATTTATCATTGTTCCGTAAACATTCCACTGCTGAAAATCGGTTTCTCTTTCGCTGCACAGTCAGGAGGTGGTCACCACTATATATGGTCACCACCACCAAACGTTTCATTTCTTCGTTGCTGCTCTCCGTCATCAACTTGACCTAGAGCGCTTTTAGTCGAACGACTCTTATTCGACGACGTATTCGGCGAAGTTGTTGACACATTATGTCATTTCCTGAAATAAAATAAACGTGACTGACAGTCGTCGTTGGCGATGACGTCACCGATCACGTCATCGACTAATGAGGGCATCCACAACTTTTTCTGCCACCAGGGTGGCGCCACTAGAAAGTGAGGTATAATATTTGATAGATTTCATAGCGGAGAAGTTAATTTGTTCGGAAAATATAAAGGTTATTGTTTCTTTCTGCACTATTAGCTAAATTTTATATTCAGATTAAGATTAAAAATAAATAAAGCAAACATAAAAAAAGTTAAAAAGGTGAAGTAAATTAAAGAGCAAACCACTGACGCATTGTTTTGTGTATTAATTTAATACTCTAGAAACTGACAAACTTTTATTAAAAACCAACTTCTCAATTAAATGATGTTGTATAACAAAAAAACTTTAACTCAGTGTCAACTAGCGACATCTGGTGAGCAGAAAATTATTAGCCCTCATTGTCGTTCTTATTTCTTATAAAACGACAATAAGTCTACGAGAATTGAAGAATAAATAGAATCTCTTCACATAGCAGTTGTAATAATATACATTTTTTTTTATTTTAGGTGCTTTAGTAGTACTGGATGTTCACGCTAGAGACGTTCTTATGTTGCTCATTGACTTCAAAGTAGAGCAGGACAATGACTTTAATTGGCTGTCGCAGATACGATATTATTGGGAGGTATATTTTAGCTAGTTTATTATGATTCAATTATAACAATTACCTTTTTTTAAGTAATGTGTATGATGATAAAATCTAAATATCTGAATCTACGTAGCAGAGCTAAGCTGTAAAATATTATAATATATTATTATTAAAATATTATATTAGCGTATTGACACTTATATGGGGTATGATGTACCACGCCACCATTACAATATCATATTGATTTCATAGAAATATTATGTTAGTGTCTCGCATCATAGCCTGTGATAACTATTAGTCTAATATGTAGGTACATAATATTCTATGTATGGTCATACAATCTTAATATTCACTCAAGATGGACGACGATATTATTGTTTATATATCCGCTTTAGCTATCGTAATCATTATGCTTAAGTAATAACCAGCGAGTCGGACTCATGAAGGGTTCGATACCATCGTAAAACAAGTATCTAGCCCCCTTTAATTTTTAACTTATCTTTAATTTTATTATTTGTAGTTATAGTGTCAAAAGAAATATACATTCTCATGATCATGAGATGCATCCCGCTGACAGACAGACAGACCAACGGGCGGACGAACTGACAGAGATGGCTTAGTAATAGGATCGTTGGTTACCCTTCGGGCACGGAACCCTAAAAAGGAAAATAAATGTGTCTGATAAGAGTGGTAAATTAAAAGGATGTATTTGGGTCAACTTTGGGTAGGCCGGCGCTCAGAAACTGGGATTTGCAATACTTTATTCGAAGAATTGAGAGTAGAAGATACAAATTATTATAATACGTATCAGCGAATAGTAGAGAACGTATTTAATTATGTTTTAACCAAATTGAATCCATATATTTCAAAGCATTGAGGTGAATCAAGAATTTTGTCATTTCGATGTTACACTCAATCGTCTTGAATTTTCTGTACCCGTTTTCAGGTTAAAGCATCTAAGCATATATTATATGATGACAATATAAGTCAGTGAGGGAGTGTACTTAATAAACTATCGTAGATTTCTCATATTTCTATGAATCATATATAAAATGATCATCATTTACATAATAAGATAGTTTAAAAGCGACCTAATATGATGCGAGATAATAATCAAAACATAATTATTTGAAGCAATTAGTAACTCCATCTTAGTTTAAATTTTGGTGTTTACGGTTTACAATTAAAATTTTGTAAGATTGTTTTCAAGTTCAAGATTTATTATAAATTGGCTCTATACGAAGATGTTTTTTATAGATAAGAGTGACAAACGAGCACACAGTCCACCTGATGGTAAGTGGATGCTGTGGCCCATAGACATTCACATCTATTCTCGATTAAGAATCATATTGTATATGTTATCACCTGAGGATTACTTGGAATGCCTCAATATAGGTAAAAGGAGTTACCGTTTCTTTACACTCACCATACGAAACACCGCAGAATTAAGCTTTTATTCTACGATGGTATTCTGTGGGAGCATGTACCTTCCTCGGTCGAGCCGACCCCTTCGTGCTCAATACCTTAACTAGGCTGCAGCATGGCTCTACCCAGTGATATTAAAAATAAATGTTACCGAAAATACGGTTATAAACAACAGGTTTTTTTTTTAAACTTAAAGGAACAAGAGGAGACAGGAATGCAGATCGTAACGCGTATGATCAACTCTCAGCTAATGTACGGATACGAGTACCTCGGCAACACTGGACGTTTAGTCGTTACGCCGCTGACAGATCGCTGCTTTAGGACATTGTTCGGAGCTCTGCATTTGAACTTAGGTTAGTTAATTCTGTGTGTAGTCTTTTTCTCTTGAGTGTGCTTTCTGCGACAAGGCTGACGGAGGAAAGAGAGGACAACGAGAGATTCTTATAAAGATGGCGTAAGTAACAAACACGTTATCCAATGCTCGGTTTTAAAATTAATTATCCGTCCATCCGTCTCACATCGCATTTGCATCGAAAAGCAGAAAGGGAAGGAGGCTTATATTTTATTATATTTTATAATATGTAAAAATATATTCTATTATATTTTATAATAGGCCATAAATAGGCTTATATTTTATTATATTTTATAATATGTAAAAATATATTCTATTAGAAAAACCCGTTAACTATCAAAATACCATTTGGTATTTTCGGCTATAATATAGTTAGGGAAGAAAAATGCTTAGTGACGAACAGCCGCATCCTTCTATATAGACCATGGTGGTAACTAAAGCGCATAATATACGCTTCTGATAGAGTGAAAAATAGCAATAGACCTAAACAATAATAAGCAAGTGTACTTTGCTGCTGTAACGCTGTAAACTAAATAAGAAATAAGTCGTACAAGAAATATATTGATTTTTGCAACAGGAGGCGCACCCGAAGGCCCCGCAGGAACTGGAAAGACAGAAACGACGAAAGATTTGGCCAAAGCAGTAGCAAAACAATGCGTAGTGTTTAATTGTTCAGATGGTCTTGATTACATTGCACTAGGGAAATTCTTTAAGGTAATATTACATCACACTCTTTTAATAAGTATTCACTTCCAAGACATAATTAACAAGAAGATTATTAGGCAATGAGCCATTATTTCTAAGTAGTTTAAGATGACAAAAAATCTGTGATCTTATCTGTTTAAAGCTGGTTGCAAGTGTTGTATGATCAACACAACATACTTATCATCAGGTATATTGGATAGACCGTTAAAGTCATTGAAGTAAAATTTATTACGTACTAGAATAGACACCGCGAATAAAATCTGTGCAACAGTGCTGGGCACGTGGTCGGAGGTACAGAGTACTAAAGAGTTTATAACAACTACGTTTTACAGTGTACCTTTTTATGGAAAAGACTTAATAATTAAGTAAGTTTGAGCCCGTGGGCTTTATAGCGCGTTGCAAACAACTAAGTCTCGGCGTCTCTTCTAGTACGTAGTACATATTACTTCAATGGTTAAATTATAGAATTTCGTATTCTAGGGTCTAGCTTCTTGCGGTGCGTGGTCATGTTTCGACGAGTTTAACAGAATTGATCTAGAAGTGCTCTCAGTAGTGGCACAGCAGATTCTCTCTATTCAGCGCGGCATCAACTCCGGAGCTACTGAGCTATTGTTCGAAGGCACGCTGTTGCAGCTCGATAAGACTTGTGCCGTTTTCATTACCATGAATCCGGGATATGCCGGAAGATCGGAACTGCCTGATAATTTGAAGGTTAGTTGTTGTACTTGTCGCGTTATTTCTAATTACTGTAGGTATTTTTTCACTTCGTACCTTAATTGCTGTTTTCTGTTACTAGTCTGAATATTCGAGGTGTCGTAATGAGGGCTAATAATTTTCTATTCACCAGATGTCGCTAGTTAACACTGAGGTAAAGTTTATTTGTTACACAATGTCATTTAATTGAGAAGTTAGTTTTTAATAAAAGTTTATCAGTTTCAACAGTATTATATTAATACACAAAACAATGCCTCAGTGGTTTACTCTTTAATTTTTTTGCACATTTTTAACTTTTTTAAAATTTTTTACTTTTATTAATATCTGTGGTTTGGTTTATTTATTTTTAATCTTATTAATATAAAATATAGCTAATACAACAGAAAGAAACATTAACCTCTACATTTTCCAAACAATTAACTTCCCTGCATTGATATCTGTCAAATATCACCTAAATAACCTCACTTTTAAGTGGCGCCGCCCTGTTGGCAGAAAAAGTCGTGGATGCCCTCACTTTTGAGATGACTGATACGGCCCTTTTTTGGTTGTCAATTTTTACACCACCTGCAAAAAGAAATGATGTTATGAATTTTTGACGCTGGAACTATATAAAATATTTACTTCAATTTATCGTTAGTGAAATATTTTAAATCAAGAGTGGGCGTGTAGTGGTTGAGTAACTTAGGCTACTTTAACTTTAACTAACTTCAACGACTAAAAATAAAAAAAAACTGCGGTTGCCAACCCGGTCGCCAAGCGTGGAAGCTACGGCAAATATGGGGGAGGTCTATGTTCAGCAGTAGACTTTATAGTCTGTAATGGTCTGTAATGGTAATTGACTGTATGACATATTGTATCAATAAATAGACAAAAAAAAAGAATCCAAAAGAAGTTTGCGATTCACCTACTGTATGGCTCCGTGGTTGGGTTTCTATTCAATTGTCGGCAATTTGTCCTATTGATTTAATATAGTATAATAATGCAAAAGTGTAGCAGTAAGCTCTTTTTTATCTGCGGAGTTCTGAACTTATTTTTCTTCTAAATTCGTAAACCTGCAAATTTAATATTTCTGTAACTAAAAACGTTTGATTTTAAAACATCATTACATCACCACCAAAGCGCGTTTGGATCCTATGCTTGCATTAAACTAATTTTACAAAAACAAAAAAGCAAAAAATAAAAATATACGAGATTTAATCTCGTATATTTTTATTAGTTAAATAATAAGTTAAATTAATCACAATGAAATCCGTGAAGTTAGTTTCTTTTAATGTGTACTACTATTCGCGCAAATATAAGAAATCGTTAAGCGTTACTTAGGTACATCTTTTATGTGAAAGTACATAAGACACTATAATAAACTTCGCAGTTACTACGACTTCGCAGTTACTAGATTCAATTGTTGGTTTTGTTACAATGAAGATGTATATTCCGTAGGCGCTGTTCCGCTCAGTGGCTATGATGGTACCGGACTACGTGTTGATCTCCGAGATAGAACTTTATGCTTTTGGATACTTGAATGCTAAGCCTTTGGCCGTGAAGATAGTTGCCACCTATAAATTGTGCTCGGAACAGTTGTCCTCACAAAGCCACTATGACTATGGTACATTTTTCTATAATATACTAATGATAAACAGAACACCATCCACAGGTGACACAGAAACCTCCCTCAGCTTCTTGACACGCACTCGTGCATGTATCTTTCTTATTTTTTTCTTAAGAGGCTTGTAAACGTATACAGATAGTGCTGAACGTACACTTTTGCTATGTTGCATATTGTCGGTTGCAAATAATTTTGCAGGCATATATGTGCATGAGTGCTTGTCCTCACAGTAAGTTAAGCATAGTTTTGGGTTGGTTCGGCGACACTCGAAACGTTCATAATTAGCATCTCACTTATTCTTTCTCGAACATAACATGAAACACAACATGTTTAATTAACCAAAGGTTATTTTTTATCGCGTAAAGGGATATTACAAACATTCTCTATACTTTTCCCGTCAAGTACGACTATTTTCTTACCGGACTTTTGATACAATTTTTTAGAATATAACGGTACAAACGAGGTAACAATCTACATCATGCTAAGTGGCTATGCAGCTAAAAGACACCTATAAATCACTTCAAATAAAGTGTAATAAAACGCAGAAAGTTACTATCAAGGGTAAAAGTTCTTTCGGGTCACCTGTACTAATAGGTGTCCCTCAAGGCTCAATTCTCGCCCCATTCCTATTTCTAGTGTATGCTAATGGCTTTACTTCCCTTGTAGGGCATAGTCATGATATAGTGTTATTTGCTGATGATAGTGCCTTGATTTTTTAAACTTAAACGTCAATCATTTAAATGTGACGAAGTGAAGAATACTATATCAAAATTAGTGCAATGGTATAACATTAATAATGTACATTTAAACGGCAATAAAACTAAATGTATTAAATTTACAACACCGAATGTTAAAGATCTGAATACCAATGTGCTTTTAAATGGGGAAGAACTGAACCTTGTTGTTCAATGGGGCCCCCATATATCCATACTAGCAAACAGGCTAAGTTCTGCAGCTTGAGCTGTTAAAATGATTAGAGGTCTCACTAGTCCATAGAGGTTCATAGCATAATGTGTCTTATGGGAATTTGCTGTGGGGAAATGCGGCTGCATTAGAAACAATTTTTTGTTTTGCAGAGGAGGACCACTAGAGCTATTTACTACATAAAACTGAGAGAGGCTCTTACAGAAAAATTTAAATAAATAAATACATTAACTTTTGCCTCTCAGTATATTTACGAAAATTGTAAACTACCTTTGTTAATGTATGTTTACATAAACAAAGGTAGTTTTAGGAAAAAAGTGATAAACACTATGTAAGCACTAGAAACAAACACAAGCTAGTGATACCAGTTTCTCCACTCCACAGAGTCAGTAATCCATTATTGGGGCAATCTATACACTATTACAATTAAGTCCCAGAAAATATACCTGGTCTCTATATTACCAAATTAAATATTTTATGAAACAAAAACTATAAAAAAGGTTATTATAATATAAAAATACAATGTTGATATTAACCGCTGGGAATGCGGTGGTCGCTTCTAAGCTCTTTCTAAAATAAGTTATGTGAATAGTTTGTACAAACTTTCATGTAAAATTTACTTTAAAAAAAGTCCCGCTGGGTTTCTTGCTGGTTCTTCTCAGGACAGAGGTTCTTACCAAACCGTAAAGTAAAAAATTACTCAATAAGAATTACATGCATGTGATCTATATTGAATAAAAAATTATTCTATTCTATTCTAAATAGCCAGTACAGCGTATTAGTATATATGGAGGTCAGCAACATATACATAGCTTTCTTACTCTTCAAACGATACAGCGTGCAATGTTGTTTGGTGACAGAAATTTATAAAAGGGTGGTACCAACTCAGATTCCTAGGCAGATAAAGAAAAACCTTCTGTATTATACTTAACTAGTAGAAAATTAATGGGTTAATATTATAGAACGAAAGTTTTCTAATTTCCCTGCTTAAACGAGCAAATGCATTTTTCATTCTAAGGTATGCGCGCTGTTAAATCTGTACTTCGAGCCGCTGGTGCTCTGAAGCTGCGGTATCCAGACGAAGATGAGGACATCATATTGTTGCGCTCCATCAAGGATGTTAATCTTCCCAAGTTTCTTGAGCACGATGTGCCATTATTCATGGTATACAGTATTTATGATCAATCCATATTAGTCATCAACAGATATTAGTCGCGTAACTGGCATCTAATTTTTCTTCTACTATGTGTTTATGGGACTAACACTTGTATTTGTTACACTGTTGTTATTTACAATTTCCTTATTATTGAGGGTACATCAGTTGTAAAAACTTGATGTATTTCTTATTTTAATTAATTTAGAATTGTTTACATATTTAGGTCAAAGTGCGGGATGTTCAAAATATCGATAATGCATGACGATCGCATCACACCTGTAACTTCCGAGGGGATAGGCAGAGTTCAAAGCAGCGAGCTACCCGGACCATGTTTAGCCAAAAAAATTGGGTTTTAAAGGAAAATTGTGAAACAAGTGATATGTGGCTAGCCAAATATATAGCACAATCACAAACTCAATATCCCATTAGTCACATCACAAGGCATGCTATGCACATAAACATGGGACCTATAAGTCCCAGACCAATGGGTCATTGATAAAAATTCTCGTAATTATAAACATTGAATGACTATATTATCATATTTTAGTTTGGTTTAAGTTTGAATGACGTATAAATTGAATAATGAAAAAATTTAAATATATTATAGGGTATAATTGGCGATCTATTCCCCGGTTTGCCACTACCTCAAGCCGGTCTACCACACTTAGTAGCATGTTTAAAAGAAGTGTGCGTGAAGCTTAATTTACAAGCTAATGATTTCTTTATAGAAAAGGTAAGAAAAAGCAATGATTCTTTGAACTGATTCTTTTTATCTAATTTTTTTTTATAGGATAAGGGTGACAAACGAGCACATAGTCCACCTGATGGTAAGTGGTTGCTGTGGCCCATAGACATCTACATCTATCCTCTATTACAAATCAATATGTAGATGCGTTGTCACCCGTGAGGACTAAGATGGAATGCCTCATTTCCAGTAAAGAGGTATATAAAAAAATTGATTATTCGTATTTTATGCGCTACCATATCGTTCATCAGATTGCATCTTTGTTAACTTCTTGCTTGCTCTTGCGCGAAGGTTATAGGCATAGTACAATTAGATTGCTATAGTGGCGCACGTGTCGTACCGACATATTTATTTGAAAGTCATAATATTATATAATTTCATTTCAATTAATGTATTATCATTCTCAATTAAACAATATAACCCTTCCAAGTTTAAGTCGATATTTCCACAAATGTTTTTTCTGCGTCTAATATAACATGAGAAAATAGGTTTCGTATACGTAATAAATTGTTTTTCTTAGCAATAATTTGGTTAATTATTAAGTGACAAAATATAAATTATTTTATGTAACTTTTCTTAGGTTCTTCAGCTGTATGAAATGATTCTCGTTCGACATGGCCTTATGTTGGTAGGATTTCCGTTTTCTGGTAAAACTAAATGCTACCACGCTTTAGGACACGCGTTGGCATTAGTTTCGGAAAAGGTATATTAATATTAATAACATGTATTACACTTGCATCATAGAAAGTCATTGTAATTATCTTATAAACATTCCTAACATCGTCTAAGGGTCTTATGGATGAACACGCTGTGGAATGGACCGTGATCAATCCGAAGTCGATAACAATGGGCCAATTGTATGGTCAGTTCGACCCGGTTTCACACGAGTGGTCTGATGGTATTTTAGCTGTCAGTTACAGAGCTTTCGCCGTATCAACTAATGATAACAGGTACAGGTTATATATTTTTTTATATTAGATATTATGCACATGTGACTTTTGTAATCTTTCTGAAATAAAATTTAAAAAAAAATGCGAATATTCGTTTTTTATTATTGCAGGAAATGGTTGGTTTTTGACGGTCCAGTAGATGCAATCTGGATAGAGAATCTCAACACTGTTCTGGACGACAACAAGAAATTGTGCTTAATGAGTGGTGAGATTATTCAGCTTGCACCGACTACCAATCTCTTATTCGAGCCTATGGACCTTGAAGCAGCGTCACCGGCCACGGTAAATTTAATCGTTTTTAATACTGAATAAATTTTTAGTAAACAACACAAACATATCTAAAGTAAAGACTTTACTAGTGAGCACTTTGTAATTTGTAAACCAGAATGGTAGTATTGGGCAGTATACAATTCCGTAAGAAACGTTGTAATAAGCAGCTATTATGTACAAATATCCAAATATCGATTATATGAAACATTGTAAAGATTGGGAGCGTGTTGACGAGGTTTGCGTACCTTATACTCAGAATCACCAAACGGTATTCGCTGAATGTTATTCAGGTTTACGCACCAACGTCGGCAGATCCAGATGAGGAGGTGAAGGAAATATATGAGAATGTATCTAAAGCCATGCATTCCTCCAAAACCCACTATACGGTGGTAATGGCAGATTTCAACGCAAAACTAGGCACAAGAGAGAACGACGAGCTGAAGGTAGGGAAGTTTGGAATAGGGCAACAGAACCCAAGTGGTCCGCAGCTGGTGGAATTCATGAAAGTACCCCACAGGAAGTGGACCTAGTCGAGCCCTGAAGGTTCGACAAAAATGAGATTGACTTCTTTATGACGACTAGACGGCAACTGTACAGTGGCATTTAAGTGATCGTGAGGGTGAAAACCAGCAGCGATTACTGAATAATGAGAGGCACGCTGAACCTAAACGTTAAGATGGAGAGGTCACGTCTAATGAAGTCAACACACAGTCCCCCTCGTGCTCTAATCCAAAGTCCCGAAAACTTTCAGCTCGAGTTACAAAATTGTTTTCAGTGCCTAGAAGATTGCAATGCAGTGAACGATATGAATTACAAGATCGTGGAAACTGCCTATGCGGTCAAGCTACTGGACTGGAAAGGATACGGTATTGACGTTAATGGCGAGTACATTACTCTCCTTCAATTTACCGACGACATAGTCCTTATGGCAGAATCACTGGAGGACCTAAGCAAAATGATCAATGAACTCAATAGTGCCCAATGGATAGGTCTTAAGATGAACATGAACAAAATAAAGATCATGTGTAATGTCCATGCCACACCTAAGCCGGAGTTGTTGGGAGCACTAAGCTTGAAGTTGTTGACGAGTATGTTTACCTGGGACAAATAGTGCGACTAGATAAGTCCAACTTCGACCGAGCGGTTAATCGGCGGATTTAACTCGGCTGGGCAGGGTTCGGGAAATTACGACACATCTTTTCGTCAGGTATACCTCAAAACTTGAAAACGAGATTGTACAATCAGTGCGTATTGCCAGTGATGACCTATGGAACTGAGACGTGGTCCTTCACTGCTGGCCGTATGAGGAAGCTCAAGGTCGCTTAGCGAGCTATGGAGAGGGCTATGCTCGGAGTTTCTCTGCGTGATAAACTTAGAAATGAGGATATCCGTAGTAGACCCAGATTGACTGACATAGCCTAACGGATTAGTAAGCTGAAGTGGCAATGGACCGGCTATATAGCTGGAGGAACCGACAACCGGTGGGGAAAAAAAGGTTCACGAGTGGCAGCCTTGTACCGGTAGGCGAACCAGTAGGGTGACCGCCAACTAGATGGAGTGACAATCTGGTAAAACATGCAGGAAGTCGACGGATGCCGGTGGCTTAGGAACGTGCTTTGTGGCATTCCTCGGGGAAGGTGTGTGTTCAGCAGTGGACTTGTGAAGGGCTGTAATGATGGTGATGATGATCCAAACATGTCGGTATAACCTCTTCGTAGTTTGACTATATGCCAGATGCAAAATGGAGCGTTAAGGATAAAAACACAAATGGTACTATGACTGCAATGATTTATATAATATTGTATTAAATGTGGAGTAATTCACATATTTCAGATGATTTATGACGTAATATAAGCCGTGGTAGTTTAGAAACTAAGCGCTTGCTGTAAATTTCACAGTACACTAGCAACCCTTGTTGACCTTTGTTTGATCCACGCCGGCGCCAATGATTGGTAATTGCAAATTTTTAAGTGCTGATTTACCACTTACTCAGCGGCACCAATACCAAGTAAAACATCGTAAGAAAACCTGCATATATAAGAAATAAAAAAAATAATGAAGATATGTGAAGTCCACTAAAACCCATTAAGGCGACCTTGCCGTAAAACCCTCTCGGTAAATGACGGAAAGTCTGTGTCTAGGAGTTGGACCCCTATACTGTAACTTTACTTTTATTTTATTTCTTTATTTATACCTTAGGTGTCGCGTTGCGGTATGATATACATGGAGCCGAAGGGCTTAGGTTGGAAATGCATTCTGGAGTCCTGGATGAATACTCTTCCACCGGCCCTTCATAGCGCCAACCGGAATCTCATCCGCAGTCTTTTTAACAGATTTATGTCTCCGTTATTGTGGCTTGTTGAATATTCTGGTCTTGTTAAGGTAAACTTAGAAAAACTTGGATTTATTAAAATCAAGTTTATAATAATATTGCTAGAAAATGTATATTTATGTATTATATCTTTTAGCAAATGTACATTACTTCACGAACTAACATTGTCAAGAGTTGTATGAACCTATTTGACACATTTATGGACGATTTCTACGATGAAAAATTTGTAGAGCAGATATCAGACCTCGATGTAAGAGCTCAACTAGAGGTATGTGCGTGTTAATTTATAGAATCATTTAAATCCAAAAGTAGAGTTTATGCTATTAAAAAATTAAAAATGTTTTTCTTATTAGGGTGTTTTCTTTTTTTCTTGTATTTGGTCTATTGGAGCGACATTGGACGGTGATAGCAGACCAAAATTTGATATGTTATTCCGTGGTCTACTAGAAAAAGAGTTCCCCGATAAGGTTTGTTTGATTAAAGTTTTTGTTAATACAACCATATCTCTTGTTGTTGATAATCTTAAATTAACGATATTTAATTTGCTTTGCAGATTATAAAAGACCTAGGTTATCCACGGGAAATAGCTAAGCCCGATAAGCAGTATATATTTACTATTCCAAAAGGTGGACTTGTATACGACTATAGATTTATTAAAGAGGTAACCAGTGTAAACCAGTTTGAGTTCTTATATTCGTATAATTAAATATTGAGACCTAATTGAAGTCAATAATTTATACAGGGTAAAGGAAAATGGAAACCATTTCAAGACGATGTGGTGTCAGCGCCTCCAATCAGTCGCGATACGCCGCCCAATCAGATTTTAGTTACCACACTTGATAGCGTTCGCTATTTAGCACTATTTAAGCTCTTTGTCACACATCAAAAGCCAGTCATGATGGTTGGACCTACAGGAACTGGAAAATCGTCATATATTATAGTATGTTATCACATTTTGTATTTTAAATGCTCATTAAACACTTGTCTTAGAGAATCCATCACCACATTTCGACCTAAGGCTGCCGAAGAGGTGACTTTGATAAATACTAGAAACATCTTATGGTTACCAATGGATAGCAAATTTTGTTAGGTACTTACATCACCGATGCTCCTGCCAAAATGGCTTAATTATAGCAAAAGAGGTTTATGTCTAGCTGTAGGCTTAGAAATGTCAAAAGTTTGTATATTATCCGCATAGAACATGTTATTACACTAATTTATAAGTACGCGCAAACAGCACGCAATTCTAATTTACTCGTGTCAAATATAACCACAATATATTGTATAGTCCTTATCAATATATAAATCGACGGTAGGAAGTAGTGTAACAAACACAGGGACAAATAATAAGAAGCATAGAAACTCCTAAGGAGATTCACAATGAACTAACTCCTTACCAAGTGGTTAACTATCGCAGTCTCATTTTCTTAGATGAAATGCCTCGATTACAAATGAAACACATGTGGTATTGTCGACGGTGTCGTGTATTTGCTGGTGAAGGGCTAAGACTAGTCTTAATTTTTGTAGTATTGGGTTTCTCTTCTTACCTTTTACTGTTATCATGCAGCACATACCACTGTGCTCAGGTATGAAGGCATAAGTAGCGAGTATAAAAAAGGGAGACAACTATCTGAGAATTTTGTTCTTTTTTCAACTACGTTAAATTAAAACTATTTTAGGACTATTTAGTAAAACGAGTTGACACAAAAGTGTATAAGGCCCTCATCATGGCTTTCTCAGCACAAACGAACTGTAATCAAACTCAAGATATTATAATGGGAAAACTTGACAAAAGGAGAAAAGGTTTGTAAGATCTTTATGATATTATTTTGATAGATATAAGTTGAGTGATTGAAATAAAGACACAAACATAAGTATCTTCTGCTTGGTAATCTAGAGCGATACATTGCCAGCTGTTGTAGGAAGTTTTAAGAATCAAACCACGTATATTAAGTTTAAAGTCAACGAAATTTTCATAAAACTGTTTAAATCCTTTGCTGAACCTAGGTTCCATTTAAGAAATGCCAATTTGGATGAAGTTAGATGAGTCCTCTCCAGCATTCTGGGTCTATGTCAAATTCTTTCACAGCTACTTCCATTACCCTCTGGAATAAATTGCCTGTTGACCTGCGAACAATACCTGCCAAAAATGTTTTTAAAAGAAGACTATATGAGCATATCCGTAGCCTACAAAGTTGAGTCAACTTATCTATACTTAATATAATAAAGAGGAAGAATTTTTTTGTTTTTTTTGTTTGTTTAAACGCGGTCTGGAACTACCAGTCTGATTTGAAAAATTCTTTTTGTATATTACAGCAAGATTCATGTGGAATGGTATAGGCTATTTAGAATTAAGCTATATCTGCATGCACACTTTTCATATATCGTGTACGGTTTTCTTTAAAACTGGAAAAAACCGCGCTTTGGGACACTTTCTGGGACGTGGGGTGGGGGGTGGGGGAAGGAAAGTGGATAAAATTTAACTACGCTCTACATCATACATAATATGCCCGCAGATAAAATGCTTGAACTAGGTCATGTCGCGCACCTCCGACACGTGATGACGCGGGTGAAACCGCGGGGCACAGCTAGTTTTATATATTTATAGTTATATATATATATATATATATATATATATATATATATATATATATTTATTGATATACATATATGTATAAATGTGTGTATTTATTTATATATGTATATGAATTATATATATTTTATATATATGTGTATATTTTATGTATGTGTTGCATGTATATATTTGAACTGAATTATATCATGACAACTTAACTGCCCAAACTCACTCTCTGTTCTACCCAAGGTTAGCTGGCAGAGAATGCCATATAGCATTAAGCTCGCCTTTTGTACAAATATTTAGTGCAATAAAGAATAAATAAATAAATAAATAAATGGTCTAACCCACCGAGAGCAACTTTAGAGATATTGACATTTGAACTTTATTTTAATATTTCATAATAATGGCTTGCTTCGGTTTGTTTGTAATTTTGCTGTTTATCGATTGCGGCTATTCCTAGAATTATTTTTCCTATTTAAATTATAACTGTAACCCAGGTGTTGAGTCCTTTTTGAGTACCTACGTCCAATAGGGTACAATTCTTGAAATGTTTCAAATCCCAGCGTAGTAAGGTGGCATTTATTTCCTTGTTATAAGTGGGATTCATGTTCAGCATTGGAATTACAGACAGGAGTTTCCTTGCTAAAGGTGGGAATTCATTTCAGCATTGGAAATTATAATGATTAATGAAGATAGGGAAAGATATTGTATAGATATAGATAAGTATATATGGAGTTAGAAGGTAGAGGGGAGATTTGTCGAGGAGAAACCGCCTGGGGAGCGGCTAGAAAACGTGAACCATTCGAAAATAACTAAAGCGTGATTTACGCTTGCGTTGTTGTTGGTCCGTATGTTTCATTCAGGCATGGAAAAAGTGCCGTCACGCATTTTTACGATACGTATTAGCATTATACTACTAGTTTTGTATATCCCTCTAGTTTAGAAAAACCCTTTAAATGCACTATGCTATAATTTCTAAACGTGTCCTAAATTAATATTTTTTGAGAATAATTTTGAAAATTTATACGTTTCAACACGAGAAAAATCCACCAATTATTATTGGAAGTGTATTTAGGATATCATTATTTGTATTATTTATTTGATCTAAACCAGTAAAAATAAATTAATAAATATTTTTCCAAAAATAAGTCTTTATTCACTGCTTAGTTTGCGTTATACATTTGAAAATTTCAGATGAGTCGTATGCATGACATGCATTTGATGGTATGCAAGTTTTAAAAAAAAGAATGACGTAATTAGCTATTATCTATACGAATGAGTGCAAGTACCCAACTTTTAACTACGTGTATAATTTTAAATGTAACGTTTTCATACAGGTGTCTACGGACCACCAATTGGTTGTTACAGCGTAGTGTTTGTAGACGACGTGAGTATGCCCCAAGCTGAAACTTATGGCGCTCAACCTCCTATAGAAGTGTTGAGGCAAGGGATTGATTTAGGACTTTGGTATGATCGAAAAACTAACGCTGCCATGCACCTTATAGATGTACAGGTATATGAAATTCTTCAATATTAATTCTTTTATCTGATGTATGTAGTTATTGTTTGAAAGTGTTATATCTGTTTAACACTTATCATGAATAACTAAATTTCATTTTTCTTCAGATTTCAAATGAAGGTTCATTTTAACACTTCGTATGTAAAACACTTTGTAATCAAAATTTATGTAACTTACATATTAAAATCGGCTTAGTACGTGGTAGAGCCATCCTGCAGCTATTAGTAGTATAGTTGCAGCACGAATGGGTCGGCTCGACCGGGGAAGGACCATGCTCTCACAGAATACCAACGTAAAATAGCAGCTTAACGCTGCTGTGTTTCGTATGGTGAGTGTAGAGAACCGGTGACCCTTTTTACTGGAAACGAGGCATTCCATCTTAGTCCTCAGGGTGACAACGCATCTGTATTTTGATTCGTAATCGAAGATAGATGTAGATGTCTATGGGCCACAGTAACCACTTACCACCAGGTGGACTGTGTGCTCGTTTGTCACCCTTATCCTATAAAAAATAGTTAATATAGGGCTACAAAATACAGAATAGTGCTGTTTGCTTGGGAATTTATATTTTATATGCTAACCTTCGCTTCAAATGCTAAACTCACGCGCACGCGTCGTCTGCTGATGAATGGACGAGGATGTTGAAAGTTTGAAAATAAAACATAGAAATTTTTAAATTTTTCCCTGTCTGGGTATGGTTATGGCACTATATATACTTATCTATATCTATACAATATCTTTCCCTATCTTCATTAATCATTATAATTTCCAATGCTGAACATGAATTCCCACCTTTCACCCCTAAGGACAAAGATGGAATGCCTCGTTACCAGTAAAGTAGCCAGTAACAATTTTAGCACGCATAATTTGTATTGCTTACCTATGATTTAAGCTAGGTAAGTTTTCATTTTTAATGTTGCAGTTTATGTGCGCAATGGGTAAGCCAACACCAGGAGCAAAATTGGTTACGCCTAGGTTCACACGCCATTTTTCTTTCCTTTGCATTGACGAGTTTGAAGATGAAACCCTTCGAGTCATCTTTAGTAGGATTATGCTATGGCATCTTGACACAAGGTATCGCACTTGATATCAAAAATGAGAAAATATGTTTGTATGAATGTTTGAATTATGATATTAACCATAGATTTATTTTATTTGTTATATATTTTTAATTTTAGGGGCTTTTCTAAAGAGTTCGACCCTTGCATAGATGAAATAGTCGGTGGTACATTAGAAGTGTATAAACAGTGTAGATTAAATTTGTTGCCTACCCCGTCTAAGTCCCACTACACATTTAATCTACGAGATTTTTCAAAAGTTATTTTGGTGAGCTATCTTTTTTTATTTCGCATAACTTAAAATATATTACAGATTATGATTAAGATTAAATATTGTTTGATACCGTCAAATACGATTTTAAATGAGGTTGTTAATGTGTCTCACTGCACGGCATTGGCCTTTTTTATAGAATATGAGTGACAAACGAGCACACTTTACGTGGTAGAGCCATGCTGCAGCTATATTACCGGTATAGTTGTAGCACGAATGGGTCGGCTCGACCGGCGAAGGACCACGCTCTCACAGAATACCAGCGTAAGCTTAACGCTGCTGTATTTCGTATGGTGAGTGTAGAGAATCGGAGACCCTTTTTACTGGAAACGAGGCATTCCACCTCAGTCCTCACGAGTGACAACGCATCTGCATTTTGATTCGTAATCGAGGATAGATGTAGATGTCTATGAGCCACAGCAACTACTTACCATCAGGTGGACTGTGTGCTCGTTGGTCACCCTTATCATATAAAAAAATAACAAGAAAAACACAGTCCACCTGATGGTAAGTGGATGCTGTAGTCTATAGACATCCACATCAATCCTTGATTAAGAATTAAATGCAGATGGGTCGTCCCCTCTGAGGATTAAGATAGAATGCCTCGTTCTCAGTAAAAAGGTCTCTGGTTCTCTACACTCACCATACGAAACGCAGCAGCATTGATCTGCTATTTTACACTGGTATTCTGTGAGAGCGTGGTCCATCCCAGGTTGAGCCGACCCATTCGTGCTACAACCATATAGCTGCAGCATGGCTCTACCACATAAATGCAGCATGGCACTACTGCGTCATAAGGGGTCCTCTTATTTTTATATCTTTCGCGAACTTCTGCGATATTATCGTTACCGCCTATCAAAAGTCCACTGCTCAACATATGCCTCCTCCATATATATTATAGGGGATATTTTTCATAGCTGCCACGCTTAGAGGGCAGGTCTGCAGCGCAGTTTTTTTATATTTTAGTTGTTATTAGTGTGGCGGCGCTGCCGTCGCGCCACAAGCGAAACACATCGAAGCATAAATCGCACTAACAAAGTTCCGAAGTTAAAGCAGCATATATAGAATAGTTCCGAACTACCAATCGGAGCGTTGGCCGCTCCCCGGGCAGAACACCTTGCCCGACGGGAGATCTCCCCTTTTCCTTCCTACGGCCACATTAGAAAGACGCTGCTGCACATCGCTCCTGGTTTGTTTCCCTCTTTCGTCTCTTACGACGCCCATGGGACGATATGGGATTCTGGATATTCTTACACCGCCACAACGCGGTGCTTCTGCAATATTATATTGCATTATTTAAAATATTTTGTTGCGTATATTCTTACAGTTATTATAGCTATCGATCTTTTGGTAGGGAGTTTTATTGTCGGTTCCTGAAGTAACTCCAGATCTTCAATCTATTAAACGTCTATGGGTTCACGAGTGTCTTCGTGTATTCTCCGATCGACTGGTAGAAGAAACGGATCGGCAGTGGCTGGTGCAATGCTTAAGAGAAGCCACAGAGATGCATTTGAATGAAAATTTCGATAAAATGCTCTCGAGGTTGCTGGATGATTCCGAAGAGAAGGTGTGCATTTTATTAATAAACACAATCTGGTTTTTCCCACGACTTCGTCTGTTTCTGTTCACTTTGCTTGTAAAAAGTTTTTTGACTCGTTTGAAGTATTTAATTTTTATGCGTTTATTAGTGTTTTACTTTTTCCATACATATAAATAGAATTGTAGTGTCTGTCTGTAATATCGAAATAACCGCCTTTTATCGAGTTCAAGGGGTTATTTGTATTCCATTAAGACATGAATGAAGATTTGTAATAATGTTGTCTTTCTATCTGTCTGGGCTAAGCTTCGGAATGACTGAAACAATTGTGATGAAACTTCGCGAAACAGATAGAGAGCAATGTCAGGAATAATCTAGGATGTTTTTTATTCGATAATCTCAAAGTGTTTTTTCTTTGTGAAATCGAGAAACTGATTAAATCGCCATTGAAGAGAGTTCACTGATGATTATTAAAAAAAAAAACTTAAAGACGCTTAATCTGTGGCGCGAAATCGGGGCGATTGCTATTCTACAATGTTAATAATTAATGGTTTTTGATGAAAAAATTATATTATGCAACAATTTCTTCTTAAATTTTAAACTTCACTAACGTTAATTCATTTATTTTTTTAGATAACTGATCTTCATTTACGGAATTTGATTTACTGCGACTTCGCAAACCCTAAAGTTGATACACGATTTTACATGGAAACTACGAACATGGAACATCTTAACTCAACAGTCGAGGCGTTCTTAGTAGAGTTCAATAACATGTCCAAGAAACCCATGAACTTAGTTTTGTTCCGGTAAGCTTGTGTCATTAATATTCACGTCGAAATAACAATAGAACAAAAATAACAAATTAGCTAATTCTAATAAACTGCAAGTAACACCTACGGTGATTAAACATAAATTTTAAAAGGGTAACATGAATAATTTTCTGAATTTTCTTGAAATTAATTCCCATTAAATCAAAATTTTTGAATTCTAAAGAGGTTTATTCTTGTTTTTGTTACATTGAACAATTTTTGTTACAGTGAACATTTCACTAAGTATTTCTTAGCAACTGTTTTATTGTAATATGTTCTTAAAGTTATCAGTAACAACAAGTTTTCATAATTTAACAGGTGTTATTTGAAGAATTCATTGACGACGTTATATTATAACAAATATTAAACACGAGATCTGCGCCATTTCTTATTTTTATCTTATGAGATGTTTAAAAATCTGAGTAAAAATTTTCTGAATATAACCTAATATTTTTGTGGACATACAATATCTCTCTCCTTCTCTTTTTCTCTCTCTACCATGTAGTGGTGGCATAGCAAATCATCATCATCATCACCATCATTACAGCCCTTCACAAGTTCACTGCTGAACATAGGCCTCCCCCAAAGAATGCCACAAAGCAAATGGGCATAGCAAATGGGAAGCTGGATTCATACCATTTGTTCTCATGGGTGTCGTAAGATACGACAATAGGATATGGTGAAAAAATGTTACGGCTTTTGATAGATGGCATGATATAGCCATCTTGTTTACGCCAGGCGTGTAATAGCCAAACCGGCGACGGCAAGCAACGTCGAAGGTGCGAAGTTTCTAGCACTATGATCGTCAGTCTGTCTGCCAAGCGCAATTAAGGCAAATTCTCTCTTGGAGTAATATAATAATAAAAAAACTGCGATTGGAGTTACCACAACACAAGATGAAAAGGCCTTTTTAAAAGGATGGCAATGTACCTGCAATTCTCCTAGTGTTGCAGTTATTCATGGACGGCGGTCGACACCATGAAGCAAAAGGTTGACACTTACCATCAGGTGAGCGGAATGCTCGTTTGCCCTCTTTTCTATAAAAATAAGAAATAATCTCTTAAGATCTTTAAATGTATTGGGATGAGTTTCTTGTATTTTTTAAAATATAGAATAAGGGTGACAAACGGTGACAAACAAACAGTTAGTAGATGCTGTCGCCTCTATCTGTGGTGTGACATCTATCCTCACTTAGAAATCAAAATACTTATGCGTTGTCTCTCCTGAGGATTAAGATGGAATGCCCCGTTTCCATTAAAGGGGGTCTCGGGTTTTCCACACTCACCATATGAAACACAGCAACATTGAGCTGATATTCTACGCTGGTATTTTTAATTTGTCCCAGGTTTGCCATTGAACACGTTTCTCGCATCTGCCGAGTGCTAACGCAGCCGCGTTCACACGCGCTCCTGGTGGGACTCGGAGGCTCCGGTCGCCAGTCGCTCACCCGCCTCGCTGCGCACATCAACGAATATGATCTCTTCCAGGTGTCGATTTTATGAACTTTATTGTTGCTATTTCTTTGTCTTCTATGTTTAACAACCTTATCTTGTAATAGTTTTAGCTGTTAAAATTGCATAAACCTCAGAGAGATTAGTTCTTTTAAAGAGGTTGGAACTGATTATCATTACAGTTTATATACAAGGTTGAGGAAATGATTTTTTTATAACTGGCTTTACGGCTCTGGGTTCTAGCCCTTCTGATCCTGAAGGTACAATGTATAATTATCCTTCATAGTACACTGCTTCACAATATGTTGATGCGTCACATTATGCAGCCCTTGAGAGATTTTGACTACAATTTGAACCAGCAAACAGCTGACAGTTGGCGATGGTATCTCAAGGCGCCCAAGCAGACAGAAGCCTTATCTTGAGAATCACATTACCATCAGAGCACCTATTTCACCGTTTTCACTAATAGTTCACATGCGCAGCACACTTAATACACAAAATTGCACCACTTTTACATATTTAAATCCACTTCAAGCCATTATTTAAACAATAATACAGGAGCAGCAAACCGCCGCCGGTCAAGTTCCCGCCAAAACTCTTAAGGAAATGAATTTGTTCTTATTGTAAAGAGTTAGTTCATTTTATACCTGGGTTATCATTTCTGGAAAATTTCGTTTATAAAAGCAATAGTGCCAGGTCGATTTGTTACTACTGATACTTATTATTTTGACAAATAAACTTACAGACATGCGGAACCACTGAGATACCAAAAGATGTATTCGATATTTTATTTGTTCTATTTAAGGTTGAGATGAGTAGAACTTATGGAAAAAACGAATGGCGGGAAGATTTGAAGACGCTACTTAAAAAGTCCAGCACTCCAGAGTTGCACATGGTGTTTCTGTTCATCGAATCACAGGTAAACAAAAAACATATTAATATCAAAAAAAGGCTAATAATAAGTTACTGAAAGTGAGCTTCTATGGTCTTCCATGGCAGTTTACATACATAAATTGCACAAAGACCCCGACAACTTTATTATTATAATATCTATGATTGCTTACAGTAATTTACTAGTCTTATATAACAATTCGCGCAATTTATTAATTTGGTCCCTAACTGCGTATCCAACAATTCCATGTTATCAAACATAAGTCTGCTGTGTATTGTTTTTACTAGATCAAAGAAGAAGGCTTCTTGGAGGACGTCAATAACATGCTGAATTCGGGAGAAGTACCTAACATATTCGTCGCTGATGAAAAGGCTGAGCTTTGTGAGAAAATGAGAGTGGTAAGAGCATTTTTGTACATTATTCTGGAATTACACTTCGAAACTCAATTAATTTATTACTTCTAACCTGCTAAGTCTAAATAACGCTACAATAAGAGACCCCCATCTAGGCAAAGCCGGAGCGGATCGCTTGCTTAGAATATTCTTTAAAACATTTTTTGAACTATTTCCATTATTTCCGACTACTGTTTGTTTTTTAATACAATATTTTATCTATTACACTAGGTGTTAGGGATCTGTGCCACCGTCTTAGATATTACAGTCGTCAAGCAACAGTGTAGTCACAGGATTGTTGGCTATTTTATCCTTTTCAGAAGAGGTGACAACACATCTGTGGCCTTCTTTGATTAAAATTTGTTCATAGGCTGCAGTAGCCACTTAAAATTATGATCTCTTAGTGTTTGTCTGTTATATTATATAAAACATGTTCCTAAAATAATAGTATCTGTTCTAATTAAATGTGTGGCGGTGCTGTCGTCGCGCCATAAGCGGAACATACCGAAACATAAATCGCGCTATCAAAGTTCTTAACCCTAGAGTACTAATATAAATTTAATTGTACTTAATATTAATGATCGCCTGAGAGGCTACATTATAAATAAAAAAATTTTAGTATTAAACTTTTATTAAAGTTTAAGTAAACTTTTGCCACAATAACAGGCATACCGCTACCTTTCTTAAATGCAAAAAATATATATTTTTTAATACTATTATTTGTATTAAAATCTGCCTCGAATGTAATACTAAACTTTGTGACAAAGTCTTAAGGGATATTTTCATAAAATAATTAGTGTTACTCTAGGACCACTATTTCGGTATAAAAACTAAAATATATTAAATAAAGTTTGAAAAAGATCACTAAAAATTACTCCAATCATCACATTGTTTACTACAGAGTAAGTCATACTCAAAAATTCTATTTTCGTCACAGAAATGGCAATTAGGAACTGGTAAAACTGGCTTAGGGCTTCTGGATGTTGATGGTATTAGAGAGATTCAGTCTTGAGGATATGGGCCATCTAGCACAAATTTTTTTGTCATTTTCTGGTCTGTGTAGAAATAAAGTACGACCAGCCACATTGTCAACGGAATCGCAATCTGCGACTTCTAAATTATCCTTGTTCTCACTGTCAGAGAAGTTCTCTTGTATGATATTTGCAATTTTCTCCTCGATGAGGTCCATCTATCAAATAATATGTATTTTATACTTTATAATAGTCAATAAACAAAGAAACATTCAGAAATGTAAAATAAGTTAACAGTAAAAGACCTACCTTTAATACTAATGATCGCCTCCCAGGCGATCACATAGGCAATATCTTGGCAATGGTCTAACCCAGTCGAGCGCGCAAACACTGCCCTACGCGTCTCGGACTACATATAGTTGGCGCCAGTGCATGGCGCAGTACGTCCCCGCAATTTCAAAATAACCAGCAAAAACCAACCTCGGGTGGCCTGTTTGGCGATAATTAGTACTCTAGGGTTAAGTTAACGAGCTATATATAGAACAGATCCGAAATAACACACGTAGACAGAACACCGTGCCCGGCGGAAGTTCTCCCCTTTTCCTTCCACGGCCAAAAATGTATCTGTTTCGTCTTTGAATTCAATCTAGATCGATCGTCAACGTGACAAGTCACTGCAAACGGACGGAAGTCCTACAGCGTTGTATGCGTACTTCGTGTCGATTGTGCGCGACCAGCTGCACATAGTGCTAGCAATGTCCCCAGCAGGCACTGCGCTGCGCACGCGTATCCGCAAGTTCCCTTCACTCGTCAACTGTTGCACCATTGACTGGTTCCAGGTAACCGCAGTGTTGCATTTATGTTATGTTTAATTTTGAAACTATTTAATGTGTATGTGTGTAAGTAAAAACTGTTGAGGGTTGAAACTTCTGTTACTACCATCATGGTTATCTGCTTACCGAGCGTTAGGTTCATATTATACAGTAGACTTTTAGAGGAACTATTTGTTTTTAAATTTAAGCCGTAGCTGTGCCGCTGAGGCTGAGGCTCTAAAACATTAAGAGTAACCTAAAGTTATCATTTTTATCACATATGTGACCATCCCATTGTTATTTCAGTTTACAAATGCGAAGGACTGTCTTGATGACTTTGGTTATCCGCTCCAATTTTTAAAATTAGAATGAGTAAACATTTTTTGCTTATTGAAACTATCCTGTTTTAACTTTAAGGTATAGTTTAATTTAAATAAACCTTTCCTACATAATTAGGTGTCCTTTAATATGTCTTCAATGTCCAAATGTAGATATGGCGTCTGATTCTTCTAGTCGTAGGTCCAAGCATGGTTATAATGATAAATGCTTCTAATTCGAAAAGACTCTTGTTTACGATGTATCGCTAACGATGATGTAAATAGTTTCTTAAAACTTTTTTCAAACATTCCATACCACTTGTTGCTTGTATTTTTCACAAAACTCTTTAAAAAATGACTGAAGTGGATATTAATTCAAATCGTATATGATTTTCTTATGTTCAGAACAATTATTTGCAATTATAATGTTACTTTAATTTTAGGACTAAAGTTAAACTTCCTTTTCTATATGTTTATGACAATTACTTGCAATTTTTACATTACCACTTCAATTCTAGGAATGGCCACCGGACGCTCTATTGGCTGTCGCAAAACGTTTCCTCAAAGATATTGAATTGACGGATTTAGAACGCGAGACGGCCATCAAGCTGTGTCAAATGTTCCACACCGACACGCAAGAGCTGACACGACAATATTTGCTGCGGCTTAAAAGATATAACTATGTCACGCCAACCGCTTATCTTGAACTTATCAATATGTTCAAGACTTTATTAAGTAAAAAGCGGACGTAAGTTTCATTCTTTATTATTCCTATTATGTTGTTTCTTGTGGAGATAGCTCTACTATGAGTTATAAGAAAATGTGCTTTTTGTTTTACAAGAAATAAAATGTGAAAACCAAGTTTAAGCATTTTTGCAATAGTTATTATTCTTTAAAATTTGTTTTTATTGAAAACGAATCAAGTAGGCTCAACTAGCTTACTAGATTGTTCACCTAATTCTTAAACTGTGCCCTAGCATATTTCTGCTTCTTACGATAATTCTGGATCAGTTCAGTCTTGACCTAAATATGAATTATTATTCTGCATAAGATAATTCTATTTTACAGTGAGTTGATTACAAACGAAAAACGTTACATCACTGGCCTCGATCAGCTAGCTATTGCTGCTAAATCAGTCGCTGCACTACAAGAAGCCTTAGAAATTCTTCAGCCAAAGTTAGCAGCCGGTGCTGCCGCTGTAGCTGAGACAACTGCTAAAGTAGAGAAGGAAAAAGAAGGAGTAGCATTAGTAGAGGCTGAGGTGTTAGTGGATCAGGCTGCTGCAGAAGAACAGGTTATCATTTTTTTCGAATTTTTAATAATTATTGAATAATCTATAAATTGTGTGTTTTGTTAATTCAATTAAAAAAAAAACAACTACAAAATGTCGATTAGTGCCGGATTTAGATTGTATCGATTAGTGTCTGATTAGGTGTTTTATTTGATAATTATCATTGCTTTGTGCATATATGTACATTTACTATGGACTTTTCTCAAATCTTGCCCTGGAGAAGTAAAAATTAAATAAATATAATAAATAAAAAAATACTATTTTAATGTCCAATATTACTATTCATATGCATCAGGCAAAAGAAGCACAAGGCATAAAGGACGAATGCGACGCAGATTTGGCCGAAGCGATGCCGATTCTAAATGCAGCCTTAGCAGCGCTAGACACTTTGACACCTCAAGATATTACCTTCATCAAAACTATGAAGAGTCCGCCGCGTGGAATCAAACTTGTCATGGAAGCTATTTGCATATTAAAGGTATTTGGTTTTTCCGTTTTTACATAAATTTGTGACCTGGAATCATTTGGAGTAAATAAATTGGACAATTATCCAAATTCCAGTTCCACTACTTCCAATAAATTTCATTTCACTATTTAATTATATTCTTACTTTTAACTTTTTAAACATTATACCTGAATTACCATTTTGTTATCGTAATCTAATGTGTTCTTTATATGTAGTACTACTTCTTCTTCTTCTGCGCTGTGAATTATTGCTTACTGTAGCTTAGCTTAGTGCTTAATTTAATGTGATTCTGCTTTTTGTAACTAATATATCTTACTGTTTATTTGATGTGCTACCAAAAGGATGATCCGGTAAGTGGAAAGACTCATGTTTATTCATTGCCTTTTAATAAAATTGTAAGTGAAAGTTGAAAACTACTGTGATTATTTTGCAGTAGTTTTTAATCATTGATTTAAATCGTATGTATATTGTATAAAGGTCAGGCTTTAAAGGTGCCTATTACTTAGCATTTTCGCTGTTCACCAAAAAGATACAATAGTTAAACAATTGAAATGTTCATATGTGACTCACGCGACAGTGAAATGGTTAAGAGATTTAATTGTTGTTAAAATACTCAGAAATCCTATTGTTCATACAGTAATTTGCATTTATAAATTAAAAAAAATAATTTTAACAGTAAATGTGTTTGGTGGCATTCCTTGGGAAGTAAACAGTGGAATTTTGAACAAATGAGCATACATTTAACTTGATGTAACATCCATACGGTCTACGGTCTACGGTTTCCTTACAAAACATTATGTTAAATAGTAGCATTAGGTAATGCTAGTCCTGTGAGAGTCCTTCCCAGGTTCAGGCGATGCATTCGCGCTGCATTTGGCACACAATTATACTAAATTATGCAGTTTTAATATGCAATAAAGCGATAGTAAACTAATACAATTATACCACATTACAGGAGGTGAAACCAGATAAAATCCCGAATCCATCAGGCGTTGGCACCATCGAGGACTATTGGGGCCCATCTAAGAAGTTGTTAAACGACATTAAATTCTTGGAGTCGCTGCAGAACTATGACAAAGACAACATACCCCCGCCCGTTATGAAGAAACTAATGGCCACTGTGATGCAGGATGATGGTTTTGTGCCGGAGAAGATTAAAACTGTATCAGTGGCAGCGGAAGGTATTTAAAAAACAACCTAATTATTATGTTAAAAATACTACAAATAGGATTAAAATTCTTAAACGCAGTATAGAAGTTAATACTAAGTTATATGCAAGTAAAGATGAAATATAAAATAGAATACTATTTTATTCTTATGGATATTGTATTAAAATACGAATATAAATAATAAGAACAAGTTAGGTAGCAAAGAACTTTTTACTACGGCGCTTCGTTTTAAAATGTCAAAATGCCCTTCGGGTGTACGCCGCACGCGGCAACCTTTGATGTCGCGGCAGCGCCTTTTACAAAATGCGGCACGTGCCAAGGCGGCGCGTCACAAACGCACCGTATCTAATCGAGCAGACTATATTATAAGTCAGTGTTTGACTATTATTTCATCTGATGGTAAGCGATGATGCAGCCGAAGATGATGAAGCATTCTTCTTCTTCATAACAAAAGTCTATTCACTTTTTTCACTTTCACACAAAAATCCTTGCGTTGTTGGATTGGGCAGCTGACTTTAAATTTTATTACCTTTAGAATATCCTTTATAACGATCTCATTAGCAATTATTTTTTTATATAATGAAAAGGTATGTGCAAGTGGGTGATCGCCATGACGAAGTACGATAAGGTGGCTAAGATTGTAGCCCCAAAGAAGCAGCGCTTAGCGGCTGCCCAAGCCGTCTACGACAAAGCAATGGCCGCACTCGCAGTCAAGCAGGCTCAGCTTAAGGAGGTTATAATATTTATTTTTTGTTTTATAAAGCTAGCAAATAAAAGCCATTTTCCAAAAAAGCTGTAAGCGCCAAGGCAACCTTTTTATGTCATCAGCCCTCAAACTGCTCATCACTGGAAATGGATTTATCCAGTCTCCATCATAATCATTATAACCTTTCGCAAATCTACTGCTGAACATAGGCATCCCCCAAAGAATGCCACAATACTACTGAGCCTCCTGCATCCATCTTCTTCCTGTATTTAACCAGAAATTTATAATCTATTCCATAGAAAATAGGGTTTGCAGCAGTTTAATATAGTTTATACAACAGTAAACAAAATATAAGCACATGTTAACAAACGTAAAAGGTAAACGAAATTTTGACGTACTAATTAGATTTTATCTTTCTAAATAGCCTCTGTACTTGTAAAACTAGTTTAAAAACCGACACCTGGAAATGTGAAAAAAAAAAATTCTATTCTATTCTATTCAATTCAAAAATAATAATTATTTGCAAGATCTCTTTTTTATAACAATTTTATGTTCATTGTTGAGCATGTTCGAATGTTTGTATTATTATCGATAGGTACAAATGAAATTAGCAAAATTAGAAGAAATACTAGCTGAACAAAATCGCCAACAGAAGATATTAGATGATGAAGTGATGGACTGTAGCAATAAACTGAAACGCGCTGAGATGCTAATTTCCGGTCTCGGTGGAGAGAAGACGAGGTGGACTCAAATAGCGAAGTCGCTCAGAGAGAATTACAATTCCCTCACTGGTTGGTAGCTTTCCTTCCTTTTCTGTTTACCATGGACACAATTGGGTCTTAAACACTCTAGTAAATTTAGATGTTTATTAAAAGTTGGCATAACAAACAGTTCTATAGAAACTGTATGATAATAGAGTGTAATGACATAAATGTGTTGCAAAATATTTATCTTATATTTGTTTTTTAAATATTAAAGTAGTTTAACTTCGAATGGAAAATCGATCAAGTTTACTTAAAGTAGTAAAGTCAAATTATAATATGATATAGTAATTTATTAATAATTGCAAAAATACAGCCTATATATGCACCACTGCTGTACACAGGCCTCGCCTCACTTCTGACAGGGTTTTAGAGCAAGGAAGAGTCCTCCGCGCTTCAACTTCACATATTTTTGAAATATTTTTTTATTGTTTTTTCCGACCGCTTAAGATGTCATTCTCTTGTTCAATATTTATCAGCCTGTCTGGCAAAAATATGCACAATGCGCACATGCTCAACTGGAGCCAACGTTCGTGACAAAACACAACATAATGGTTATCAGAATATCATTTATTCATTCACTACATCCTATCAAAAGCCCACTGCTGGACATAGGCGTGTTGGCAACCGCTGAGCTCGAAAGGATTTTATTTATTCCCTCAGTCATAATAGTTGATATAGGGGTGTCGATAACTCTGATAAATGACTGATAACTGATAAAACAAGGAAAAGAAAAGTAAGATATAAGAGCCGATATTGCAATTTATCCATAATATAAAATAAGTAAAATTAGCTTATAAACGTACTAATTCTGAAAGAATATGAAAGTTCATAACATAAAAAAAGAAGACGAGATTGTACTGGGTAGAGCCTTGCTGCGGCTATATTAGTAGTATAGTTTTAGCACGAAAAGGACCAAGCTCTCACAGAATACCAGCGTAAAATAGCAGCTTAATGCTGCTGTATTTCGTATGGTGAGTGTAGAGAACCGGAGACCCTTTTTACTGGAAAAGAGGCATTCCATCTTAGTCCTCACGAGTGACACCGCATCTGCATTTTGATTCGCAAACGAGGATAGATGTAGATGTCTATGGGCCACAGCAAACACTTACCATCAGGTGGACTGTGGGCTCGTTTGTCACTCGATCCTATAAAAAAAATACTAATGTTTACATTTATTTAACAATTTTTTACTTGATGAGTCGTGGTAGCTCAGGATCTAATTTACCACGTATTCGACGGTGATGGAAAACCTTTACCGTTACTGTTACATCCTATTAAAGTCCACTGCTGAACATAAGCCTCCCCCAGAGATTGCCTCATACCTATGGCAAATGTTTCCCACATTTGCCATAGTTGCCACGCTTGGCAAGCGTGTTGGCAACTGCAGTTTTATAATTTTAGCCGTTATTAGGAAGACGCTGCTGCCCATCTTCTGATTTATTTTCTCGTCTGTCGCCTCTTACGACACCCACGGTACGGAAAACATCGTGATGATATGTGCATGTCTTAGAAATTAAATATTCCGAGGACATGTGAAGTCCGTTAACACGCACCGAAGGAGCTGAACGTATAGAGCTGTAACTTTTTTTTAATTTAAGCTCAATGATTGATTCAATAATGAAAATATGTTTTTAGGCGATATACTGATCGCTGCGGGAATCATTGCTTATCTGGGCCCTTTTACAGCTGCTTTTAGAAATTCACAGGTATTATTTAAATATTACTATATTATTCATCATATCTGTCTCATTTACTTCTTCTTTATCAGCTTTTTTAATCTACTGCTGGATGCTGCTGTTTTTGCGTTAGGAGAGCTAAACATGTTATTATAAGACGGCTATATTAGAAGAAGTTATATAAATAATAACATATTTAAATGCTGCGATAGCAGTCGACAATTCAGAGGTCGTTTAGGTCGCTTTTGTTATGTTTGCGGTAGGGTATAAGCACTTTCAAGAATTTTCCAAATTGCGCATTTCGAAGAATAAGGTTTATTCTTAATCAAAACAACAATACTTTTACCTAGCCATGAACGAACGACTCTCTAGCTACCGAGAGTTTGTAGAAAATCTATCCAAATACATCGGAACCAAATCCTTTTAAGGGATAAAGGAGTTATAAGTTTTATGGTACCGGCTCTGGTTTTATCGACTTGACTACACAGCGAGATGAGCGAGGCAAAATCTTTTAAGAAATCTACTATTGAACACAGATTGTCCCATAAGGAGTATTTTTGCCTTATTAACACGTGGTAGAGCCATGCTGCAGCTAAATTAGTAGTATAGTTGTAGCACGAATGGGTTGACTCGACCGGGGAAGAACCACGCTCTCACAGAATACCAGCGTAAAATAGCAGCTTAACACTGCTATGTTTCGTATGATGAGTGTAGAGAACCGTAGACCCTTTTTACTGGAAAAGAGGCATTTCATCTTAGTCCTCATGGGTGACAACGCAGCTGCATTTTGACTCTTTATTGAGGATAGATGTAGATGTCTATGGGTCACAGTAACCACAGCATCAGGTGGACTGTGAGCTCGTTTGTTAACCTATCCTATAAAAAAAAATTTGCTACGCTTGAGAGGCGCGTTGACAACCGCAGTTTTCAGTTTCTTATTGTTACTGGGGAGACGCTGTTGCCCATCTTTTGTTTTGTTTCTCTCTGTCACCTCTAACGATACCACAGGACGATATGGGGTAGTGAATGTTCTTATAGCGCCACCACACGGTTTTCATGTGTCATTTACATATAATTTAGAATCAGCACTATTATGAACATATTATGAATATGCGCTATAATTTTATGTTAGTTCTACTACGCAATGGCTCTAAGATGTGTAAACAATGTGAATGAAGGCATCAATACTAAAAGTGCTCATTCCTTGGTAGGAACGTTGCGGATAACGACACGTTTCTTGAATGCAGAAATCTTCATCTTGATTCGTAATCGATGTTATGGGCGTGGATGTCAATCGATTGCAGTATTTACATGCCATCAGGTGGATTGCGTGCCGTAGATTACATACATATTATTTAACTTCTCTTAAGAATCAAAATGCTTTGTCACCCTTGAGGAAAAGATAGAATGCCTCGTACCAGTAAATGAAAAACAACAACACAACACAGCAGTAGTATGGTGCTATATTACTCCTTTCAGAACGGACTGTACCAAACGTGCGTTATCGTAAAAAAACCTAGCGCGCGCGGAATTTCGTTTTACTACGCCGAAACACTCTAGATAGATTGTGCGTTAATTTAACTATTCAGCGTAAAATGCATCGCGGGCCTCAGAGAGTGTAGTGACGTGTCTGTGAGTGTTCAAGATGGACATGACGATTGTGAACGGCAGCGTTCGACGTAAGTACGAGTATGTTTTATTCAAGTTTAAAGTTGTGTTCTATCAATTGTCTGTATTTAAATATTTATTTTAGATATTTACCTACAGTAATAATTAAAAATATATTTGAAATTAAAAATATTAGACTTCCTCGTAACAGGTCCACAATAGTAAAACGCACGATTGTGCATTGTCGTTTTAAATTGTAATCAGAAGACGTAAATTTCATATAATTAACACTTGTAACATGTTCAACAGGGTTAGTGTTAGACGACGATTTGTTGCAAGATTTTATTGGAGACGGATGCCAATCGGATCTGTTCATCTTCCCCGACTCCTGAATGGGGATTGTGTACAAGAAATACACAGTGACAAAGAGAGCAACAGTGACTCAGACATAAATGTCCCATCAGCTGAGTACTGAGTTACTACAATGTGGGGATCAGGAAAACATACGTCTCGCAAACGAAAACGCTATTGGAATCAACAACCGCCATATATCACAAAATAAAAGATCAAGAATTTTAAAAGCCACTACATTTAATGACGTAACCCATGAGTATCCTCCTAGGCTAGGAGGACAAGAAGCGAAGACTCCATCATAGTATTTTGAAAGATATTATGATAAAGAGTTTTTGTAAGTCTCGAGATTAAAAATTGCAGCCGGTTCTCGATGCCGTCAAAAAAGCTTGTAGAGTGATTGGAAGGATTCCTGGCACATACTCATTTGACGAACAAATTATACCCTTTACTAGTAAATGCAAGTTACGATTCTTAGTTAAAAATAAACCTCGGCCTCTTGGAATTAAAAATTACTTTATCACAAGAAGTGATGGGCTAATGCTAGATTTCGAAATATCCTATCTTAACAATCCTACCTTTACAGCCAAATCTCTAGGTGAAGACCTTGCTGTTATCCGGTGTCTAGCAAACGCTTCTACAAATAGCTGCTTGTATTTTGATAGATATTTTAATACAAGAAAACAAAGAAAACGAAAGTAAAAGTACAGATCCATTTCTTAAAACTTGCAGTTGTAAAAGCTTGGAGATGGACTGTGACGCGATATAAGTCAAGGCCAAGGATGTGCTATGGTTCAGAGTTGATTTAGCCGATGCTGTTATGGACTGCTCCACGGTTACTTCTCACGATATTAGGGAGAATGAAGAGCCTGCATCATCCTGCCAAAAGGCTTGATAAGATGTACATATCAGCATTATCGCCATCTTTCGATAAACGTTTTGACCGAGTTGGCCATTTCCCTGTTTTTGATGATCTGACAAGGATAGGAAACGCAGGCTAGAAAGCTGCTCTTCTACCACAAAAAATAAGATGCACAAAATCCAACATATACTTGTATACAACATAAAATTGTTTTTTAAATTTCATAAAAGTGATTACTTAGATCAGAAATTCTTTAAAAGTACCTTCTTTATTTATTGTTTTTGATTACTAAGCGCACAATTTTGTTGTTAACAGATAAATTACTGTACTATAACAAAATAATGTTGATAAATTTAGATCAACAATAATTTTGGTGGTTTTAATTTATGCCTACCTTCGTAAAGCACGATAGTGCGTTACAACATTTGAAAGCGGCAACGCAAGGAGGGAAATTTTTCAATTAGATTTCCCAGACACTTAAGACCTCAGGGATGTCAAATAAGTGTACAATTACATCGAAAATAAAAACATTTTTGTCGTTCTGAAAGGGTTACGCCGGTTTTCTGTGAGAGTGTGATCTTTCCTCGTTCTAACCGATCCACTACCTCATATCGTCCCGTAGGTGTCGTAAGAGGCGACAGAGAAAATATGAAACAGGGGATGGGCGGCAGCATCTTCTGCAGTTATGGCAAAATCTTCCCTATGAGACAATTTATGGAGCCTATGTTCAGTCGTGGATTTTTATAGGCTGCTAAAATAATTAGATCCTTAATTATATAAAGATGGCACTGCAATTAAGATAGTATAGGTGAACGCAAAATGTTACCATAGATAAAGGCGTGGGCTAAAGCGTGCGATGAGTGCGGCATCGTGTGCTCGCTGCAGTACAGTTTGCCGCATGTGCTCGGCGATCCTGTCACCATTCAACAGTGGAACATCGACGGCTTGCCCGCTGACGACTTTAGCGTCGAGAGTGCCATTATAATTATGTACGTATTTATTTAATACGATATTATTCTTAACTAGCGACCCGCCCTGACTTTGCCTTGGTAGAATCTATAAAAATGTCGTTTTTTATATTTAAGACAATAAAAGGCCATTTATTTTTTGTTTTGAAAAAAAAAAACTAAGTTTTTCGGATAAAATATAGCTTAGATCACTCTTGGTATTGCTCTCTATCAGTTTGTCACGTTTATTCACAAAAGGTTCAGTCATTCAGAAGTTTAGCCCGGGCAGACAGACAGACAGACAAAATGTTTACAAACTCCCTAAACTTGATAAAAGACAGTTATTTCGATATTACATTTCAATTTTATGTATATGTATAGAAATTTTGCAGATTATCTTGATTTTAACTTTTTGACTGGGAGTCCATTTTGAAGATGCCATCCCTTTCTATCTTAGTCATCAGGGGTTATAATGTATCTGTAACCTTTTTTTGCTACAAGTTGCTGGAGCTGTTGGAAAGATTATGAGCTGCATAAGTCACTCACCGTCGAATGAAGTACAAAACAAAAACGATTGTTTAGTTTACGGACTTGAGTGTATTGTGATTCTACCCGTTGCTATTAGTTATTAAACCTTTCTACGAAACCACTCAACCGAATGTAATGAATTTTTGTAAATGTGTATTGTTTGCTCTAACTTGAGAGATATGATAGTTTTTATCCCGATAAGTGACCCTCAATTTTTTTTATTGCGAATTTAAAGCTTTTTTAAAAGACAAAGGGTCTTCGGAAAGGGCAGAACAGTCTGCCTGGCCAGCTAATAAAACACACAATACTGTAAATACAATACAACTGCTGTGCGTTAGTCTCGTTTAGTAAGTTTGTGTTTGTTTAAGTGGGTCACTGGAAGGTTTAGATTTAAAATTAGACCGGGTATATGGCGCTGTTGCCGAAATCCAGAAATCACCCGTGCGAAGCCGGGGCGAATCGCTAGTTATTAAATATATTAAGAGTGACAAACTAGCACACTGTCCACCTGATTGTAAGTGGATTTTGTGCGCGTCCTTAACCAAACACGTTGCAGTCGTGGAGAGATAGAAGCAGTGAATAATAACAAACCATCACGCATCCGAAGTGGTCTCGTCGAATCCATTCGGATCAGCCTCCTCGGGTCGGCCATGTAGCGTCCTCTTCGTTCCTCGTTACACCCATTGTCTAAATACTACTAACAGTCGGTCATCGAAGGCGTCTAGACGGGGCAATCGTGCAGTACGTTCTGGGGCGAAACGCGGGCGGAACACTCGCGGAGCAATTGTCGGGAACTGTCCGCTAGGGTTGTCCTATCACGCAAATAAATTAAAATGGTTCACACTACATATGCGGTAAAAAACTGCGGGTTGTCCTCATTTAAAGATATGCAATTACTTTCATCAGTTTCCGCATGCACATTAATTTGTTTTAACGCGAAATAAAATAAAATAAGTTTATTTTAATTTTTTTATTACTCTTGTTCTGACAACCCTAGCAATTTATTGTTTATGTCACCTTTTCTGACGACATCAAACGCAATAACTGACTGTATGTTCTTCTTAGCCTATGATCACACCTATGTCTATCCTCAATTAAGAATCGAAATTTAGATGCGTTATTACACCTAATAAGACTGTCTCGAATAAAATATTCTTATTTTGATGTTTAGGACAGCACGCCGATGGCCACTTATGATCGATCCGCAAGGACAAGCCAATCGCTGGGTAAAAAATATGGAGAAACCAAACAATTTATGTGTGGTTCGAATAACTCAGGCGGATTTGAGCCGTGTTTTAGAAAATGCCGTGCAATTCGGACAACCAGTAAGTGCAATATTTGTTATTTTAACAATTTTGCTATTGAATCACTAGACATAATTGTTTTGGTTGTATTGTGCAGGTGTTATTGGAAAATGTTTTGGAGGAATTAGATCCCATGTTGGAGCCGCTATTACAGCAACAGACTTTCCGCCAGGGTGGGGCACTTTGTATTAAAATTGGAGATGCTATTGTGGAGTACAGCAAGGATTTTAAGTAAGTTAACTTGGTTTGCTCAACATAACTTCAAATAAAAGTAAAATGAAATAAAAGAAAAGTGCACTTTATAAATATAATTGTGAAAATTTTTTGAGATGATTGATGATCCTTAACCTAATAAAGTGTCGTGGATGTCAGTAAGAGGTTACTAAAAGAAATGCCAGAAACATGTCGTAGTCTTATTAAATAAGTGGATGACACCACCAGCGTGGTTAGGCAAGATGACATTCTATGATTATTAACGCTATAGAAAACTAATTTTCTCTTTAATCTAAATTAAATTTATTAAATCAACGGCAAGTTACTTACGTGACCGTTACGAGACGTTTAATACAATAAATAAAAAAAACATTTTTAATATATGTATAATAACTGTACCATAACAAGTGGTAAAATTAAAAAAAATAATCGAAGTCAATTAAATACGCATTATTAAGTATAACTCAAAAACTACTGGTCATCATTACAGCCCTTCACAAGTCCACTGCTGAACATAGGCCTCCCCCAAAGAATGCCACAAAGCACGGTCCTGAGCCACCTGCATCCATCGACTTCCTGCACATCTTACCAGGTCGTCACTCCATCTAGTGGGGGGACGCCCTACACTTCGCCTGCCGGTACGAGGCTGCCACTCGAGAACCTTTCTTCCCCATCGGTTGTCGGTTCTTCGAGCCATATGGCCGGCCCATTGCCACTTCAGCTTACTAATCCGTTGGGCTATGTCGGTCACTCCGGTTCTACTGCGGATATCCTCATTTCTGAGTTTATCACGCAGAGAAACTCCGAGCATAGCCCTCTCCATAGCTCGCTGAGCGACCTTGAGCTTCCTCATCCGGCCAGCAGTGAAGGACCACGTCTCAGTTCCGTATGTCATCACTGGCAACACGCACTGGGTGTACAGTCTCGTTTTCAAGTTTTGAGGTATACCTGACGAGAAGATGTGCCGTAATTTCCCGAACGCTGCCCAACCGAGTTGAATCCGTCGATTGACCTCTCGGTCGAAGTTGGACTTACCTAGTCGGACTATTTGTCCGAGGTAAACATACTCGTCAACAACTTCGAGCTTAGTGTTCCCAACAACTACCGGCATAGGTGTGACATGGACATTAAACATGATCTTTGTTTTGTCCATGTTCATCTTAAGACCTATCCGTTGGGAAACACTATTGAGGTCATTGAGCATAGTGCTTAGGTCCTCCAGCGATTCTGCCATAAGGACTATATCGTCGGCAAATCGAAGGTGAGTGATGTACTCGCCATTGATGTAGATACCGTATCCTTTCCAGTCCAGAAGCTTGAAAACGTCTTCCAACGCAGCGGTGAAGAGTTTCGGGGATATGACGTCACCCTGTCTTACACCTCTCTGCAATTGGATAGGTTTCGTACTCTGGTTCTGTACTCGGATAGCCATCGTAGCCCTACTGTACAAGCACTTCAACACTTCGATATACCGACAGTCAACTTGGCATCGCTGAAGGGACTGCAGCACCGCCCAAATTTCGACGGAATCAAAGGCTTTCTCATAGTCCACATACGCCAGACATAGTGGCAAATTGTACTCCTCGGACTTCTGTACAATTTGCCGAAGGGTATGTATGTGGTCTATGGTGCTAAAGCCTTTTCGGAAACCGGCTTGTTCGGGAGGCTGGAAGTCGTCAAGTCTGCGCGCGAGACGATTCGTAATGACTCTCGAAAACAGCACGTAGACGCGGCTCAGAAGGGAAATCGGTCTGTAGTTCTTCAAGAGAGCGTTGTCGCCTTTCTTGAAGAACAAGACCACCGCACTTCTGCTCCACGCCTCCGGTGTAATGCCACCATGGAGGACGGAATTAAAGAGCTTCTGAAGGACTTCAAGTACCGGTTTTCCACCCGCTTTCAGAAGCTCCGCTGTAATTCCATCCTCGCCTGGGGCCTTGCCGTTTTTAAGGTGCTGGAGAGCCATTCTAATCTCGCTCAGACTGACGTCCGGGATATCATCGGAATAATGTCGGATAAGACTCGCTCTTGGATCGTTACTCACACTTGCGTGTGGCTCCAACGATGACGTGTACAGCTGCCCATAGAACCTCTCAATCTCACTCAAAATCTCAGGTGCCCCGGAAACGATGCTGCCACATTCGGTCTTCAGCTTTGACAGTTGGCTCTTTCTGGCAGACAGATCTCTAGCAAAGACTTTGGAGCCTTGGTTCCGCTCGATCGCTTCTTCAATACGAGCTGTATTAAAGTTGCGTAAGTCCCACCGCATGCATTTGGAGATCTGTCTGTTCAGTTGCCTGTATGCTGTCAAATCTGTTGAAGAATGTAGCTTCATCTCCCGTCTAACAGCCATGAGATTAAGAGTGTGATCGGAGAGTTTTTGTGTTCTTCTGCGGCGGGTCTTGCAGAACTTAGCTCCGACCGCATGGACAGTTTCCACGAGCTTGTCATTCAAATCGTCCACTTCATTGCAGTCTTCTAGGCACTGAAAACGGTTTTGCAACTCGAGCTGAAAGGTTTCGGGACTTTGGATTAGAGCACGAGGGGGACGGAGCGTTGACTTCATTAGACGAGACCTCTCCAACTTAACGTTTAGGTTCAGTGTGCCTCTAACCATTCGGTGATCGCTGCCGGTTTTCACCCTCGCGATCACTGAGACATCACTGAACAGTTGTCGTCTGGTCGTCATAATGAAGTCAATCTCATTTTTTGTCGAACCGTCGGGGCTCGACCAGGTCCACGTCCAAAAACTACTGGTCACGGTTGATTAAATTTATACGGGACCACATGAAAAGCACCAGCTTTCAAATAAAAAGAGAATCATCAAAATCGGTTTAACTAGAAAAAAGTTCTGAGGTAACACACATAAAAAAAAATAAAGACGAATTGAGAACCTCCTCCGTTTTTGAAGTCGGTTGATAAAAAAGTGTCGTTTTATTTTCTAGATTGTACATAAGCACTAAACTATCAAATCCTCACTATCTACCTGAAGTGGGTGTCCGAGTGACTTTGGTTAACTTTATGTTGGCCAAAGACGGCTTACAAGCACAGCTATTATCCCGCGTTGTTGCTAGAGAGAGGCCAGACCTTCAACAGGCCAAAACTGACCTCACCACTCAAGGAGCGGAGCACAGGCGACTTTTGCAAGATATAGAGAAGAAGATTCTTACTGTGCTGTCTAGTTCCGAACATTTGTTAGAAGACGAAGAGGCGGTTCAGGTAAAATTAGTAAAATAAAAACAACATTTATTCATGTTAAAATTTTTTTTATAGGACAAACGAGCAGACAGTCGACCTGATGGTAAGTGGTTGCTGCGATCCATAGACATCGACATTTATCCTCGATTAAGAATCAAAATGCAGATGCGTGTCACCCCTGAAGACTATGATCGAATGCTTCGTTTCCAGTAGAAAGGGTATCCGGTTCTCTACACTCACTAAACACAGCAGCACTAAGAATCTATCTTACGCTGGTATTCTGTGCGAGCGTGGTCCTACCCCGGTAGAGCTAGCCCATTCGTGCTATAACCATAATATAGCTGCAACGGGGCTCGGCCAAGATATTTTTGGTTTTACAAATAAAAGTACATGCATAACACTAGCAATTTTTTCGCATCGATATCACTTAAGGACACTTTTCTCAGACACCAGCAACGCACTGCAATTATTCCGGTAATGCAAGTGTTTAGTGGCAGCGCCGATCACTTACTTTCCGGTGGTCCATATGATCGTTTGCAATTCTGTACCATCTTTTCTGTACCAATTCAGTCCATCTAAAGGTTAACTAGAAGAAATTGCTTTTAGCAATAAAATCACCCATTGTTATGTCATCTGTAAATTTATTTATTGTAAATTATTTAAATTCTTAATTTATACCTTGTATATTCCTAATTCAATTCTAGCTATAATCTTAAATGCATATATGATCATCATGTATGTATTAAAGTTTGACGATTCATATAATATTTAATGCATTTGATCGGCCATAATCATCATCACATCCACATCAAAGTTCACTTTTTACAACAACGTTTTACAACAAAATCCCAGAACATGTTCAAAGTTTGTCAATAAACAAGTTTAAAAGTTTTATTACATAAAACTGTACTAAAAGGGTTATTATGTATATTATGAAGAAATACATGAATGAAAATAATCCCTGGGAATAAGGTGATCGCCACCATGCTGACTCTATAAAAATTAATTTAAAAATTATATAAACAAAATTATTGTTAAGTGAAATATGTTTAAAAAAGTCCCGCTGTGTTTCTTGCTGGTTCTTCTCAGGACGAAGTATCATGTAGTAATCAATATTGAATAAAAATCATTCTATTCTATTCTATTCTATTCTATTCTACTGCTGAACATAGGCCTCAACTAAAGATTACCTTATAAGGGGGATATTTGCCTTAGTTTCCACTCTTGGTTGGTTACTGCGGTTGCCAACCTACCAAGATGCTGCTTCCCATCGCTTGTTTAATGTCCCTATGTCGCCTGTTAGTACACCCGCGGGATGATATGCGGTAGTGGAATCTCTTGCATCGCCACTACACGGCCTAGGAACAACCACTACCCCATATAATATGTCCATTATATATTAAAATAATAGAACCTGGTGTCCATGTGCAATTTATTACTGGAATAGCCCTTCACGGTATAGAAGACATTGCTAGATAATAAAGTTTAATTTAAAAAAATAGCTAGTGTAAAGCCTTTATTGTTTTGAAACTTAAAATGAATGTAAATTAAAAAGATAATCATTCATGTTTCTCAAATGGCTTTAATCATTTTTCTTATAGATTTTGAATTCAGCCAAAGATATGTCAAATGAAATCAAGGAAAAGCAAGAAGTAGCCATGCATACGGAGAAAGCTATCGACGCAGCGAGAGATGACTATGTGCCAATTGCTGCACATTCTACCAACTTATTTTTCTTAATCGGTAAAAATATTAATTTTTAAAAGGGAAAACCATTCTTTAGAGAGATTAAGAGAAAGACAGAGTCCGCCACGTATCCCCTATGCGTGTTATGAGACTTGCTCATAACAATTTTTTTGATAAAATGAGAGTGACAAAAAAGCGCGCAGTCCACCTGCAGGGCTAGCATGGACAGGAGATAATTTTATACCCGGGGAAAGGAGAAAATGTTTATCCCCTCGCTTAGTTTTCCCCACCCTTCGAGCATGGGCACACCGGTGGATATAATATCCACAGTAGATAAAATGGGAGATAGACTTAGATAGTTTTTTGTATGAATATAAACTTAAACCCACGTCCAATGAACTATGATAAAATTGTCCCTTTCAAATGTCAAAAAAGTATAATTTTTTATCTGTCATTTGGCTCCAAGCTACGGACGGTGGATATATATATGTCTACTTGTTATGTCAAACGGGGATATACTTCTCCCCGTTGCCGTGCTTTGGCATAAGGACAAGATAATTTTATCTCTTGTCAGTGGATATAATCGGGGTATAAATTTTTTGTCCCCAGCCCATGCTGGCCGTGCTGATGGTAAGTGGACGCAGGGGCCCTTATATATCTACATCTGTCCACGACTAAGAATCAAAATGCAGCTGAGTTGTTAACCCGGATTACTAAGTTGGAATAAGGGTCTCCCTACATACATTTTTTATAGGATAGGGTGACAAACGAGCACACAGTCCACGTGATGGTAAGTGGTTGCTGTGACCAATAGACATACGGAAACACAGCCGCACAACGAAACATAACATCATTAAGCTGCTATTTAAGCTAGTATTCTGTAAGAGCGTGGTCCTTTCCCAGTCGAGCTGACCTATTCGTGCTACCACCATAATATAGTAGCCGCACGGCTCCTACCACGTTTGGAAAATCCTTCCCCAAAATATTTTTTATTTTCTAATGCACATTGTATTCCTCTTGATGTTTTTGCATTACTGTCAAGCACATGAAAAATCAACACTAAAACGATCTCTGGCAGGTCTAGCCCCGGGGGATAAGTCTACCCTTAAATTTCACAATACACGGATAAACGAGTTCTATCCCCACCGGCATCAGTGAAGTTGTTTTTATTAAAATTCTTGTTAGTAAAGAATGGCGTGTGGCCTAAGAGAATCAATTAGAAAAACAAAAGAAATCAAAAGAAAAACAAAAGAGAAGAATATTTACTACCATGGCTATGGTAAGAGTCGACTAAGAAGAAAAAAGAATCAAATGTCACATGCTTTCAGAGAAAAGTTCTTCTGTACATATGCTGCACAGTTAATAGGATCGAAGTATTGCAGTTGCTTTCAAATTAATGTAATTTGTCCCTTTACCATAAAAGACTTTCTTAAGACTTGACCATTTCTGTTATTTGAACTCAAGATCTAGTTGAGACTAAGTAAGCTTGGTTCACTGGGACTGTACCTTGAGCTTGAGATATTGCTTAATCCACTGAAACAGTTAAAATCATTATTTTAATAAGTACCTTTTAAATAAGAAGTAGGTAAATTTTGACTAATTTAATTTAAAATTAAAAATTTTGTACAACCGACTTTAATATAAATTATTAAGAATAACTCAAAAACTATTGGTCAAACATTGATTAAATTTATATGGGACCACATGAGAAGCACAAGCTTTCAAAGAAAAAAAAAAGAATCATCGAAGTCGGTTCACCCAGAAAAAGTTATGAGGTAACACACATAAAAAAGAACATAGAGTCGAATTGTGTACCGTCTCCTTTTTGAAGTCAGTAGAAAACATATAACAGCTTACTACACACTATGTCTTGTAATGTACTACAACAATAGAAGCTATCATGTGGCAAATGTTTTTAAAGTCTGTTTTAACATTTTCTTAAGCTTTATATTTAATACTCTGTTTTTATTTTCTTAATTAATATAAAACATGTTTTATTCATTTTTCTCTAGCATCTTTGGCAAACATCGATCCCATGTACCAGTACTCTCTGGGTTGGTTCGAGGGTTTATTCACGGCGGCCATCGACAACACAGATAAAGTGGACGACATACACGAGCGCTTAAAAATATTACGCGATTACTTCACGTACTCACTCTACAACAACATATGTAGGAGTTTGTTTGAAAAGGTATATGTTAAAGATCTGAAAATTAATTATCATTAGTTTGTGTATTTTGCACGCACATTTTACGTGGTACAGCCATGCTTTACGTGGCAGAGCCATGCTGTAGCTATACTAATAGTATAGTTGTAGCACGGATGGATCGGTTCGGCCGAGGAAAGATCACTCTTTCACGGAATACCAGCGTAAAATAGCAGCTTAATGCTGCTGTGTTTCGTATGGTGAGTGTAGAGAACTGGAGACCCATTTTACTGGAAAAGAGGCATTCTACGTGTGCTCGTTTGTCAGTCACCCTTATTCTATAAAAAAAATATACTTCAAATTTCTCTTACACTGTGAGAGCATTCAAAAATATAAATTGTAGTTGTTCCCAGAGCCGAAACAATTACTTTTTTAACTTTTATTTATAATATTAAAGTGACAAACTTTCAGACCCAGGTGGTCTATAAATTTGTCACTTGCACAGGCAAGAATGATATTATAAGTACTACAGAAATAGCTACGACAATCTCGAATAAGGGTTATGTCCTCCAAACCGAATTTCGATCAAGGCGGCAAGTTACAAAGGAGACTAGTTATCTGCGTAGGGCAGGATTATACATAGCGGCACCACAGAGTAAAGAAGACCAGAGGGGAAGCTTTCTAACAACGTCGAAAATCTATACCTATTCTGATAGGGTTATCACCTGATGCAAGTGAAAATTTTAAGGAAAAAGTAAAATTATTATGTTGTATAAAATAACATGTGTATTCATTGTAATTTAAGTTAATAACTGGTATTTTTTTTTTTTTTTTTTTTATTTTCTCCCACATATTACAATCAGTACATCACAAAAAACTTAGTAACAATGAACTATACAACTAAATAACAGCTATAAAAATTAACTAAATAAGATCTAGGTGGGAGACTGGTGCCCAAACTAGGTTGCCCTGTGCTATGGGTAATATAATAACATGTCTGTTATTTGTAATTAAAATTGAAACTGCAAAAATTGTATATTTTGCTTATTTTCATGCTTAGCTTCACATTACATATACATATATACATATTAGTAATGACTGTGATGATGGTAGTGGGCAGTGGCGGTGTTGATACACCACCACCACCAATGTTACTACTAGGATGATGGTGTCGGTAGTAAGGGCTGTGGTGGTGATGCTAGTCGTGGTGGTAGTGCCAGTGGCAGTCCACTGTCCACCACCACCACCAATGATACTACCAGCACCACCACAATCACTGACACCATTACCAGCACGTACAGCACCACCATCTACCTCTACCAACACCGCACGGTCAGCACCACCGTCCACCATCACCATCACCAGCACTACTACCACTAACACTAACTGCACCACTGTCTGGCTATTGAAATATTTTCTCTCGAATTTTTTCATACATACTGTACAACTTCGGCGTTTAGCTTATACGAACACTAATTATCTAATATAAATATATACTTATAAATCTATAATGTCTTATTTTATAGTATGCAATCTCTAAACTTAACTCTAATTGTAAAAAAAAATTTATTGATCTATAAGATCACGAAATATTATTTGTCTATTTATTTCAATGCGCGTGTCCAACAGCCCTTTCATTTACACTCTGACTGAGCTGGCGCAAACCGGTTTGTACCCTGACGGAGCGTCGGTGAACCTGTCGGTGAGAGCTCACGCACACATCGCTGCGCTATGTGTGGGTGTACCCGAAACGAGACGTTTGTATGTAGCTTCCCCTCTGGTCGGTTTCTTTACTCATGTGGCGGCACTCTTTATTCCCTACTCTTGTAGTCCTCTGGAATACCAAACTCTGATCCAACTAACTCCATAGTTATCTCACTCCTTAACTCCTTTACGTCATTAACACATTTCACCTGTTCAGATGTCAAGTTTTGAATGATGCAGGTATACGAGTATATAGGGTTATTTTTCAAAGAGTAGCCAAATTTTAAACTTAAGTTCATATATATAAATAATGATATACCGTTATTGCAGTTTTTCAAAATACAGGTAAATAATAAGGCTTCTACTTTAATTTGAAAGTAGCTGTTCCCCGCGACTTCGTCCACGTGAAATTAAATGCGATTGGATTTCAAGGGTTTTAATTTTTTTGCGCGGAACTCTAATTTTTTTTTCTAAAATAAGAGTAGCCTAAGTTACTGCTTATATCTGCCCGTGAAAGTCCCATTCAAATCATTTGTGTAAATATGTGTTCAGACAGATGTCGTGTTAGAGTTTTATCTCTATATATAAAAATTACGTGTCATATTGTTTGTCCGCGATGAACTCCTAAACTACTGAACTGATTTCAATGAAATTTGCACACTCTTTGCAGTTTGTTCCAACTTGAGAGATAGGATAGTTTTCATCCAGAGAAGTGACACAATATTTTTTTATTACGAATTTAAGGATTTTTTATATGAAAGGTAGGTCGTCGAAAAGAGCAGAACGACGTCTACTTGGTCAGCTAGTTATAGTATAGATTATTCCAAATTGAATGTGATTTATGGACAAAAACGTTTTTGCCTACCGTTTGACACTTACGGATGTGTGCGTGCGCTGTAAAATCAGTTAAAATAATTTATTACCACGCGTTTTGAATTTAAGAGATAAAAATTATAGAATGTTTGAGATTTTTTAAATAAATTTTTCTTCCCCATTTGTTTATATTACTTATTCTGAACCTTCTCTGCATATTTGGCCGGTTTTTGCAAAATAATCCTGTTAATATAATGTGGTAGTGTAACGCTGCAACGATCGCCAGTGTAAAATAGCAGCTTAACTCTTTTGCGTATCGTATGGTAAGTGACGATAACCGGCGACTCCTTTGAACTGGTTACGAAGCATTTCATCTTATTTCTCAGATAGATGAAGGCGTGGTCTATAGGGCACAACATGCATGCATGCATTTACTATCAAATGGAATGTGTACCCGCTCGTCACTCTTACTTCTATTGTATAAGGTGTCTCAGGAACGTGATTTGGGATAATCTGTGCATAATCCTTAGTTGGACTTGTAATGAAAAGAAAAAGTAAAAGTGACAGTATATTTTTCCATAGTTTATTATTATATCTATGTACACTTTTTAAGGTTCAAAATCATTCAAATAACACATATGGTGATTGATGCATTTTCCTAGAGTATTTTTAATATTTTAATACATCTTTCAGGACAAAATGGTATTTTCGTTACTGTTAACCATTACGATAATGGTAGCGGAAGGTCGCCTCCAGCAGAATAACGTGATCTTCCTTCTGGGCGGCGCCCAACCGAGGCAGATACCGCCCAATCCGGTGCAGTTTATTAGTCCGCAGGCGTGGGCGGAGTTAAACGGGTGAGCTTTGAAGGATATTTATGAAAGGCTCTTTGCTGCGCTTCGATGAGTTTGAATAAGCAAAAAGTTTACCTTGTTTGATAAGTATTAATATTAGAAATAAAATTATTATTGGGCTTGATTTTTGGCTATTATTCCACTTTCAAAAATATATTTTAATAATTTATTACAACTTTTATAATTATTATAACTTTTGAGCCATATCTCTAGTATTTGATTTAGTCGACTGTGTCGATATCCGATACGATGGATATCGTACTAAAAATGGGTATTTTTTTAAGAAGAAACACACACAGCACGAGAACGTGGTGGAATGAGGAGTAAAAAATTCTTGAAAAATTCACCGAGTATAGGCTGACACATAAATAACACAGCTTAAAGGATTTCCCACGTAAACTCGTAAATGGCACAGCTGCCGTTTAAGGCGAGGCACACGGTCACCGAACTTTTTTTTTTAATATGAGTGACAAGGAGCACACAGCCCACCTGGTATTAAGTGGGTACTTTAGCCCCTAGACATCTGAATTTATCCAAAATTAAGAATCAAAATGCAGATGCGTTGTCACCCCTGAGGACTAAGATGGAATGCCTCGTTTCCAGTAAAAAGGGTTTCCGGTTCTCTACACTCACCATACGAAATACACCAGCATTAAGCTGCTATTTTACGCTGGTTTTTTGTGAGAGCGTGGTCCTACTCCGGTCGAGCCGACCCATTCGTGCTACAATCACAATATAGCAGCAGTGTGGCTCTACCACGTTTTAACAGTTAGAAGTGATTATTTGTTATTGAATTGCACCTTTAAAAATAAAGATCTATTCTTAAATCGCCTTTTATCCATCTTCATCCAACGCCTTTTATCCATGTACATTTATCTTTTCCGATATATGTTCTTATACCAACATCTTACATAAGGAAATAGATAAATATTTCACTTGAAAAATTATTGGAATACAGAAGATACTTTGACACTACAAAAACGATTAAATTACACTTGATTTTCACTACCAAATAAGTTAGAACAAGAGGCATTATAGCAAATATTTTATACGTGGTAGAGCCATGCTGCAGCTATATAGCTGCAGTATAGTTGTATCACAAATGGGTCGGCTCGAATGGGGAAGGACCAAGCTCTCACAGAATACCAGCGTAAAATAGCAGCTTAATGCTGCTGTGTCTCGTATGGCGAGTATAGAGAACCGGAGACCCTTTTTACTGGAAAAGAGGCATTCCATCTTAGTCCTCACGGCTTACAACGTATTTTAATTCGCAAACGAAGATAGATGTAGATGTCTATGGGCCACGGCAACCATTTACCATCAGGTGGACTGTGTGCTCGTTTGTCACCCTTATTTTATAAAAAAAAATAGTTAAAGATGCTCGTCATTATATTAATTAAACTGCTATCCTCAATATAATACGATAGAATTTATTACAGCTCCAAAAAAAAAATGCAAAGATAACACTAAATCAAATTATCTAGTTTAGTGGTAAGCGATGGAAGTGAGTGATTGTGTGTAAACACAAGTGTGTATTACGTACTTGTATAAGAGAAGTCGCTAGCACGCCTTGTTAGCGTGCTTTTTGGGTACGCTAACACATATATAAGGCAGCATGCCATGCCACCTTTTTCCTCCTGCCCTTATCACAAGTCATTTGAAGCCGGCATAATATTTCTTATGTCTCTTTCACTCTCCTCTATCAGTCGTCATCTCAATAATCATTATTTTCTTACGCAATTCGTCCTTCAAACATACCAACCACATTTTTTAAGCCTCAGTCTACTCTTATAGCCATACATACATACATACATATAATCACGCCTCTTTCCCGTAGGGGTAGGCAGATACCACTTCTTTCCACTTGCTACTATCCTTACATACTTGTTTTGTTTATAGCCATGCACTTTCATATTGTCGTGTCCATGAAATATGGACCGAAAGCAACCAAAGACGATGATCTCGTAGTAACTAAAGAAGCTTATCTTGTCTTGAATAACCCAATGCTATTTAGGTTTAGTTAAGAATCATTAAAATGTCAAAAAGGTAGAAGATATAAATAATATAAAATTTTTCTATTGTAGGTTGAACGAATATGAAAAGTTCAGTGGTATTGTGAAGCATTTCACCTCGAATGTCTCTATGTGGGAAGCATACTGCGATACGCCCGACCCACAAAACCAGCCATTACCTGAACCTTGGAACACCAAGCTCGATGAATTTGAGGTCTGTTTATGATTGAACAAACGATATAGCTATTTGAAATTTACAAAAGTAAAGTAATTAACTACGTTATTATAGTAGCCTAGTGGTTAAGACAGAACTCGAAATTCCATCCTCATTATCTCGATGGCTGGCGGTCCACTACTGTGTGATTTACGCGGAATTTTCTGCTTCGTTTGACGAATGTAGAATAGACTGTGGCCAGCAGTTTTTCCGGACCAATACGACTAAGAGACCTTCAAGAAAAGAGCCTACTCCTTTCTAAAAAGTTTTAGTTTTAAGTTTCCTTTCTAAATTTTTTTATAAAATATGGGACAAAAGACTATGCTACTTACTTGTGAGTAACTACCGCAGCCTTTGAACGACTATAACATTAGAGGCGGATTTCTTGAATTGAAAAAGTCTCTTCTTGAAGATCCCTATGTCGTATCGGACCGGAAAAATCGCTAGAGGGAGCTGATTCCACAAAGTAGTTAAATTAAAATTTACTACAATTCTCCTGTTCTAATAATTCTTTCTTACAAATAAATCTATTAATCATCTAAACGTGTGATAAAAAAGGAATAAACAAATGTTAATGCATTTTTTTTTTAGAAATTAATGGTGCTACGTTGTGTGCGAATGGACATGATGGTGCCGGCCGTGCAAAATTATGTTGAAGGTATGCCGTAGTCTCAGATCGACAAAGAAAGGAAGATGGAGAATTGCGCACATTTCAAGTGACGCAAAACCATGCTCAACTTAACTTACATAAGAACATGAGAACACACACATATGCATTTCTAAATATAAAATCATTTGCAACCAACAACATGGATTTAGACGCTCCGTCTACCTTTCTTTGTTATTCTAGGGACGTAGTATGTTTTTTTTTTTCAAATTTATATATAAAACTTAGTTTTGTAAAATTTAAAAAAATATTTCAAAAGCGGTTACCTTCAATCTAGAAGTTTCTCCCGTGTCGTGAAAACCGGAACAGATTTTTAGTTTATACAAATTCTCCCTTTGCGGAAATTGAACTGTCAATCCACAACACTGTAACGAAATGCTTCTACGCTAGTAAAGCTTATATATTATTTTCATACGATATTTTGTTTAAGTAGACATTTATTTGTCTAAAAAAAGTAATTAGTGTTTTAGCAGAAACGTTTGCCACGGCTATTATTTATTCCATTTATAGTGAAAATTCCATTTTAAATTAATAATAATTTAACGGCATTTATGTATTAAACTTTTATTTGGGTAATAATATTACTCGTACATTATAAAGTTTTTATTTTTATAGTATTCAAGTTTTATTGGGGTAATATTTTAGTGCGTTGTCACTAAAATAAAATGCAATATTACTGTTACTTATTCTATATTATCGTGTATAGATTTTTTATACGCCGGCTGATTTTTTCCATTCGGAAAAAAATGGGTTACAAGTAAATGAATTAGAAGCCATAAGTCATAACTATTTTCCAATGTTTTTCATTGACGGTACCTCACTAATTTGAAGCTTTATACGTGGAAGAGCTATGCTGCAGTTATAGTAGTAGCACGAATGGGTCGGCTTGACCGGGGAAGGACCACGCTCTCACAGAATACCAGCGTGAAATAGCAGCTTAACACTGCTGTGTTTCGTATGGTGAGTGTAGAGAACCGGAGAACCTTATTACTGGAAAAGAGGCATTCCATCTTAGTCCTCACGGGTGATAACGCATCTGCATTTTGATTCTTTATTGAGGATAGATTTAGATGTCTATGGGTCACGGCAACCACGTACCATCAGGTGCAACTGCGTGCTCGTTTGTCACCTTATCCTATAAAAAAAAGCTTAGTAAGCTACTGTCAATGAAAAAAATTGCTTAAGTTTTTACCTAGTGGCCTGCTTCAAACTCAAGAGTTTCACGAAGTCATTGATAATTATCACGCTTAAATTATGGTATACATTATTGGAATTTTGATATTTTTAATCGCCATATGTTTGCTATTTTCGGCTCCATCGCCACTTACCATCGGGTGAGATGGCACTGGCATATAATAGTTCAGAAATTTTATTTATTTCTTCAATTGTTTTTTTTATCAGTTAACTTAGAATATGAAAAATAACTTCTACTCCGTTCACCTATTACACCCCAAATTTATTCCAGGCGGACAAAGTCAGTAAATAAAAAAAAATTGTTTTAGTAAATTTATTAATTTATTTAAAATTTAGTTTTAGTACTTTATAAAATTCATGTGTATTATGGCGGCGAAAGAAAATCCTCTAGCCCATATCATCTCGTGGGTGTTGTAAGTGGCCACCAGGGAAATTGAAACAGGAGATGGGCAGCAGCATCTTCCTGTTAACAACTGTGAATAATTTAAAAGAAACTGCGGTTGCCAACCTGCCTGCCAAGCGTGACGAAATCCTTCCTATGGGCAATCTAAGGTGGGGGGAGGGGCTATGTTCGTGTACTTTTGATGGGCTGAGCTTATAAAATACATAAAAGGGGGATAAGTATTTCTCGCTTACAGTACAACTGGGACGGCAGTTCATTGAGCCACCGCTGTTTGATCTGACCTCTTCTTACGCGGAATCACACTGCTGCATACCACTGCTTTTTGTCTTGACACCTGGATCAGACCCTATGGGAACATTACTGAAGTTCGCTGACGACCAGGTATGTATATAGATGTCCATTTATGATATGTCGCGAAAAAGTATATGATTTTGAATCATATGACACCAATATCAACAAACTTTATACCAAGAAAATCATTATGTTATTATATCACAGCTTTAGTATATTAGGACCGAAGACCAAACTATTTGTAAAACCAAGCGTAATGACTGGCTCCACTACTTAATTTTTTTCTTACGATGCCAACTCACCTCCAAGTAAAGCCCCAAAGTGCTGTCCTGAGCCACCTCCATCCATCGACTTTCTGCATGTCTTACCAGGTCTTCACTCTGTCTAGGAGGGAGGTGGGTTTTCTACACTCCGCTTGCTAGCACGAGGCTGCTACATGATAGCAGTGTAAAATAAAAGCTTTCTGTGACGAAAACCGGGGATAGCGAGGCCTCCCTCCTCAGAGGCGACAATGCATTTGTATTTTGATTCTTAATTGATTGTTACGTAGTAGAGCCATTCTAAAGCTATATTACTTGTATAGTTGTAGCACGAATGGGTCTACTCGACCGGGGAAGGACCAGTCTCTCACAGAATACCAGCATAAAATAGCAGCTTAACGCTGCTGTGTGTTTCGTATGGTGAGTGTAGAGAACCGAAGACCCTATTTTCTGGAAACGAGGCATTCCATTTTAGTCCTCGCGGGTGACAACGCATGTGCATTTTGATTCATATTTGAGGATAGATGTAGATGTCTATGGGCCACTGGGCTACAATCAGGTGAACTGTGTGGTTTGTCACCCTTATTTTATAAAAAAAGATAGACTCACGTCTTTGATCCATACCACCACTTATCATCATTATCATATTTAAAGCCTTTAAAATAGTGAGGTGTTATATTTTGATTCTTAATTGAAAAATGATCCAAGATAGACCACATAATATTACCGTGTGTATTAGAAGCTAGTTCATCATTTTTGCTTCCATAAAAAATACACGTGTAATTAAGGAACTATCTAGAAATACTAACCTTTAACTCTATTTTCATCAACACATTTATATCGGCTGCTTAAACCAAACAACTTGACAATAACTAGCATCAGATTGCAGCCTAGAATAAAATTCTGTATAATTTCTAGTTTCAGGAATTCAGGATCTAATAAGTCTAGTTATCTTGACTCTGCTAAGAAAGATTTTAATTAGAGATTAGATTATAATTATTAGCTATGAGGCATTCTGTTTTGGTTTTTATGAGTGGCGACATATCAATGGCCTTTTTTGTTTGAAATTGACTCCAGGCATCCGTGCCCAGGATAGCCACTTACCATGCAGGAGGCTTTGGTTAACTTGTTTGTCACTTTTAATTAAAAAAAACTGATCGCTGCTATAGATTTATATTTATTATAACTACATGTATCCCAATATAAAGGCATAATAATATAGTTTTCCCGACTAATGTGTGGTCAGGCCACAGTGTAAATTACCAAATAATCGAAAGCACAAATGTTTATAGCGCCACAAGAAGTAACCCTTCGGCCTGACTTACCCCTAACCCTTGTATCCACGTTTAATAGGTTGATACTGTAGTAAGTAAAAGGATCCGGTACTACAATCTCTAGTCTGGCTGTAAGTTAATTAAACCAATAACAGTAAGTTCTCTCGACTTGGCAATTCATAAAGTAAAAGATTACTGATGACCGTGTCCTTGACTTTTATATCTACATACTATACCCTGTATTTGCATAGATAAAAAACCTTAGTCCACATAACGAAATTACTTTTAAATCTATTACGTGGTAAAATCACCTTACAGCTTTATAAATATTATAGACGTAGAACGAATGGGTTGGTTCGAACGGGGTAGGAAAAAGCTCTAACAGAATACCAGTTTGATACAGAAGAAAAAAGCTGTGGTATCGGATGGTGAGTGTAGAGACTGGGGACCCTTTTTACTAGTAACGAGGCATTCCATCTTAGTCTTCAGGAGTGACGAGGCATCTGCTTTTTAATAATTAATCGAAGATAGATATAGGTAGCGATAGATAGATAGATCTATGGCCCAAATTGTTCATTTACCATCAGGTGGGCTGTGTGCTCGCTGTTCTCCTTATGCTAAATATATAATAATACTCATTGACTAACGTTTAAGTCAGAACATTTAATCACCTAGACTTGTTTGTAGGGTTTCGGATCATCCCGGCTGTTTTCCTTGTCATTGGGTCAAGGGCAAGGTCCAATTGCAGTGAAACTCATTGACGAAGGAGTACGTAGCGGTACCTGGGTTGTTTTGCAGAACTGTCACCTGGCGAAGAGCTGGATGCCTATGTTGGAAAAGGTGTAGTTTTAATTTCCTACAACTCATATAAAAATAAAAAAGTAAAAAAGTTTAAGGGTAGAACAGAGAAATTGTAATGTTTTACTACCTGTTGGATGGAATTGCCATTAGATATTGCTTTTGGCCTCTGATTCCTTCAATATTATCACTGTACATAGGACATATGCAGCGGACTTAGAAAGGTTGGTGGTGTGTTCATGGAAACTTTACTATGCATTATAATTTGTCGAGTTCCTCTGCCAGTGACAAATGTATTATTAATATTACGACTAGAGAGCAATATATAAATACAGTTTATTTTTTAAATAACTAAATAATTAAAAAAAATACAGATTCTATTGTGTCTGTGTATTTTCTTATTTTATTAACAACACAAAGCTGTATTTTCAGATTTGCGAAGGCTTAACACCAGACAACACACATCCAGACTTTCGACTTTGGTTGACGTCTTATCCAGCAGACCATTTCCCTGTTTACGTATTACAAAACGGTGTAAAAATGACCAACGAACCACCCCAAGGTACATAATATTTTTATATGCATTTTGGAGAAAAATAATTTGTTATAACTTTGTTTAACTTCGACGATAAATATTTCGAAGGCATACATTTTCGCATTGGGGCAGCGCGGATGAACACTTTCTTACACTGAAATCCCCCCAGAAATGAGAGGAGGCCTGTGGCCATTTGTGAGACGTATATAGGTTTTAACTAAACTAATTTGGTTGAATATACAAAAAGAGAACTTTCTGCAATGCAATCGACTTAGAAAAGGTCATGGTATTAGATTTGAGTTAATAGTGCTTGACGATATTTTGGGAAAGGTACACAAAAAATAATAAAATTATGTTCGTTACCATAAAAAAAAACATTGTTTTATGGAATCATATAGTTGTTCAATAGACAAATCTATTTATATCAAGCTTTATTTAAGTTTATTCTTGCTCTGTGCTAAATGTATTTAGTATCTTCATAACGCAACTCCAGGTCTTCGCGCAAACATAGCGCGCTCGTATCAAAGTGACCCTATAAACGATCCGGAGTGGTTCGAAGGCAACAAGCAGACGGAGGTGTTCAAGAAGCTTCTCTTCGCTCTCTGTTTCTTCCACGCAGTGGTGCAAGAACGACGGCAGTTTGGTCCGCTAGGCTGGAATATACGATATGAGTTCAACGAGACCGATCTAAGGATCAGTGTAACACAACTTTACATGTTCCTCAACGAGTACGATGTAAGTGGGGTTATATTTAAAATGCAATTATTAAATATTATATTTTACCCCATGTAGTGCGATGTAAGAATATCCACCACCGTGGGTTCCGTAAGAGACGACAGAGGTTGCCAACCCGCCTGCCAAGCGTGGCAACTATAGCAAAATCCTATCAGGCAATCACTGGGGGAGGCCTATTATGTTCAGCAGTGGATTTTTATAGACTGTAATGTATGGATGGATATTTGACTTTAGCGTAAATGAATTCCTCCCCCAATCTGGTACTAGTGAGGTCTTTCATGAATAGAGTAGATTTTTTTTAATAATAATAGATTACAAGATTACATATTGAAAATCATTTATGCTTTAACTACTGGTTCGAAAAAAACCTCTGTCCTAGCGGGACGGGAGTAAATGTTATTCAGATAAATTTCAAAACAATTACAAACAGCACGGTAGTGATTACCTTATTAATTTATTATTATTCGTGTGTACTTTAATAGTGTAATAACCCTTTTTAAGCAACATTCGTTTACATAACAAAATGCTTTTCTTCGGACTTCCAAAAAGGAGACGGTACTCAATTCGACTGTATGTTTTTTTATGTGTGTTACCTTATAACTTTTTACTGGAGGAACCGATTTCGATGATTCTTTTTTTATTTGAAAGCTGATACTTCTCGTGTAGTCCCATATGAATTTCATCAAGGTCAGACCAATAGTTTTTGAGTCTTAATAACTTATATTGAAGTCGGCTGTACAAAATTTTTAATTTTTAATTATAACTTTTTAGTAATAAAACAAGAACTGTAACTGAATAGTGTTGATGCATCTACCGTAAAGTCCTGATCGCATTTTCTCAGATTTCAACTTCTGTTTTGGTCACTTTAGAGCTCTTTATTGTGTCAGAGAAGATTCTTAACACTTGTTGCATTATTGACCGACTTCTAAAATTTCCATAGCACTCTAAGAGTAATTAATAGAATAACATTATTTACTAAAATAAGTAATGAATATAATAGTAGTATAGTGATGAATATTTTTAATGATTATTAATTCTTTTCTTTTCTTTTTATATAAAAAATACGTTATCATCACACTAAGATTTTCTCCTGTATTGTGGAATCAGTTTACAAACATAAATTGCACGAGGATAAACATCCAGACCCGGAACAATTATTTGTAGGCCATGCAAATACTTTTTTCGTGCAGGATTCGAACCCGCGGCCCCCAGCGCAACAACTCATTGCTAAGCCACTGCGCCACGGAGCCGTCAATAGATTTTGATTAATGAAATTTGATTAATTAAATATTATATGTAGGAAATAAGTAGTTTTTTTTTATTTTAATTCTATTTCTAATAAGTAGCAAAAGTAAAAGTAAAGTAACAGACTATAATACTCTCGAAATGTTTTATTTCCCCGACGTGCTGGTTTCCTTACGACGTGACGAGCGCTTAGCACGTTAACGACCACGTCTATTAGATTTATTCTGCACCAAAGCAATATTTATACCCATAGGACATTCAATTCGTGGCTCTGCGCTATCTAACGGGCGAATGCAATTATGGCGGTCGTGTGACCGATGACTGGGACCGGCGCTGTCTGAATACTATCCTTTACAAGTTCTACAACTCACGCGCTGTAGAAGAACACAATTATCCGCTTGATCCTACTGGTATGTATGACCACCACTCCTAACATGATAGCCGAAGAGCTGTCCGCCACTTTGACTAATGTCTTCACTACAAATCTACAATTTCATATATTGTTAAATTAATATATGTTAAAGTAAGAAAATCACGACCTAGAGGATAAATTATTTTACTTCTAATGTAAGGATCTACACGGTCCCCAAGTTACGACTTACTCCTTTGTCCTCGAGGGCGATAACGCTTCTACATTTTGATTCTTAATCAGATATGTATTTAAGTGTCCATGTTCCACAGCATCCAATTACCATCAGGTGGACTATGTGATCTGTTGTCACATTTATTTTAGAAAAAAAAATTGTCGCAATCACCACGCTGCACTGTATAAGCAATAAGCGCTCACAGTAAATACTACATCTCACAGCTCGTAGCGTAATCGTAGAAAACGGCTACGAGACGTAGCAAATACCATCTGTCTCTAATATGAAAACCCTAACCCGTTCCTTTTGTATCTTAGGCTTGTACTACATCCCCACATTAAAGGAGCACTCCGAATTTGTGTCGTTTGCGCGCTCTTTGCCGGTGGCAACACCACCAGCTGTATTTGGATTTCATGCCAACGCCGATATAACTAAGCACTTCCGTGAGGCGGAAGAATTACTAGACACAGCTATACTTACACAGGTTAGTTTAATTATCTATCTTAGATATGTTTAAACTATTACCGAAGAAATAAATCCTTAGGCCTGAATTCCTCCTACGCTGACGTCGGTTGCGTACGGTCGGTCGCGTATGCGTACGTAGCAAACTACGCGCCGCTGTCGTCAGCGTCGTAGTGTGGGGCTATATAGAACACAATGTACATTAGTACGCGCGACCGACGTACGCGACCGACGTCAGCGTAGGAAGGATTCAGGCCTTAGATAACGTAAAATGTTGTATCTAATGTACGACATTATCTGGTTAACATACCAAAGAGTTCTACGAAAAATTAATAAAATATATTCGTGCGAGAAATATGTCTCAGTATAATTAAAACTTGTACAAAGGTATTGATACCTCCAATAAAACCTTATGTTTTGTTTTAATACTACAACACGGGTATCCGTGTTTTGGAAAACCCGATTTTATCTAGAATAAATAAGTGATACAAAGGGTTATGTCATACATGAAATTTACGATACTTTGAAAGTTCAATGAATACCTAATTGTAATAGTATATTATTATTTAAAATAATATTGTCCTCCAGACAAAATGTTGGTCACAGCGGCCAGTCTCAACGGAGACTAGCCATCTGTGCAGAACAGGATTATAGTGTCCAAGTGTATGCGCAAGCACAGGTGCACTCTCTATTCCCTCACTCTCATAGTCCGATGGGACGGTAATCCGATACGAACGGAGAGAGATCAGGCACAGAACATTCTTTACGTTCTTTCCGGGGCACTGGGGTGAGACACCTCCAACTTCCTGACTCCGGCCTGCTACAGGCAATTTCTTGATAGAAAAACCTAATTTTTGCCCGACCCGGGATCCGAACCCTTAGGACCTCATGACCAGGAACCGTATTTGCAACCGTTATACCAATGAGACATTCTTAAAATATTTCTTAATTTTTATTAAATAATATTATAAATATAAGTAATGGAAATATGATCAATGAATACGAATTTCAATTTTAAATAAAAATCACATTTTCATTGCAGAATATAAAATTTTGAAACAGTGTTAACTTCTTATGTTCATAATTTACGATTAAGTGTTAAGCTTATATGACTGCGAATATTCACGATACATACATACTCGTAGTTATCTGTATTCTCGAGTAAATCGTTTAAAGTTTCGAATATTTTGATGGTTTTTTTGGGATCTCAGGGGCGAGACATATTATACATTCTATAAGTTTTGTTAAAATTGCTGAATAAATTTAAAAAAAAAAAACGTTACCCCCACACTAGGATTTTCTCCTGTATCGTGGAGGCAGTTTACAAACATATATTGCACAAGGACAAACATCCAGACAATTATTTGTAGGCCATACAAATACTTGTTCCGTGCGGGATTCGAACCCGCGGCCCCAAGCGTTGCAACTCATTGCTAAGCCACTACGCCAAGGAGCCGTTAAATTACTGCAAAATAGTGTAAGAAAATTTGCAAGATCTATCCTGTTATATATTTAGTATTGCAGTACAATAGTGACTTGCAAAATACTTTAAATGATTGTTCCACTAATCATTTAATCTGAATTTGACTAAGTCTTGAATAGACGTGTTTCGTATGGTGAGTGACGAGCACCGGAGATCCTTTTTAGAGAGACGCATTCCATTTGAATCTTCAGTAATAACAAAGGATCTGAAGGATAATTTTGCTTGTCACTAGATTATACTCCTAGATGTAGATTTATATAGATCACATTTATCATTAAATAATTATCATCACGGAAACTGTGTTCTCTTTTGTTATTTTTATAAAGCCCACAATGAATATTAAGTTAGAACTTCACTCTGCGGGCAACCTTCTAGGTGAAATTTCCTTAAGCTTTATTAGTGTTGCATTTGAATATTGAACATTGAACTTAATTTGATGATTTTAAAAAAAATCTTCACTCTTAAAATTTGTATAAAATAAGGCATTAATTAAGATATATTGATCCTTTCTCTTTAAAAAATTAATTACCTTCCACTTGAACAAGTATTACCTTATAACAGCTTTTAAAATAAATTAGATGCTTGGTAACTGTTTAACGTACACGGCGTTTTTTATGTTCTTAACTCGAAAGAAATGAGTTGAGCTATGGAAATACAGAGCTATTTGCTTGTTTTAATCTACTCATAGTACCACCTTATATCGTATATGTTACGCATATACGATATTAGGTGATAAGACACCTTTTCTGTCCAGGATACCGTTGGTAGATTCGTCGCTATGTTCACCATACTTTTACCTATTTCTGTCGCGAATAGTAGTGCTTGAGTTGCTGTGTTCCATTTCGAAGAGAATAGAGAAACAGTCTGTGAGGCATTCCATCTAGGTTCTCAGAAGTAAGTAGCCTTCTCTATTGGAAGTTGGTTCTATAACATACGTTGTAGAACCATTCTACAGCTATATTAATAGTACTCGTATAAAAATATAAAATATAAAAATATAAACCGGAGACCCTTCTTACTGAAAAAGAGGCATTCCATCTTAGTCCAAACGGCTGACAACGCATCTGCATTTTATTCGTAAACGAGAATAGATGTAGATGATTATGAACCACAGCAATGACTTACTATATTAGGTGGACTGTGTGCTCGCTTGTCACCCTTATCCTATAAAAAACATAATAGTGTCAGAGACTCAATAGTGTTAGAGATTCGGTGGAAAATCTAGACCCAAAAAAAAAATGGAGTTTTGTTAACAATTTGGTTGTTGTAAACTAATTTTACGGACTTCATCGTGTTTAATTCGACTTATATTTAATTATTTTAAATATACATATAAGTAGAACAAAAGGAAAACATGGACGCTTTTGATTGTTAAATGCATTTTTGGTATTTTTAACGATAATTGTAGTAATATCTTGCATTTTCTTTTTCACTCATGCTGCTCTGGAACTAAACAGGACCGCACGGTATGTAACTTCACTTAAATACCTATTAATGTGTGTCCTTCTTTTGTTTCTAAACATATTTCATATTGTTTTTATTTTTCATGCTCCAAGGATCTTTTGAAAAAGTACTTAGTAAGTGAAATCGATTTAATTGTTATTCCCTGCTTTGTGTTCTACACTATGTTGTTGATTTCGGAATGAGGTTTTTTTACCCTTTCTTTTTATATAAAATATTTTTTTAATAATTATCGTTTTTGTGTTTCCGTTTTTGCTTCGAACTGAGTATTACGTAATGAGCTTTATTTTTTTGCCTTTTGTTTGGTGTTTACACTCAATTGTTATTTGAAAACGATAACTTTTACTTTTTCCTTGTGCTTTTTGCTTTTGTGTTACAGAATACTAAACGAATTTTTTTGTTTCCGTAACTAAGAATTCTTCGTTTTAATTATGTTTTTTAAACTTATACCTTTCAATGTTTTGTTATTATCAGAAACATTAAACACATTTTCAAACGAATTTTCTCTTTTTTCTATCTTTTTGATTTTGATTATAAACAGCAATTGAATATAACCTGAAACAAAAATGTTTTAAGCGTATAATTCTATGCATAATAGTTCTAAATTACATCTATAATAGTGTATAATGATACTCGTAGATGAAGTATTAATTAATTGAAAGTTTATTGAAGTGATTTCATTCTTTGCATTTTTAAACATTATATATATTAATAACTGGTATCCAGCGCATTGCTGCCGCAGAAAAAATAATAGTGCGAATATCGTTTCAAATTTGGAAGACTTATATTATTTAATTAGGAATGATAATACATTTATTGAAGTTGAGTAATATATTACTTTCGAATAAATTGGTCGGTATGATACGCGCACAACCTATACTGTAAGTTAATTGTACTATGCCTATAACCTTCGCGCAAGTGCAAGCAATAAGTTGTCAAAGTTTTACCGCAATCTGATGAACGGTATGGCAGTACATAAAATACGAACAAACAAAAATTAATTCTTATATTTTTACAGATTACCTTATTATGCACCAATTTTTTAACACTTTTCCTGTTTTCCAATTTTATCAAAGTCTTGTCTACAAGCAACAGGTAATTATATTTACTTTAACCACACTATGATAGATTATTGTTAAAGGGCATATTTTTTCCTTTGACGCCATTGCCTATGCAATAAAAAGTAACCGTAATTACGTTTTTCTGGGTTGAATACCAGTAGCGTTGGCGGCAAGCCAACATATTTCAGTGTTTCGGTTAAATTACAAACACTCACTTGTGGCTTATGAATGAGTTAACAAAGATTCAAATGATAGAGAAAAAGAATTCAAAGAAGTGAATGTAATTTACACGTAAGTGTTATTTTGTACACCTTTGTGATAGATTTACTTTACGACTCTATAAAGAAATTAATGTTTGTACAATATAAATAGATTTAATTTGTAAATATTTTTTTAAACTGTCTAAACTACAGAATAATTTGACATATATATTGAAGTGATATAATTATTTACAAGTGAACCACACGGTATGAATACCATTTTATATAGTTTTGTTGAAGTGTCGACAAATGTTGCATAAATCAACTAACCAATACAATTTTCCAGGCCGTCATCTATACATTTTACTTTTATAATTTTTACTTTAATTTTTTATTTAAATTAAAGTTAAATATAATTTCAAATTTTCACACATTGCCATTGCATATGCTTTGCTTATTTCTGTTCCTGAAATTTCTTACGTATTGCACGAATAATTGCTTGTGCCGTCTGGAGTTTGCATGTTCAAATGCTTTTAAAATTGATGTTATTATACTATAGGATACGATGGCCGCTGGAGGCGGTGGCGCTACACCGGAGCAGCAAGCGATGGCGATAGCCGAAGATGTGCTCGCTCGGTTGCCGGACAAGATATTGCGAGGTCCCTCTCATGAGGGCGACATTAAGCCTGCTGATATGACACCAATGTCTATCGTAGTAATACAAGAGGCCGCTAGATACGAGCGCCTCGTTCACGTCATTAGAAGTAGCTCCAGAGCTGTTATTGGAGCTATACAAGGTAAATTTCTCCGTTGATAATGATTTCTTATATTTACGCGAAATTGAATAAAAAAACTACTTTTACGCGATAGTCAATTGATACTAAGATTTTCATTCTGTTATTCCTTAATCCAGTTTTTATCGTTGAACATTAGAAGTAAAAATAACGGTTAAACGTTTGCTTCATAGTTCGTCATCCATACACCAAAATAGTAGATTAAGTTGCCAGCATTTGTTTTCCATCCGATTACAATGTGAGTGTCTTCAAGATAAGAGTGGATAGGCTTTTGATTAGTCAGTGTGCTTTACCATCTTTGGCGGCATCATCACTTACCATCAGGTGGGAAAGCAGTCAAGGTCTGCCTTAGAATAGTTTAAGAAAAGTACGGTTCTATTTCAATTCGACAAACCCTGAACGCACAAAAATCTTATTTACTACCCTATTTACTAGTAGAGCGATTTAAGGAATTATTTAATGTATCACAGTCTGTACAACCTTTCGCTTTTTCTAGTCGTATATAATTGCTTTGTTTATTTATTATAAAAACATGTCATAAAAAAACCATAGAAACTGTCATTAATGAGTAATGCGTCTGTTAATGACTATGTATATATGCAAATTAAGATTCTTCGTCACATTCAAAGAAATGCAATGAATATCAGTTCTCAAATCACTCAATAAAATGAGCGAAACAGTTATATTTATCTACATCTAGGTGTAAGCGTATTGACTGATATAACGGAGGAGGTGCTCACAAGCATGGTGCGAGGCCGCATCCCTGCGCTATGGGCCGGCAAAAGTTACCCTTCCTTGAAACCTCTCGCGGCTTACTTCAGCGATCTCTTGGCCAGACTGGAATTCCTGCAGGTATTATTTTTTTCAAATTATTTTTTTATCATTTGTAAATCCTATCTAATTATGTATATAATTTTCCTATCTTTTCCTAAATCGATAATAAAGTTTTTGATTGAAAGAAAATACCTAAAATTTGTAATTTATTGGAACGATAGTGGTCCTAATACATATACTCGTACATAATACCTATCTCTGTGATTGCGGCAGATCCATCACAATCATATTGTTCCTTGGGTATCGTAAGAGGCGATTATGGCAAATGCCAGAAAGATTTCATGGCTTCTGATAGATATAATCATTTATTTTACGCCATACATAAAATGCTTAGACCGCTGATAGGGAGCGGCATCAAAGATTTGAACATTTTGCGTTGCGACCGACTATTGGCCAAGTGTGGCGATTATGAAAAATTCTCCCGAAAAGAAGACGGATTGGGAAAGTCTGTCCAATAGTGGACTTTTATGTGCTGATAAAGAAGTACATTCCCAATATACGTAAGAATTATTTTAATGCAATATCTTTGGGAAAACTATTTTTTTTATCTTTATCGCCTGTGTATATTGCTGGGGTTAACATTAAATTTTTAAATCGCTATTACATTATGTGTTATTACAGTAATAAGTGCAAAAAATGTCAAGCCCATTTGTTTGAGTTTAATGTTTAGGTGATAATTAATTTTGATCACGTTGCAAAAGGATGATTACGAGTTGCTCGACCTATTAGGGATACATACTAATCTAACTTTTGAAATCCCAAGTAAGCTCAGAAGGCTCGTAAAACAAAAAACTAGTCTCTAAGTAATTTTGTTTTTGTATTAAGTTTTCAAACCAACCTTTCTGGTTAAACAAACGGTTTGGTTTACAAAAAATATGGAGTAAAATGTAACATGCGGTGATTATTTCCTTGACTTTACTGTACCGTTATATCCTATCAAAGTCCACTCCTGAAAATAGGCCTTACCCATAGATTGTCTCATATGGGAATATTTGTAATAATTGCTATGCTTGGCAAGCGGGTTGGCAACCGCAATTTTGTTATTTTAATCGTTATTAGGAAGACGCTGCCGCCCATCTCCTGATTTATTTCACTCTGTCGCCTCTTACGACACCCATGGGATGATATGAGGTAGTGGATATTCTTACACCGCCACTATACGGTTACACTTGCCTTTACTGCGAATAACTTCATATACAGGATTGGTCAAATAATTTTATATTATTTTAATAACAATAATTAACTAGTTGCAAACATTACATTGCATTCTTAGCGTGTTAGAACTTTTTACAAAAATACAGAAGATTATAAATAAAACTATTGTTAAAAATTAAATGCAGATTTCAAAGAAGTAAAAATAATAAAATAATTGCCACAGAGTAGCTTTTAAAGGTGACGGCTCCATGGCGCAGTGGCTTGGCGTTGAGTTACTGGGCTGTGGAACAAGTATTCGCATGGCCTACAAATAATTGTTCCGGATCTGGATGTTTGTCCTTGTACAATGTAAAGTAAAATTGTGTTTGTAAACTGCCTACACGATACAGGAGAAAATCCTAGTGGGGGGGTAACGTTTTTTAAAGGGACGAACAATTGGTGCTAAGACATCGTGAGTAAAAAAGTTAAATCCCCGACTTAGAAGCTTTTTTTTAAATAGAAAAGGGGGCAAACGAGCATGCCGTACCGTAATCATGCCGTACAATCAGGCCACGTGGAAATTATTTCATTCTTTTTTGTTCTTTAAAGTCGGCTTTTTCTTTTTAATAATAGTTTAAGTTTTTTGACGCTTGAATATCACAAGCTCCTACGTAACAACTAGAATATCGCCTAATAAATACATTAAAAACTTCACCTCCTTAGGTGGTTTTTTCTTCAAATTTAAATTGTTCTTTTTTATAGGATAAGGGTGACAAACGAGCACACAGTCCATCTGATGATAAGTGGTTGCTGTGGCCTATAGATGCGCAGATGCGTTGTCACCCGTTAGGACTAAGATGGAATGCCTCGTTTCCATTAAAAAGGGTCTCCGGTTCTCTACACTCACCATAGGAAACACAGCAGCGTTAAGCTACTATTTTACTCTGGTATTTTGTGAGAGCGTGGTCCTTCCCCGGTCGAGCCGACACATTCGTGCTACAACCATAATATAGCTGCAGCATGACTCTACCACGTATAAAAGTTATCCCTTACTTAGTAAAAAAAAAAACATTGAAATTGATTTACAATTAATGAAGATATTGCATAACATATACAAAAATGACATACAGTCGAATTTAGAACCAATCTCGAACTACAAATCGAAGCACTATGCTCCATGCCCTCAATAGTGTCTCCCAACGGATATGTCTTAAGATGAACAAGGACAAAACAAAAGTCATTTGTACACACCTATGCAGTTGTTGGGGACACTAAGCTCAAAGTTGTTGACGAGTATGTATGTACCTGGGACAAATAGTCCAACTAGGTAAGTCCAACTTCGACCGAGAGGTCAATCGACGGATTCAACTCGGCTGGGCGTTCGGGAAATACGGCATATCTTCTCGTCATGTATACCTCAAAACTTAAAAACTAGACTGTACAACCAGTGCATATTGCCAGTGGGTGACCTATGGAACTGAAACGTGGTCCTTCACTACTGACCGTATTAGGAAACTCAAGGTCGCTCAACGAGCTATGCTCGGAGTTTCTCTGCGTGATAAACTTAGAAATAAGGATATCCGCAGTAGAACCAGAGTTACCGACATAGCCCAAAGGATTAGTAAGCTGAAATGACAATGGGCCGGCCATATATCTCGAAGAACCGACAACCGATGCGGAAAAAGGTTCTGTGGCAGCCTCGTACCGGTGGACGAAGTGTAAGGCGTCCCCTCACTAGATGAAGTGACGACCTGGTAAATCATGCAGGAATTAGATGAATGCAAGTGGCTTAAGACCGTGCTTCATGGCATTCCTTGAGGGAAGCCTATGTTCAGCAGTGGACTTGTGAAGGGCTGTAATGATGATGATAATGAAAGCTCGTAACATCTGTTTAATAAACTTAAACCCTCTGGTCACTTCAAGCAGAATTTAGGTTTAAAAAAAACTATAGTTGGAATAGCAATTAAAAACTGTTCGCGGAACATTTGAACTATGAAATTAATGTTTATGCCAAGTGGACAATATATTGTAGTGCACAATCGTACATCATGAACACTCCATTGTTGCAAACAATAAAGCATCGGATTTCAGCGCCGGTGGTAATGGCGTTGAAAATTATGCAATATAGCACTTTGTATATCCACAGATTAATAACTGTATTATTAAAATTTGTATTACTGAAATTGAACACTTTTTGTATGATAATATATTTTAATAGTAAACTTAGGAATCGTAAATAATTAATTAAAGAAATTTTAATAACAGTTCTAATCTCTATACAGTCCAATGAAATTCGTTCATCGTGGCTTCCTATTATGTAGCATAAATTAAAATACAATATAAACCTTCATTTAAGCTAGGCTTAGCCATGTAGTGGTGATGTAAGGATATAATGGCATGGTTTGAAATGTTGAAGACACATTAAAAATAACTTTTCTTACTTTTATAACAATAACCAGACAAATCTAAGGTTGAACTGATCGTATGCGGCTACTCTAGCCCATTAGCTTTACACACTCGTAACATTCGAATGAAGGTTACTAGTTCAAGAATAAATGCGAGGCGACGGCAAACTGCTTTAATTGTGGTAGCAGGAAATTGACAAAACACAAGATCGTGGTATGTTCAGCTTGAGAACGAGAACTGTCAATCTTGGTGATCTAGATATGACAGAACCTAACCATATCAGTAGTTGTGTCTGCTAAGCAGATCTAATGTATGTTGGCAGATTTATATAAATATAGAAATATATTATTATAGAGATAGGTGAAAATATATTTATATTTCACCTATCTCTTGAGCGACTCGTATCATCTTTTCTCTACCTTTGAAATTTCATTAAACAATAAAAGCAATATATTTTTTTTGCTTATGTAATATATAACGAAAACAATAATATTCATCCTTTATTAATTTCAGCACTGGCATCAACACGGCCCTCCAGTTATTTTCTGGTTGTCTGGTTTTTACTTTCCGCAAGCGTTCCTCACGGCAGCGCAACAAAGCTATGCGAGGAAATACAAGATACCTATCGATCAACTGGAGTTCCATTATGAGGTTAGATTCTTACGAACATAGATAGAAAACACACTGTCATGTTATTACTAATATTTTGAAGTTCATACATACTTGTTTCCACATATTACATCTATACAAATAAATAAAATTGAAGTGTCTGTTTGTAAAGTCAAAATAACTGCTTTTTACTAAATGCATATGAAAGTATATACGGTACTTATAACAAAAACACAATTTTATACACTTTTGTCTGTCTGTCTGTTTGTTCCGGCTAACCTCCGAAACGGTTGGACCGATTTTTATGGGACTTTCACTAGCAGATAGCTGATATCATAAGGAGTAACTTAAGTTACTTTTATTTTAGAAAAATAATTAAGGTTCCGCGAAAAAAATTCAAACCCTTAATAACATGCAGGTGAAGTCGCGGGGAACAGCCAGTTAGATAATATAACATTAATTAATAATACAATTTAATGTGGACATTGTTTTATGTGTGAAATAATCAAAGCTATACTTTAAAGCACACTAATACGAACATTTTATCATAGTTTTGGGGGAAATCTGTATGCATATCCGAATACAAATGTGAGAGTTTAAATTTAACATTCACATATATACCTATTAGATTCGAAGTGTTTTTATAAGAATAAAGAATTAACAAGCGATCATACAGTCCACAAAATGGTAAGTGGATGTCCATGGACAATAGCAATAGTGGAAAGAATTTCGCTTTATCATCTTCGGCTGCATCACCACGTACCATCAAGTGGGATAGAACTCATGCACTGGCTTAAAATAGTTAATAAACTATTGTCTGACCCATTTTTCGGAAAACAGCACTGTACTCAGTGCTATTTGGTGCCAGATTTTTTTTATAGGAGAGGGGGCAAACGAGCATTCGGCTCACCTGATGGTAAGTGACTACCGCCGCCCATGAACAGCTGCAACACCAGGGAGGGAATCGCAGATGCGTTGCCGGCCTTTTAAAAAGGAGTACGCTCTTTTCTTGAAGGTCCCTAAGTCGTATCGGTCCGGAAAAATCGCTGATGGTAATCGATTCCACAAGGAAGTCGTGCGAGGAAGAAAACATCTTCTAAATCGCACAGTGCTCGACCGCCAATCATCCAGATGGTGTGGATGGTATCGGGAGTTCTGCCGCGATGTGCGTTCGTGAAATTTGGCGGCTGGGATTAATCCAAACAATTCTTCAGAGCACTCCCCGTGGTAGATGCGAAAAATTACGAACAGACTGAATCCTAGATAGAAAAGTAGTTTTACCACACAGTAAATTGTAAATATTACAAGTGGTAAAATTAAAAATTTTGTACAACCGACTTCAATATAAATAAAATGAGAACATCATCAATGTAGTCGAAGTCAATTAAATACTTTTTTTATAGGATAGGGTGACAAACGAGCACTTTATATATATATATATATATATATATATATATATATATATATATATATATATATATATATATATATAAGATAGAGTGACAAAGTCCACCTGATGGTAAGAGTTGCTGTGACCCAAAGACATAGTACATCTATCCTCGTTTGCGAATCAAAATGCAGATGCGTTGTCACCCGTGAGGACTAAGGTTGAATGCCTCTTTTCCAGTAAAATAGGTGTCCGGTTCTCTTCACTCACAATATGAAACAGCGCAGTGTTAAGCTGCTATTTTACGCTGGTATTCAATGAGATACGGTAAATACGAATCTGGTAAATACGAATTATTAAGGATTGCTCAAAAACTACTGCTCAGATCTTGATCAAATTTATATGGGACCATATGAGAAGCACCATCTTTCAAATAAAAAAAAGAATCATCAAAATCGGTTCACTTAGAAAAAAGTTTTGAGGTAACACACATGAAAAAAATATACAGTCGAATTGATTACCCCCTCATTTTTTTGAAGTCGGTTATAAATGGTTCTCTTTTTGAAGCATTTTTAAAAGTTATTGTTGTCGTTTAATTTGTTCGTACATTTTTCTCGTATAATGATTAGAAAGTGCATCTTATTATCGAAAATATCTGGAAAAAGAGCAATAGCACTTGCTTTTTTTCATAAGAAAATTAATCTTATTTGTAGTTTTCCATTAAGTCTAATATATTTAATTTTCTGATGAAAAAAAGTTTGGAAATGGAGAATAATAAATGTTTTCTTGCTATCCGGTAATTTTTTGAAAAATTGAGGTTCGCCCCTTTGCGGCGTCAACAGCGAATTGCACAGTAAAACATAGTCTACACTTGATACGCTCTTTACGCCTTCAATCCTGTTTTGTTATATGCAATACTGTGTCACGTTAGGTGTACTACAAAAAGCAGGTAGCTGAACTTTCAAAAATTAGAGGACTGTTTTTCTAATTTTCGAGAGGTATATAATGAAGTCATTATAGCGCCTCGCTGCTTGTTGACTGACTACGCACGTCTTTGAAATATTGTTATTCCTCAAACATACAAGTATCCCCACAATTCACAGCCAAGCACATGGTAAATTTTCACTTGAAATTGCAATCAACAATTTAATTGGGCACCAATGAAATGGACGGGGATCGAACCCGAGCCACACGTACTGTGATATCGATGAGCGCTTTGCCCCGGGAGCTACCACGGCTTTTGTATCGAGTATTAAAACATTTTAAAATTAATTAAATATTGAACCTCTTCAAAACAAAAACCATTTTTGTTAATTATAGAATTTAATCATTACATAATCAAAACTGCAGGTTTTTTTGTATCTTTATAATCAGTGATGATGGAGGTTTAATTAGTGCTAAATATCTTCTAAATTAGTACGTAGTATAAATTATATTATATATTTTTTTTATGAATTATACCATTCATTGTGGCAGGTCCAACGCACTACCGATTTGAAAGTACCGCCACCAGAGGGCGTGTACATCCGTGGTCTCTTCATGGAAGGGGCGCGTTGGAACATGAGTAGCTACGTGGTTGATGAGTCCTTCCCTAAGGTACTCTACGATGACTTTCCACCGGTGAGTTTCCCCACGTTTTACAAGACATTGATCCAACATTTGAATCGGTATTGTCTTATGTCAATAATCGATTGCTACGAAGTGCAACGTTAAGTATAATAATATGCAAGAGGTCTGGTACTGCGACTGCCTAACCCCTACTAAGCGTAGCCACTATGGAAAATCCGTTAAAGATAAAAATATAGAGTTAATTTTATTAAATTTAATTTATAAAGTTTATTTTCATCAATAAAGTACAGAAAGATCTTAACAAAACTATTAAATCTCTTATTCTGTCTTTAATTTGGTGTGTAAATTTTGTATTTTTTATACCTATGTAATTGGAACACACAGACTATGTACAATGTACAGACTATGTACAATGTTATGTACATTGGACATAGTCGTACGTAGCAGCAGAGAATGCATCAAATTAATTCAAATAAAATTCACACAGTAACCGTTGTATGGTAACACATGAACCACTTATTTCTATTTAATTTAATTTTTTATGACTATTCACACAAAGCTAGCCAGCTTCTAGCATCTAAATCTATCCTGGATTAAGAATCAATCAATATGTATAATAAAATCAAAAATACCACCACACAGTAAAAAAATGTCTCCGGTCGAGTTGAGTGTAGAGCTCTCACCATAAAAAAGCAGCAGCATTAAGCTGCTATTTTACGCTAGTGTATTGCAAGAGTGTGGCCTTTCCCCGGTAGACCCGACCCATTCGTGCTGCAACCATAATATATCTGCAGCGTGGCCCTACCACGAATACAAGTTTTACAATAAAATTGTACGTTCTGACCACACATGGTATTAGTGGTTGTGAATGCGTTCGTTATTTGCTGTTTTTTATTATTTGAGTTAAAATATCAAATTTATGAAAAAGAAGTTAAACATTAAATTTTTTTTAACATCCAAATATTTAGGTCAATAAATAAGAAACATAAAAGACATTTTCAACCTTTTATTTAGGCTTAGATGTCTTTTAAGTAAAGGCTTGGCGTAACTAGGGAGTTTTCGTGGGAGGGGGGGGGGGGTCTCAGTGGACCAGATGGGTAGCCACTACAAGATTTCAGTTTCGGTAATCCTATTGATTTTGTAGAATTGACAAATTTTGGAAGTAACGAATAATTTAAGGAGAGAGGGCAATATCACAATAACTTTTTAGGGTGGACATGGCCCACCCCTGCTCTCACACACACCCATACCAAAAGACTAATTCAACTACACCCATGCCAAAGATGTCTAATATGTAACATCAATAATATCATCATAAACAACCCGTCCACACTTGGAGGAATTAGATACCATCAGTAGGTTGATTAGTAACCATAGCATTTACGTGGTAGACCCACGCTGCAGCTAAATTATGGTTGTAGCACGAATGGGCGGGTCGACAGGGATATGATGATGCTCTCAAAAAATACGAGCCTAAAATAGCAGTTTAATTCTGCTGTAGTTCGTATGGTGAATTTAGAGAAGCGGAGACTCTTTTTACTGGGAACGAAGCATTACATCTTAGTGTTCAGGGGTGACAACGCATCTGCATTTTGTTGCATTCTTAATTGTGGAGAAATGTAGATGTCTATGGGCCACAGCATCCACTTACCATCAGGTGGGCTGTGTGTAAGTTGATCAACCTTATTGTATAAAAAAAAAACAGCAGATTTAACATTGCTCTCCGTTGATCTGAGTATTTTAGATCTTGTATATCTTTTTATTTAGCCTGAAGCCATACTGAGTGATCTCGAATTCGAATCCCTAATCGGGTTAATATGAGTTAATTTGTTTTTCTGCCAAAACATTATCAGTAGCGGCCTTGGGTCAAAAATATGGTAGTGTAAGATTACCGTTCCATCGGACTAAGAGAGTTAGGTATTCTCACAGAATACTAGCGTCAAATAGCAGCTTAACACTGCTGTGTTTCGTATGGTGAGTGTAGAGAACCGGAGACCCTTTTTACTGGAAACGAGGCATTCCATCTTAGTCCTCACGGGTGACAACGCATCTGCATTTTGATTTGCAAACGACGATAAATGTAGATGTCTATGGGCCACAGCAACCACCTAACATCAGGTGGACTGTGTGCTCGATTGTCACCCAATACTATAAAAAAAAGAAAAAAAGGGAATACAGAGCACACACTCTTCTAATTTAATCCTGTCCTGCGAAGATGCCTAGTCATCATTGAAACTGGCTGCCGTGACCTACATTTGATCTCGGGGACATTATGCTTTTTAAAATATCCTTTAATTGTTTTTTTAAAAAATTTCGATTTCTGTTTAGGTGTGGCTGATACCTCTAAAGCGTGAAGACGTACCGAAGGACGAGTTCTACAACTGCCCGCTGTATAAGACTGGTGACCGACGTGGAGTACTTTCCACCACTGGACACTCCACCAATTATATTCTGTTCATGCGTTTGCCGACGGCACGGGAGCCGGATCACTGGATAATGCGGGGAGTCGCTTTACTTACACAATTACCGTTTTAAAAAGTTTTAAAATAATTGATAAAAAATAATACTTTACAATATTTAATAGGTATTAATCCTTTTTAGATTTAAACTTCCAAAAGGATACAAATTATGATGTAGTTAATGTAGACTTGATAAAAGTAATATGATATGAAAGATAAAATAAAACATGATAAAACAATTGAAGAAAACATAATAAAAGAATATATTATAATGTCTCGATGTGTTTCTTTTTTTTCCATATTCATTTTAATCCACTTTAAAGTATGCGAATATTAAATTATTCCTTTTTGAATATAATTTAATGACGTGTGGATGACGTGTGTACTGGCAGGTAAGAATATCCACTACCCCATATTATCCAAGAGTGTCGTAAGAGGCGATAAGGGAAACAAATCAGCAGATGGGCAGCAGCGACTTCCTTATAAGGACTAAAATAGCAAAACTGTGGTTGCTAACTCGCTTGCCAAGCGCAGCAACTGTGGCAAATATCCCCTTTATAAGGCAATCTATGGGGAAGGTCTAAGTTCATCAGTGGACTTTAATAGGCTGTAACGTTAACGTAATGTAAGGTAATGAGGTTATTAAATAAGACAACCTGTATGTTTCCTGTTTATTACTGACTTAAATTTATAATAGATATTACATTATTGGATACCGTGAGCCACACTACAGTAATCTATATAGAGCGATATAACTTAATGTGCCTTACCTGTACATTATCTGATCATTTCAGGCGGATACGTAAAGTCGTGTGTTCGAATTTGTTATTAAACTATCGTGAGCCACTGCATTAATGCAACATTTTTAGTTCATAGAACAGATTTAAGTATTTGATCCATAAAAATTTCAAATTTCAGATTATCTATAAAGTTTTCTCATCTGGATGGGCTGTTTAAATATATAATTGTAAACGAAAGATATATACATAAATATCAATTAAATTAGTAGATTTATTATTAATATTATTTAGACTGTAACCATTAAATCCGCAAACTGTAGCTATTGCAAATCTGGTTTTTCATGTATATTTATTAGCATATTATTCTGTTTCCTTTTTTTTAAAAACTTCCTTCGCTATTTATGTAAGTTGTTACCTGTAAGAAGATGAACACGTAGCATGTAGTCGCAGTGTTGAGTAATATTTTATTAATATTGTATATCATCTGTTGGTGATCCAAATAAAGAGAAAAAAAAAACATTAAATGAAATGCCATCACACTTCTCTTACTTTATTTTCAATCACCGTATGAACGCTCCACTAACGTTTTCTGATGGCAAAAGTTACTAACGTATTGGTTTTTTGATTACAGCGAATGTAAAACTTTACTAAAAATAGCATAGCATTGTGAGCAATCTTCTAATTATGTATACTAAAACAGACACTTCAAAGTTGTTGCCTCAAAAGTGAATTATTCTGAATCGTGTAGTCGCAGCGTCAGAGAATCCACTGCTCCATCATTATGCCGTGGTTGTCGTAAAAGAAGACAGGGGGAAATGATATCACTGCTTAGTGATTACCACCTTTCCTGATACCAATTCAAAATAATAAAAAACTGCGGTAAACAAACATACCTCCTAAAAGGCAATATATATGGGTGGCCTATTTTCAGCAGTAGAGTTTATTATGCTGTAACTCTAAGAGGCAATCTATGGAGAGTTCCACGAGGATACGTCCCATTTTAATACTTATCTAAAAATGCAATATCACATAATTTATAATTATAAATTTTGTACAACCGACTTCAATATAAATTATTAAGAATAACTCAAAAATTATTGGTCACACCTTGATCAAATTTATATGGGGTCCCATATAAATTTGAACATGTGAAGCATCAGCTTTCATTAAAATCGGTTCACCCAAAAAAAAAGTTATGAGGAAACACATAAAAAAAGAAAAAAAAAATACAGTCGAATTGAGTACCGCCTCCTTTTTAAAGTCGGTAGAAAAAAGTGTCACAATGAAACGAAACCACGTCCCCGTTCTTTCTTCGTTGCCAACTGTTACGAGGTTTCTTGTCTTTGTTCTGTCTGGCGTGATTACTTGGATAAGGTGCCTACACATGGAAAAAACATCGACAATATATGTATATAATACAAAATCGTCGCGTTGGATAAACAAGGTTCTAAGTGAAGAAATGAACAAAAGGCATAATTGGAACATCAAGATTTAATGACTTTGTTTTTTGCCTCAGATGACTACAATGTTATATTAAACATTTTGACGCAATATTGAGGATGTAACTTAGACGTAACATAAGGCTTTATTGTATTATTTTAAACTTTTTAAAATAAAACGAGCCTTTGAATTTACGCAGGTACCATCTGTTGTATATTTTTAGTATGCGTACGAGAAATTAACATAAATTCAACAAAGTTCTATCTTACGATGGAACCTTGTTGTTGTGAAATATGTAGTTAGGGCAGTGTTAAAAATATGAGTGAATAAAATACAATATATGAATACACTAATACTTTAAATTAACTTAAAATAAAAATAAAAACTGACCAAGTGTGTATCGAGCCACGCACAGTGTAGGGTTCCGTAGTTGCCCGTCACAATACGTGGGCTTTGTCGTGAAGCGACAATTAAAAAAAAAATAAAAAAATAGAACCTAACCTAAGTACAACAAAACAACAAAGGTAGAGCCAGAAAACAATATATTTAAATTTATAAAAGGTATTTACAATTTTATAAAAAAAATGATGTGAGGATGATGATGAATGAAGTGAGAATACAATTAGATTATAAAAAAAATAAAGGTGAGAGAATAGGGGAATATAGCGTTGAAGTGGGGCCTAAAAGTCGAAGCGACACACGTTGCGTTTGTAGAAGTAGGTTTCTTAGCAGCGACGGCACGCAGCGCCTGAAGCCAGCACACGCCGTTTGCGCTTGTAGAAGTAGGTTTCTTAGCAACGACGGCGCGCAGCGCCTGGAGCCAGTACACGCAGCGTCCGGAGCCGGCGCACGTAGCGCCTGGAGAAGGGGCGCGCAACGCTTAGAGCCAGCAGTTGCAGCGCCCAAAGGTAGCGCCGGCGGTAGGTGCACTCGGCGCCTGGAGTAAGTAGTAGTAGTGCCCGGAGTAGTGTGGCCCCCGCGCTTGTAGTAGACTCGAAGCGACTTCCGAGGTAGATGGAGGCTTGTAGGATTCCGGAGTAGCGCGGCCCGAGTTTGAAGAAGGCTTCGCCGAAGACTTCACGTGTAAATGGAGGCTTGCAGGATCCCGGGGCAGTGCGGCCCCGGGATAAGGCCTTTAGAAGATACTTCCAATTCGCGAACTGAAGCGAGACTGCCTTTCTTCACCGATTGTTCGGCTTTTATACCTTTCTAGAGAGAACGGGAAAATTATTTAAATTAAACGCAAATTTTTTGTAAATGGTCAAGAGAAAAGAGTATTTATGTGGAATTATCGAAATAGGAATAACAGATCGGTAGCAAATTTGAATATAATTACTATAGCAACGAAATAAATAACAATATCAAAACATGTCAAATTTTGGTTTTAGGTTTATAATAAGAAAATGGTAAGATTTAAGTGGAAAATGAGATATTATTGATATAGGAAAAAAGGTAGCGCAGCTGCCCACACAAAGCCCAAGATTGTAGAGTTACGGAAAACTAGCTAAAAGATCGAAAAAAGGTAGACTCCATTGACACCAATTTAAAAGTGCTGATAATGTGAAAATACGAAGTAGAAATGATTTGTTATTGTGTTCTTATGGTTTAAAATCGTTACAGGATCCTATGGAAATAAAGGTGATGTAAAATATCCAGTTTTGAGGTGAATGCAGAAAATCGAAACAGAATGGAAAAATGAATTTAAAATAATGTAAAATGATATGTAAGTAGCATAACACTACAGCTTTCTTGATAATAAGCATAATAAGTAAGTTCACGGTTTGACCGCTGTAACGACTAAAAATTGGCTCTAATAGGAAGATCGTAACTGAAGGATTTATTTTCAAATCAGACTTATAGGCAGTCATATTCAAAAACTTTTTGATTTTGAAAATAATACAATTTACATCAAATCATACACATGTCAAGGCACAAAGATGATCATAGTTGACTATCAATCTATATATTCCCGGCAGTGCAAACCTAAGATATACATATATGACCGTAATGAACCTTCACATAAACCATAACTGCTCTAAATTATCTTGAGGTTGCCCGCGTAAACGAAGAGAGTGACGGATGAAACTGTATGAAGTTATATTATGTTTGTATGAATACTTTGAACGAGGCCTACAATAACTACCAACATAAAATAAGTGAAAGTAGTAAGTAAGTAAGAAAGATCCTCCCTGTCTATCCCGAAAATGAAAAAGTAAACCTATAGTAATAATTCGTATATAAGTAGCTTTCTTCATAAAATGTTTATTTTTAACAACTTACAATACTATTTACAAAATTATAATGTAGCTATTTTTAGGTCATTTTCTATGGAGTTGTAACGAAATTTTTACTAATCCAAATGCATTTTATAAGTTGGTCAACTATTACTCGTTGAGTTGTTGATTCTACTTAGCTGTGATAGTTTTCCTTTTAACTTCATTATATATGCTACTATCGTGTATACCTTTTACATTTCCAAATACAGCGGTTTAGTTTGTAGAGGAACACATGACTCTAATGAAAAATACCACTTTAAAGCTAAATATTTCGCAAACGGACCCCTGAATCAAAAAGATGTTGTTTCACACCCCCAGTGTTTTTAAAATACCAACCCAACGATACCCCACACGATGGAAAAGACGAGTAAAAAGAGTCATCCTCCATTTACTTGTACGGGAAGTACCCAAAATAAAAATGTTTTTAAGATTTTATTACACAGTTTTCTAGGCGTAATTAATATCTATAACTATACCAAATTACAGATTTGTAGCACTTAGTGTCTCTGAGTAAAACCGCGTACGGACGGCCGGATATGGCGAAACTATAAGGGTTCCTTGGTGTATAACTACGGAACCCTAATGAATATTTTGAAAAAAAAGAAGTTATTTTGAAATGT